TCTTCATCGAATTGGAGTTTATGAAAAAAAATAAGATCATCGGTTGGTGCAAGGGGAGAGGCTCACACGAATCAACAGAAGCTTTTGCTACCATTGGTTCCCTCTGCTATGCTGCCGCTGCAAATCAATCTGAGTCATGAGCCAAGTGTTTGTTTTCTAATTAAGCACCCCCAATCCTTTCATAGTCAAGGGATTTTCGACACTAGCTCTAAAAATAAAATAGAAAACGACTCGCAATAAGACAATCCAGGGTTTTCAGGTTTGAAAATTTCTTGTGTACACAATAGTAAAATCATTAGAAATTAATTTATTTGTCTTCCTACATATTTTATTTAACTTTGAGACGACAAATAACATACAAGTCTTGCCTGCAATTTTTTTCTTAATTGTATAAGGGCATCTTCAATATGAACATGGCAGTCGGCAAAATCTTATTGTGACCAAGTTTGTGCTGATTGCATCACATTCGAGTGGGTAAGGAGCTGTATGGCAGGTGCATATATAAATACTGTTTTTTTTTTCTTAATTAAGTTTTAATTATATTGGACAAGATAATAATCAATAATTATCAACTAGTGATGTGGGGTCAATGTGTGGATGGGTGAAAAGTCAACGCAACGTTCCCTACCTGTCCTTTTCAGTATTATTATCTTGGCCAGTCTTGGACATTTGGACATTACTAATTTTCAGTATTATTTTTAATTCTTAATCCGTCATTGAAAATAAGCTGACTGCTGCAGAATGCCACACCGACAAGAAAGAAACTAATAAACTAGTATGGCCATTATTTGTGAATTATTTTTTTGACATTGACCTTGCAATGTTTCCGGTATGCCTTTCTAGAGCTGGAAAATTAACCTCATTAAGTCCAATGTTTCTGGTATGCCTAATCATGTGATGTCTTGTTTTAAATGCCTTCCTCAGGTGATTAAAGAGATGAACAAACGATGCAGAACCTTCTTCTGGGGTAGGGACAGTACCCCTCCTATTGCCTGGAAGGATGTTTGCATGCCGAAAGACCTTGGTGGCCTTGGTGTCAAACTGGCTAATCAATTTAATCTTGCTGCTCTAGCAAAGCTGGGGTGAAAGTGCATTACCGATCAATCAAATTGGTGGGTCAAGATAGTTACTCAAAAGTATTTAAGACATGATAATTTTTTTACTCTAAAGAAAAAATATAATCACTCTGTTGATTGGAAGTCTATTTTGGATGCCAGACAGGTTTTGTGCAAAAGTCTGAGGTGGGTGATGGGAAATGGTGGTCTATTCCTTTCTGGACCTCCCAATGGGTTATGTCTTTCCCACTCTTGGACCTCATATTCCTGAGCACCAAAGAGGCCCTATGAATCTTGATCAAAAGGTTTCAGACTTTATCACAAACAAAAACTGGGACAGGAATAAACTGTCTCAAGTTTTAGACGATGATCTGATTGACAAAATCTTAACTATTCATCTGCCTAGATCTAATCTGCATGACAAAATAGTCTGGGGTCCCAACGCTAATGGATCCTTCACCATCAAAGTGCCTACAATGTCCAGATCCAGGAGCGGCCATCCCACCCCATGCTAATCTGCTTAAGAAAATGTGGAAGCTTGATATTCCTTCGAAAGTGAAGATTTTTGCCTGGATGCTCATTCGAATAAGGCTACAAGTGAGAGCCAGGCTACACAAATTCATGCCTCATATTAGTCCTAATTACCCCTGCTGTCAGAACCAGCTAGAGACAATTCAACACCTTTTTATGGACTGCAACTTTGCTAAGGATGTTTGGGGATGCTCTTTTTATTTATGGCCCCCTCCTTCACAGGCGACTGATCTATATTGTTGGCTATCTGCGCTGGGTTGTTCTACTCCTAAGTCTGATCTGGACCTCCTTTCCAAAGCCCTGCTTATCTGTTTGGCAAATCTAGGAGGCTATGAATAACTTCTTGTTCCATGATTCTAAGGCGCACCCGGCTTGTTGTATCCATGTTGCTGCCACTGTGGGCTTGGGTTATTGGCAACTTAATTCTTTGGTCAAGAAGAAAAATGATATTCCCCATGGTGATTAAATGGCATCTCTCTCCCAATGGTTGGATTAAAATTAACTTTGATGGGTCTCTCATGAACTCTCAAGCTTCCATAGGCTTTGTCATCCGGAACTGCATGGCCATGTCCTTTTAGCTGGCTCCAATAACGTTGGAGAGAATTCCATAAATGTGGCTGAAAGCATTGCTCTTCAGGATGGTCTTGATGCTGCTATTGAGAGGGGTTGGGATCAAATCATTGTTGAAGGTGATTCTAAACTTGTTATTGATAGTACCGTTAAAAAAGCAAGTCCCCCTTGGAGCATCCAATAGATTATTCATGATATTTGGTCCCTCCTTCTGTCACCGCTATCCGGTTCCGGCATTGCCTCTCTCTACTAATGCTATTGCTAACTGGGCCATGGGCTTTCAACGCAAGTTTGTTGGGAGTTTGGTCTTCCGTTATTAGTTTGTTCCCCCTTTTATTTCGACCTCTTTGGGCATCTTGCCCTGAGGGCTTTGTTTTGTAATTTCTTTTCCGTATAAAATAAATAAATAATTACCTGCATTTCATAAAATCTAGACAATCCAAATAATCCAATGCTTATGGGTAATGCCACATCACCTACAATAAATTTGTTTCCTTTTTATCAAACTGACGCCGTTATACCTGGTCTTCCTCTCTCCTCTCAGCTCCCGCACCCATCTTCTCTCTCATGTCTTCTACACCCCAATTTTTTTGTTGACAATACTTTTCTCATTTGTTCAGTATGAACGAATTTTGGCTAATAATCCCTTTTTTTTTCTTTTTCTTTTTTCCATTAGTACATCATTGTGATTTGTGAAAAAAAGCCCTTTAATAGCTACAATATACATCATCGATTTCTAAAGGAGGCAAAGGTGAAGCTTGAATTTGCTGCTTGTACAGAAGCCGGAGAGAAGAATTATATATCCTTTATTTAATATTTGAGATGTGATTCGGAATATGATTTCACTGTTGATGTTAAAGAGGAAGCATGCCCTGATGAGGACCGTGGGAGAGAATGAGAGAGATGTTTATTCTTTTGAATGTTTTCAATCCCCGCTGTTTCTAGAATTATATGTTCCCTCTGATGCAATACAGTACAGTAATGGCTGATGATGATTACATGTTTCAAAGATACTGGAATGGCTTTCAAATTAAATTTTTTTTAAAAAGAAATTTGGCTTTAAAAGTCATGAAGAAATTGAATGTTGCAAATTTGCTCCAATCGATCGCTTTCAAATTCCATATACACTACAGCAATTGATTGCTATTGCAATCTGCAGTTATGAACCGGAATTGATAAGGAATTACCAAACTGATTGCTATTCTGATTGAGGAATGGGCTTGGTCGTTTAATTTTCTTTAATGGAGGGTTTACATACTCATCTTCAATTACTATCGCAAGGGTAACTTTTTCCTGCATATGTTTGAAAATATTTATATTAGCTAGATATCCAAGATATGGCTGTGTAAAAGGAAATCATCTTGGAACACATTCCTGCGAGTTTTAAGTAGACACTGGAGATGCTTTTCCTTTCATCTATCATCCTAACCTTCGACAAAAATAAAATTCATCTCGGATCATCAAAATCATCCAAAGTTTTAGGAATGCTACGTCACCTGAGTCTTCGGGGTCCAGAAGAACGCCTGTGACTTATATCAAGTCGTACATGCTCGGTCATTTGTAGGATTCGAAATTTTTCGAAGGTCCACTGAATTATATGTCAAGTTGACCAAAATGGAATATATGATATGGTTCCTTAAGGCTTATTCTAATGACTAAAACACAATCTCAATTCAAGTAGCAAGTATTATTATCATGCACTTCAAGTCATTTTAGTCAAGATACAAGAAGCACATGATTAATCCGAAATTCATGCATGTAACCATATAGTAAATCAAAGCAACTACGTACGTGAAATCTTAATCTTTTTCATTCCTTAAAGAAAAATAAAACGACCAATACAGTTCTTACAAGAAAATACAGGAGGGGTTCTAATTGAACCTAATTATTGATTACAAATACACTTGTTCAACAACGGAAACAATGCCAGAATGAATTATCCAACATCAAGACGAAGTATTAATTCAAACTTATTCAGATCATTGGTGAGCGTATGCTCAGTAGTGCTTTGGTGGTGGAGGTGATTTGTAGTAATATTGGGGAGGTGGTGGAGACTTCAATGGAGGAGGGGGAGAGTTGTAGTGGTATGTATGGGCAGGTGATTGCGATGGTGGTGGTGGAGATTTGTAGAGATAAGGAGGAGGAGGAGAAGGTGATGGAGGTGGTGGAGATTTATAGATGTAGGGAGGAGGAGGTGATGGAGATGGAGGTGGTGGTGATTTGTAGATATAAGGAGGGGGAGGTGATGGCGATGGAGGTGGGGGGTGACTTGTACACATATGGTGGAGGCGGGGATGGTGAGGGAGGTGGAGGGGATTTATAAATGTAGGGAGGAGGAGGTGATGGGGATGGAGGTGGTGGAGATTTGTAAAGATAAGGAGGGGGTGGTGATGGGGAAGGGGGAGGTGGGGACTTGTAGATGTATGGTGGAGGTGGTGAATGAGAAGGTGGTGGTGGAGATTTGTAAATATAAGGAGGTGGAGGTGATGGGGATGGTGGTGGTGGAGATTTGTAAATATAAGGAGGTGGAGGTGATGGGGATGGTGGTGGTGGAGATTTATAAATATAAGGAGGTGGAGGTGATGGGGATGGTGGTGGTGGAGATTTGTAGACATAAGGAGGTGGAGGTGATGGAGAGGGTGGTGGTGGTGATTTATAAATGTAAGGAGGAGGTGGGTATGGAGATGGTGGTGGTGGAGATTTGTAGACATAAGGAGGAGGAGGTGATGGAGAGGGTGGTGGTGGTGATTTATAAATGTAAGGAGGAGGTGGGGACGGAGAAGGTGGTGGTGGAGATTTGTAGACATAAGGGGGAGGAGGTGACGGAGAGGGTGGTGGTGGTGATTATAAATGTAAGGAGGAGGTGGGGATGGAGAAGGTGGTGGGGGTGACTTGTAGAGATAAGGAGGGGGAGGTGATGGAGATGGGGGGTGGTGGTGACTTGTACACATAGGGAGGTGGGGGTGATGGAGATGGAGGAGGAGGTGACTTGTAAATGTATGGTGGAGGAGGTGAGGGTGAGGGTGGTGGTGGGGACTTGTAAATGTAAGGTGGGGGAGGTGATGGAGATGGAGGAGGAGGTGACTTGTAAATGTATGGTGGAGGAGGAGATGGAGAGGGTGGTGGTGGTGATTTATAAATGTAAGGAGGAGGTGGTGATGGGGATGGGGGAGGTGGTGACTTGTAAATGTATGGTGGAGGAGGTGATGGTGAAGGTGGTGGGGGGGATTTGTACACATAAGGAGGAGGAGGTGAAGGAGATGGGGGTGGTGGTGACTTGTAAACATATGGTGGAGGAGGTGATGGCGAAGGTGGTGGTGGTGACTTGTAGACATAAGGTGGAGGAGGTGATGGAGATGGGGGGTGGTGGTGACTTGTAAATGTAAGGAGGAGGAGGGGAGGGAGAAGGTGGGGGTGGTGACTTGTAGAGATAAGGTGGAGGAGGTGAAGGGGATGGAGGGGGTGGTGACTTGTAAACATATGGGGGAGGAGGTGATGGTGAGGGTGGTGGTGGTGATTTATAAATGTAAGGTGGAGGTGGGGATGGAGAAGGAGGTGGTGGTGACTTGTAGACATAAGGAGGGGGAGGTGATGGAGATGGTGGAGGAGGGGACTTGTAAATGTAAGGAGGGGGTGGAGAGGGAGAGGGAGGTGGAGGTGACTTGTAGATATAAGGTGGGGGAGGAGATTTAGATGGTGGTGGTGGAGATTTGTAAACATACGGCGGTGGTGGTGACGGAGATGGTGGAGGTGGAGATTTATAAACATACGGAGGAGGCGGTGATGGGGATGGTGGAGGTGGAGATTTGTATAAGTAAGGAGGAGGTGGTGGAGACCTGTACACATATGGTGATGGAGGAGCCTTATAAGGGTATGGAGGGTAGTGCCCTGAATGCTCTGGGACTGATGGAAGCTTGAAAGGTGGATAATTGTGGTAATTTGGTTGCGTTTTTTGGGATGGTGGTGGCGGCGAAGCATAAATATAAGGCTTCCTATAATCAGCAGCAACACTAACTGCAATGAGGCAGAATGCCACAGCATAAACCAGAGGCAAATGCCTCGGCTGTAAAGAGGTTCCCATTTCTAGCAATTCAGCTCTTATTGCTAGAAAATATATTTCCTAGAAGTATTGTTGGGAGTGAGTTGCTTGGTATGAATGAGAGCAAACCCTTTTTATAGCAATCTCTGCAATCATTTGGATTTGAGTGCAGATTTGTTTGTTAAATATAACAGGCTGGATAGATGCTTTAGGTTTCTTGCACAGGATTTTTGTAGTTTTTAAAATTCTAGTTGTTCTTATTCCATCGTTGACAAGCCAATGTCGTCTCCCACTAAGTTTTAAGTTCTTTTGTTCCCTCATGGAGGCCCTGAACAAGTCAAGATGCATAGCTGGTAAAAGCGTGTTGGGAGCAGACATGTACTGTACAGCTTTGAACAACTCCAGCAATAAGTAGAAATGGTGAAGCATGAGTATGATAAGATCGAAATTCATTCTTACATTCTGGCTAGCATTATCAACTATGGAGTTTCATAATTGCCAATTGCAATGGGATGATTAATTAATGATTGCATAATTTGCCTTGATGATTTTCAATTTGTCTGATTTTTTGCAAGAGTGATCTATGAATGAAGACTTTAAAAATAGACAGTTTGAATCGTTGAAAAAAATTTAGTAAGATACCCAAAAGAGTGTCCCTCAAATAAAATAATTTGAGGGATACCTCAATGGAAGGAGACTGACATATATAATAAATGAAGTTTTTATATCTATTTTTACTTACCTTATAGTTTTGATATAACTGGATTTCAAAATTCATCCTGGGTTATAATATTTATTTATTCATTAATGCAACTTACTATATCTTTCTTTTTATTCTTTTCTTTTGGATCATGCTAGGGAGATCACATTTATATACCACATTGTAAACCACATCTCTAATATAGAGGTGGAGTCCACCAATACAACGGGTTCCACTTCTATGAGAGAGATGGTTTACAAAATTGTCTATAAATGTAGTCTCCCTAGCATTTTACCTTCCTTTTTGCACTTTCACATCATCTTACTAGTACATTGCTCTCTTAGAGTGGCCTCCAAACTAGTACAGTACCACTCCAAGTACATCCAAGCGCACACACTACCATTCCAACCACCAACACTTGCCACTTTATATACGCACCAATTTACCACCCCCAATAATATAAACAACTACTCCAAGTATAGACATTACCATTGTTCCGATATAGCGCAATTATGAAGCACCAAAGAAAACTGGCAAAGAGTTTCCCTGTTCCAGTTCTCACATTGCAAAATTTACCATGATAATTTTAGGTTTAGCAGGCCTAGAATGGAATATTCAAATGGAATTGCGTGTTGTGAGCTAATTTCATAAAAATATGGTATGATTGAGTGCCTAAAACTTAACCAAATTCAACGAAACCAATTTCTTTTTGTTCCTTGCCAAGTTTAGTTTAAAACCCAACAAATGGATTCCTCAAAAACACAAAGAATTGGGAGGAAAAGAGAGCCAAAGTGAGGCTCGCGAACTACAAATTTTCAGAAAATGCAAATTTCCAGATTTTGTTGTAAGTTGTTTTCAACCATTCTATCACCCCCCCCAGGTTGTTCCTAAGGCTTCTACAACTCTTCTAAACTTCATGCTATCATTAGAACTCATCAAAAACTCAAAATGGAACCAAAATCATAAACACCCACACTTGAAAAATTGCTCTATCCACTCAACCCGAAAATGGAAGTTCAAACTCTTCCAATTCAATTTCCCTATCACTCAAGTGACTCAAAATACTCTTTAAGGGACTAGAAACACACAAACACAAAGTTGAAAATTACAAATTCGAAATTTGACTCACCCTTCACTAGCTTTCAAGGAGTGGAATATTATCAAGCACCCTTCACTACATCTCTAATTGAGATCAAGATTAGATTTTGATGGGAATGTATAAGGGAAGGGGGGAAGAATGAAGGGAAAGGATGGGTTTGCCTCCACGTCGCAGATTCCTCTCTCTTTTTTCTTCTTCTTTTTTGTGTGCCTACAACGGTATTTTGGTAATTTTCACACATAGGGGTATTTTGGTCATTTTGGCCCAAAATTCAGAAACGATTTCCTACTTGTTCATTGAGTTGACTAGGATCGTACTACCTAAGAATCATAATGGTCTCACCTCAATTTCTTAAATGTCCTTTGAAAAATTCACAAAATGTTATGTAAGGATATTTTTGTCCAACTTGAAATTAAACACACTTGATCCAATAATCTCAATCCAAAATCACTTGATAAAATACCCATAATTATTCTTCACCCTATTATTATTATTATTATTTCACTGAAATAAGAAAGTCCACTTTTAATTTTTTTCAAGGTATTACACATGTGCTCCGGATGTGATGGATCACTGACCTTAACCAAACACATTCACAACTGGCTTCATGGAGAGCAAGTATTTCTAAGTGATTGGAAGATGTAGCAATCAACGTTTGTTTTGAGCGTTAGAGTGGCTTTTGCAAGTACTGCCCCCATTTCCATCGTTCGTTTTTGGAGACACGGTTTGGGGTTCTTTTCAATCAAGGAAGCGTGCGGACTTCAGTTAAGAACTTGTGGAGGCATTTCTTCTTGAAAGAAATCCTACTCCAACAGTACTAGAGCACGCCAAGGACTCCAAATCAATGAAGTTGTCTTCTCAAAAGCATGAGCCATTTCAACTCACCACCTTAATGCTTTGCTGAGCGAATCCTAATGCTCTGCCTAGCGAACAAGGAAAAATAAAATGAAAAAGCAAATATGTCATGGGTGAGCAACCCGAAAAATCATTTGATATGAAATTCATTATTGAGTGAGAAACCCTGAAATTTATTTGGATGAGAAACCCCGAAATTTTATTTGGATAATAAATCCATTTAAGAAACCCTATAAATTTCCAATGGATGATGAATCCATGTTATGCCAAAGTCCCCACGAACACCTTGCGAGTGTTCATAAGCACATGTGTGTTATTAAAAATTGTGTTTTTTCCTTCTTTTTTTAAACTCTTGTAATTAAAAATTGTGTTTTCCTTTTCTGTAAAACTCTTATTCAAACATGTAGATATAAATAATATATAAAATAAAGCTTTAACAGTAAAGTAAAAATAAATAAATAAATAAATAAATAAAATAAGTCAAGAGTAACAAAGCAAGCCTGGTATAGTGAAAGCATGTTAAAGATGTTGTCCTAAAGCCTTTAGCCTCCCTACGTGCAGGTAATGACGGTCTACAAGACTCCAAGATACAACCCCAATACGCAGGCTAAAGGTCCGTTATGAGCACGTTCACAGTTGGATAGAAATCTCCAAGCCACATAACCGTTGCCCAATAATAATATGGAAAGTATGGAATATATGAAAGTATAAGAATAGAGAAATCTGATTGTGGTATGTTCAAATGTGACGGATGAGTGGCCTTCTATAGGTATCCAACACTCGTAACCGCCAGACACATTAAATCAGAAAATTTAGGCAATGAATAAAAAATAAAAACTGAAAATTTAAACAATTGTAACTGCCATAATAAATAAAAGAAAACATCCAAAATATTAAAACAAAATCAAAACGTCAAATTTTAAAAACCTTTCAAATAATAACAATCCCTCACAAAGGGTTTTAAAATTTTACAATAGCAAAAGAAAAGAAAATATACATATGGGCAACATAATAATACTATGCAATAGGTGTAAGTGCCTTCCGGGCTTGAACCTTCACTTAGTGATGATAGTTTTCATTTGAGGAACCTGAGTGTACACAATATTGAACTCGGCACCTTTGACCAAACTTAAACATATCCCACACATATATAGTGTTGGTTGAAACTTGGAAGTGGGGTAGCGCTATTTATGGCCATGCGCTAATCTTGATTCTCATGAGAGTTACTAGAGAATATCTCAATTCTCACAATCGCGGCCTCACGACGTCTCTCACTTAGGTGAGTTCTCCAAGAGTACATGTGACATGCACCCTACGGGAGATTGCCCACCTTGAAACTCATTCAGGGGTAACTCCCTTCCTAACGTCACATTATATAGCACTGATGTCATAGGGATGAGCATAAGGACATCTCTAGGGTGCCTCCACATTATATCAATAGTGCTCAATAAGTCACGTAGTATGTATTGTTTCTACCCATTGAACTTCCTTCATGGGATCGCCAATCACAGAAGTTGGGTTACCTCCCTAGGTGACTCCATAATACTTTTAGAAATAATTGTTTGCTTCTTAGAACCCCATGAAATTGCAGCTCCATCTAATAGGAAAATGTAACCACTAGTAGACTTCACTTCTTCATTGTCTGTTATCCAATATGCATCACTATATCCCTCTACTACATTTGGACATCTTTTATAGCACAGTGAATAATACATTGTTCCTCTTAGGTACTTGAAAACTCTTTCCAAAGCATTCCAATGTTCCTTGCTTGGGTTATGTGTATACCTACTTAATCTTCCAACAGCATAAGCAATGTCTAGCCTACTCTTATTTGCAATGTACAACAAAGAACCTATCATCTGGGAGTACTTCAGCTGAGAAAACGGTTCACCTTGATTTTTCTTTAAATGAACATTGGGATCATAAGGTGTTGGTTTTCGCTTACACTCAAAGTAATTGAACTTCTTCAACATCTTCTCAATAGTACTAGATTAACTTAGAGAAATTCTTTGTGTTGTCTTCTCGATTTTCATTCCTAAGATTATATGTGCTTCTCCCATATCTTTCATGTCAAAATTCCTTGATAAATATGACTTCACATCATTCACAAATCTCTAAATTCGTCCCAAAAATCAAAATGTCATCAACATATGGGCACAAGATTACATGTTCTCTATTATTCTCTTTATAATAAACACATTTATCAACTTAAAATTATAATCTAAAATCACCTTGTCAAATTTCTCATGTCATTGCTTAGGAGCTTGCTTTAAGCCATATAAAGATCTAACTAAAGGTTCCACAACATATCATGGAGACAATCAACTAATAATATGTAAGCTACACGACATTTCCACATAACAACTCATCTACTCAAAAGCAATGAGTGCATTCAGGCCTTCAATAAGTGACGTCAGAATGGAAAATGAGCATCCTTTGTAACTATTTGCAATATGTTTCATTCATTTTTTTTCCCTTTTTCTTTTGGATGATAAGAACTACTTACTCATGGGTATATCAGATAGGTCTGAAAAGGCAAATATGGTAATGCAGCACAAATGAAAAAAATATATTTTGTTTCCAATATTATCATTCAGAGATGGCCTCAGCACCTGTAAGGTACTTTGTGTGGGTGTGTGTGTTTGTATGTTCCTGTACAAATATGTGTACGTATATATGTATCTACTTTGCATATTTAGTATGTGTGTACTTAATTCCCCCAGCTTCTGATCTCTTATGACAGTATCTAGTGAGTGCAATAAAATGTTCAGGCCAGTACTTAAATCGTTTTCCGGCAGTTCTTGCTGAATGTCGAACAGGTGTTGCTCTCATCAAATCCTTGTTTCCATCATCTGATACATTATCTTCAACCTTAACATTTGGGGAATGTTCTACATATGTAGTTTCATTTTTACGATCACTTTGCTTGTTTGCAGATGTTGAACCTGCACCACCTTTAAAGTCATATTCTGCGTGTTATCCCTGAAACCAACAAATTCCTGAGAGTGGATCATCAAAAAATGATATGTACATTAACACGACGGACTTATATGAACAGAAACTAACCTCAGTAAGTTCCTTAGGGAAATCAAGTTGGGCTTCTTCGGGGTTCTCTGCTTGTGTCCCAATCCACCAAGCATCGGAAAACACGATCTGGGACATGAAAAGCTAATGCTGAGATATATATATCTGTGTAAAAAATGGTTTGAGAAACTCAGTTTCATATAACAAGCACATGGCCATAGACAAACAAAACAAAAGATGTGGATTTTTTGGAAAGGGGCTGCAAAATGGCGTTACCACACTCTGTAAGAAGAACAAGAGGAAGATTCTTGGTGAAAGTTTTATGAAACAATAGCTCTGAAACATTATGTACACAAAGTATAAAAGCACACAAAGAGAGGAGTTGCAAGCATAGGGTAATTAGTATGAATACAATGAAGACATGCTATTTCAATCAACCCAAAAGATACAGGAATAAAATTATGTAGTTCTTCTGCCTTATGAGATGCAACTTTCAGAGTACAAGTTTCCACGAAATATCAGCTTTGCAGTTCTTTTGCCTCATTCTCAACCAACTATTACTTAGTTCTATGAGTCTCAACTGAATCAGTTACCAGTTAAAAACAAGTAGCAATTCTAACTTATTCAGACATGCAAGCATTGACTTCTAATAACCTCTGGGTTTGGATCCTCTTCGTCTTTGCGCTTCTTCTTCGATGACGAGGTTCGCGCCATTTTGATTCCACCGGACTTTTCTCTTTTTCTGTCTGTCTGTTCCTCCGACTATTATTTGATATTGATTTGTAGGGTTTTTGTTGACTTCAGAAGGAAGGCGGGAAGCAGAGAAAAACCCCAACTTTATTCTTATTATCTTTTTATTTTATTTGATAATTTAACGTTTAACGGTAGCAATCATTTGATAATATAAATTTTAACGGTAGGGAGGGAAGGAATCATTTGATAAATCAACAAAACTAAAAAGAAGCCATAGTGTGTATGGTATGGTTTTTTAAGTGCAGGAAGCGCATCCATCGCTGCACACCCGCTGCCCCCCTTTTTTTGGGCTCTAATCAGATTGTTACAAAATTGCTGTTGGCTCCGTATTCAGCTTTAAACTTACAAGTAAAAAATGTGCATAATCTGTCAACCATGCCCTCAGCTCTATTGCAAGAGATTATATTTGTATTCTGGACACCCTTCAAAATCACTTCATCATGCATGAAAACAATCTCATAAACAAATTAATGGATCCCCAAACACCGCCCAATGTGGCAAACGGCAGGGGAAACTCTGGGCACTCAAATGCTCTACCACAGTTATAATCAGTGAAGAATTGGAGATAAACATGTTTTGGGCATCTTGCCATAAAACATTATAGGCAGGTGACTGCAAATGAACAGCTATTGTCCAAGCTAATTCACAAGGCCCCTCTGTTTGAAGACGTCAAGCATCGCAACCCCTATTTTTGCTGGAGACTCCACCACTGTCACCCCAGCTTCCCTAAGGGTCTTGATTTTGTCTTGTGCTGTACCCTTCCCCCCTGACACAATAGCTGCACAAGCAGATGCCACCAATGACATGTGTGATTATCATGCTATGAGAATGATATGAAACCACACTCAACCATAGACAATGAGAGAAAGAGAGAGAGTAATGAATCATATACCTCCAGCATGACCCATACGAAGGCCAGGAGGAGCAGTTAGTCCAGCAATAAAAGCAACAATAGGCTTCTCAGTTCCACTTTCCTGTTTGATTGGTCAGATAATCAGTTGCCACCCATATACAGACAAAAGATAAAGATGGTAGCAGTGACAGCTAACTGTGAGAATTTACGATGCTGAGTCGAGTGTGTGTGTGTGTGGTGCGGGGGGTGGGGGGGTTGGGACTCTTTCCAAAACGGACAGTACAATATCCTGACCTCTTTGCTGATATGCCTTACTTCCGCTAGTGCCATAGAAAGAAGAAGATCATGAACATACAGCTTAGCATCTGGATGCTGAACAGCTACACGACCAATATCTTGCACAAGCTTAACTTCTCTAACCTAGAATGAAGAAATCCAATATCATTATAACCCACCTTCCAAAACAAAATCCTTTCTCCCTTTTTTTAAAAAAATTAAACAAGAAAAACCATTCTAAAATATTACGAATAAGATAATGTTACACACTTAATAAATGCAATTAGGCAATGTGTATCTACAAGAGGAATCCACAACGAAAAGTATGGGTGAAAAAATGAGTTTCACGACAAACTGTAGCAATCAAATTCTGTAAAGTATTCAATCCCTCTTAAATTAGTGTTTAACAATATTTATTTTTCTTCAAAGAAGAAAAAAAGAGCCTGAAAGGCTGAAGGCTAAACACTAAGCCACAAAAATCTATGTTAGACTAAGTAGATTGTACAAAGACAAATCTGTACCTCTTGAAGAAGGCAAAGAGCACCTGGCAACCAAGCCCAAGGGATTCGTAGGGAAGATTTAGGTGGGATCTTTTCCTTAATATTACCAGCATATTCTGGTTCAAAAAGAAGCTTATCTCTCACATCCATTAAAAGACCCTGCAAAGCAGCCCACAAGAGAAATAATTTAAAGATGAAATTAAACGACCTAGCAGAAAGCTCTTTCCACCTGGTATATCTACAACATATAATAAAAAACTTTAAAGTCTCAACCTGGCGAGATGCAACAGCATCCATGGTGTAACCTTCTTCAATTTCAGCACTTTTCAAATCCATCACTGATTTAACAACCTCATCTTTTTCAGCTTGATCAGGAACGCCAATAAGCTGCAAATTCATTACGTTAGCATTAAGTTACTAAATGCAGAGTCAGACTAACAATAAAGCTCAGAAAATACAGATATGTTAGCGCAAGATTCACATAAACATCACACAAATTGTACAAACTAGACAAACTCTGATAACTTGATTATGCCACTTCCAAGTGTAAGGATGGCAGAGTTTGTTCAACAGTTGAAGCTCTTGAGGACAATGTTAAATATGGCACTATTGCAGATGATGCTATTAGCCCGCAGACTAAAGAGCGACTCAAGTGACTTGCAGGATCTGGAGCCAGAACAAAATGCAGGAGGCAGAGGGAAAGCAATTTTATCCCCTTTCGATTTTCTCAGCTCCAAACCAGAATGAATACACATTTAACAAATAATCAGGATTTAACAAACACGAAGCCCACCAAGATTACACATTTAACAAATAAGTTGAGAACTTATATCTTCTGTCATAGTTCATCCTTTAGAACACAAATCAGACCAACAAAACAAGAAACGTACAAATGAGATAAGAATGTTGTGAGGAGAAATAAGATGAAAATATAAGGGCCAAATTATTATATTACACTCATGGAAATGTAGGATAGGATTACAAGCATGTGTAAAAGCTTCCCCAGTTAAAAACAAAACATCCACGCTACTGAGCTATTCAACAGAACCACAAGGAAAACAGGCAAAAGCCCATCATGCATGCAGAACTCCCAACTTCACTAAGCAGTCGCAGGATCGTTTATCACACCCAAGAAATCATCCTTTATTGTACCAATGCAGAACTGCAAAACAGAGGGAGAACTATTATCAGAAGCAAACAAAATGAATCCAAATTGCCTTTTGTCAAAAACTGACTATGGCAAAAACTGGATTGCCTTTTGTCAGGCGGTTCTAAGAGACCAAGTGTGTCAAAAACTGACTATGGCAGCTAACCAGGATCAAACAAGTAAGAGATTCATGGAAATCCAGGATATGATCATCCCATCACTCCACCGTTCAGATTGATTTAGTGTTGAAAATTCAAAACATGGCACTGATTAATCGAGGAACAATTAAAAGGACCATTCCTTGGATGACTTTACTCCATTTTCCAAATCACATGGACAGCACACGGAAAATGGAAACAGCAAAGACAAATTAAAGAATCACTAAGTGAAAAGAAAACAGAGTGACTGCATACAATTTCAGTAGCATCTACTCGGGTTCCAATTATCTTTAACCGAACTTCGCTATCTTTCTGAATCTTAACCTACAAAATAACAAAAGATCAATTTAACCATATAAACTAAGCTAGAAAAGAAACAACTACTCTTTAGAGAATCAGGTGAAACTGAGGCATACTGATCCATCTGATGTTGTATAATTTGGCATATCTCCAGATTGGAACTCCATATCATCCGGTATCAACTACAACACAAGATGAGGACGTTAACATATACTCTATATGTAAGATATAACCATTATGATATGATATTTGAATCCATGACTCAGAAGGTACAAGAGAGGAGCACTTCAAACTCCAAAAACCAGTAACCTATAGTATAAGTTAAAGAAGTTGAAAAAGTTAAACTCTCATTGAACTTCAACTTACATAAAAAATTTCTCATATATATGACTAGTAGACTACTGCTTATATACAATTAGGATATAACATTGACAATGTTAAGACAAAATAATGACTATGTTATAAAGAAAGAAGCAACATTTACTAACCTAAAGGCCAAAAGTACATGATTCTTTAGATGTGGCACTTTATTTAAAAAGTTGAGTAGAAATGGTTCTTTTGAAGGAAGGGGGGAGGATAGAAGGCAAAGAAAAACACACACAATAGCAACAATGCAACCCGCCTTAGTCCTTGCCAAAGCTTATAACTTCATACAATACAAAATTTGCTAACAAGATATGAATAAAAGCTTATCACTGCTCAGAATAAACAAAGGCAGATACTTACATGGTTTGAAACAAAGATTTGAACAGGACCAGCCTCAGCAAAAAATCCCATCTATAAGAATTCAGATGCCATTACATATTTTCCGCATTTAGTATAAAGAATACAAGTGCTTGAAAAAACAAAGTAAGAATATTGTTGCCATCACCTTGATAGGTAAAAGAGGAAAGCATACCTTGTTCACCATAGTAACAACAGCTTCTAAGATCTCTCCTTTGAATGGTCTGAAAACAACACACTGGTACTTCACAGGGAATGTGACAAACCCTGTCCCATCGCGAATCAGCCCCTTCCCAATGTTTTCTATGCCCGTAATTGCAACCACAAACCCATGTTGACCACTGCACAAAAGATGAAAATATACCAACTGCTTTATCCATCCCACCATGTAGCAAAACCAGCGAAGAACATTTACCATATAATTGGTTTTTCAAAGCTATAGCACTTGAAAGTTAAACTTAAGCAGGAGAACTTGGTGAAATTCAATTATAAAGTGACTAAAAATGGAATTGGACTAGTATTAATTATACAGAAGGAGCCATGCTAATGCAAAATACAAGCCGTACTGGAGCTTATATTGGCAAGGTCCAAGCTTTCACAAAGACAAAACTGAACAAGAACCAGTGCTGAGTGTCCCCCCTCAACAAACTCAATGTAATCTGGGATTTATCTATAAATTAATATCGGGTCAAACTTCAATGTATTTAACGTTACTGCGTCTGCATAAGGACTGACAAGATTCAGTTTTTAGTTTGTTTTTGTTTACCCATGTTTAGAGCATAATCGAACAGATAAGGGTTTCCGTTCCTAAATAAGCATGTAGCAAATAAAGTTAAAAGAAGAAAGAGAATCGAATGGTTTAAGCTTTCCTCGGATTTAAATTTCGCAGGGCTACAAGGCAAAAAAAAAAAAAAAAAAAAAAAAAAAAAAAAAAAGAAAAGCAAGGTTATATTGTATTTAATAAGAAGAAGAAGAGGAGGAGGAGGGGGAACCTGCAAGTGCCTTCAACATCTTTCATGAGCTTGGCCACTAGATTTTCACGGAGATTGCGGCCAAAGTGACGAGGATGAAGCTGCATGTTTCTTTCCAACACTATATGGAAGAACATCTTCTTTGACAGCTTCAGGGAGGCAGTAGCAATCGCCGACTGTTGCTCAGCTGAGAGAGAGAGAGAGAGAGAGAGAGAAAGAGGGACCGGTTGCAGGACAGCTTGGCCGTTATCTGAGCGACCCCTTGTGTGCAAGGTGCTCTATGAAAGTCCCCTGTAGGCTTGCCTTGCGCTGCTCTCTAAACTTCTTCCAGACGCAGCTGCTCTGCTCTGGCAGCACCACGACTTGAATTTTGTTTGGGTTGCAGAGGCAGCGAAGAAGATGATGTCGTGAAGAGTTGGTGATTTGCCCTAGCTTATGCCTTATTTTAGTTGAAACTCACCGCTTCACTAGTTGTAGGGTTTTCCAAAAACTCTGGGCCACGTATAAGTATGGCCCAAATTTTTATTAATAACTTGTAGGTTTTTTAAAAAAGTTTGGCCCAAATGTTTTTTAATAAAACCTTTTATGGCATGTTTACGTATCAGTAATAAGTATGGAAAGAAAGGGAATGATTTCCATTCCTGACTTCTCCTGCGTTTACTTGCAATCAGGAATGAAAAAATAAGTGGGCCCCACATCAAAATCCGTAATCACATTCCCTCAAAACTAGGAATCAGATCAACTAGGGAGAGTAGTCGATACGATTCCCATTCCTGTTTTCTCTTAATAACTTCCAAAAATACCCTTATCACTTTACCATAATTCTAAAATTAATTTGGATTTTGATTCATGCAAATTAGTAAACAATAACAATGTGAATTAATCTCATTCCATTGCTAATTCCATATGTTTAGTAAACAGCTTAATAAGAATGATTCTTCCCATACCGATTCAGTAGTTCTCCGATTCCTAAATTCTTTGATTCCTTAGTTTCTCCATTACTGATACGTAAACATGCCCTTAGTCTATACCCAGTGAAATATTTAACTAATATATTAGTACAATAGTAATTTATAAAAATTAATAAATATATTATTTTAATTTTCGTATACGTGGCATACTCATATCCTGATTTTTGGAGAATTAAATAAATGTTCGATCTTTATGCTTTTTAGTTTTTTTTTTTTAAAAAAAATTCAACACTTTTACCCTATGACCCCTTGGACCGAGAATCCTAATCCGCCATTGGCTATAACAGGCTAAGGGCAACATAGAGGGAGTGAAATAGAGATACAAGCAACCGATAACAAAGAGGGAGTGTTAGATCTGAAACTTGAAATGTCGAAGAGAGAGACGGAGGGAGAGAGAAGGAGGAGGGGTGGGTAGCATGGCTGGAAGAAGAGGAGATGCACTGCAAAAAAAAAAAAAAAAAAAAAAAAAAAAAAAGAAGAAGATAATGATAAGGACTGAAATGATGATGATTGAATTGTTTTCTTGGAGCTGCAAGAGGAGAATTTGATTAAGTTTCTTGGAGCCTTCAAAGGGGTGCGTGGATGGCTATAGAGTGGAGTGGGCACGTGGATGACAAAACCCTTTGGTTCTTAAAAACAGGTAATTACAACCCGGTTGTAGCATAAAGAGAATGCCAAATGTATACCATTTGATCGATCGGACGTCTCTTAAGGGAACCCTGCACAAACACCCCCTTATAACTTACCCCGCATTATGGCCTGGCCTTTTGATTTTAAGGTTTCTTTTATTTTCCTAGTTTCACATTGGGCACAACCGTAATTTTATAAAATGCTGAGATAATGAATGTGTATGGTTTTCGAAGTATTTGATTATGAATTTTATATAGATTTTTTTTACTTCAAAATAGTTTCAATCCTCTTGATTTTAGTAAACACAGCAAAAATCAGGAACAATCCCTTCTAGCTTAGTAAATATGTCATAAATTAATTAAAACAAAGAGGGGTTATATTTTCTCTAGAAAAAAGAGAAGGGATATTATTTTGCTTCAATTAAAATTGAAAAAAAGAAAAAGAAAAAAGAAAGCTAGCTAGCAAGGCATGTAATTGAAAAGCAGCATATGGGGTGAGAGGCCGGCCCAACAAAAGGAAAAAAGAAACAAGGAAAGACCAGTTTGAGGCAAGAGATGGCCCATTAAAAAGTCTAAATGTCTACTCTCTCTCTCTCTCTCTCTCTCTCTCTCTTTCTCTCTCTCTCCCTCTCTCTAAACAATGAGAGGCCTCCAAGTCATACATTCTATGAATCTGTGAATCTATCTATATAGTTCGCAGATCAGTGTCTACATTTCCCTGTCTAGTGTTTGCTTACTGGAGTGGTGTCTCAGTCTTAGCATACTCTTATAGACCCAATCCAAATGACAAATCCCAAACTCTAAAACCAAAACCCCCAAATCCATTACTCATTTTCCTCTTCTTCCTCAATTCTCAAAGGAAACAAGGTCGGAAAACCTGAGCAAATCAACGGCACAGCCACCGCGAAAAAAAGGTCCGTCTTCGTCCCCGGCCACCTCCATGTCAGGGTTGAAACCAGATCTCATCAACAACCTCTCATTCAAAACCCTAAAACTCAAAACCAAGCAACAAGAGCTCCTAATCCGAGTCTCCATCCTCTGCTCTACATCCTCGCCTTCATTACGCGGCTTTTCAACGTCCTTCGCTACAAGTCCATGATCCATGAGTTCGATCCCTATTTCAATTACCACACTACCCTCTACTTTACCAAGAAGGGCTTCTACGACTTCTGGAACTAGTTCGACTCCGAGAGCTGGTACCCCCTCGCCCGAATCATCGACAGCACCCTCTACCCCAGCCTCATGGTCACCACTGCCCTCATCTACTAGACCCTCTGATTCCTCAACTTCGACGTTCACATTCGTGAGGTCTGTGTTTTAATGGCCAAAAGTATATGATTCTTTAGAGGTAGCACTTTATTAAAAAAGTTAAGTAGAAATGGTTCTTTTGAAGGATGGGGGGGAAATAGAAGGCAAAGAGAAACACACACAATAGCAACAATGCAACCCGCCTTAGTCCTTGCCAAAGCTTACAACTTCATACAATACAAAATTTTCTAACAAGACATGGATAACAACTTATCACTGCTCAAAATAAACAAGGGCGGATACTTACACGGTTTGAAACAAAGATTCGAACAGGACCAGTCTCAGCAAAAAATCCCATCACCTTGATAGGAAAAAGAGGAAAGCATACCTTGTTCACCATAGTAACAACAGCTTCTAAGATCTCTCCTTTGAATGGTCTGAAAACAACACACTGGTACTTCATAGCGAATGTGACAAACCCTGTCCCATCACAAATCAGCCCCTTCCCAATGTTTTCTATGCCCGTAATTGCAACCACAAACCCATGTTGACCACTGCACAAAAGATGAAAATATACCAACTGCTTTATCCATTCCACCATGTAGCAAAAACAGCGAAGAACATTTACCATATACTTGGTTTTTCAAAGCTATAACACTTGAAAGTTAAACTTGAGCAAGAGAACTTGGTGAAATTCAATTATAAAGTGACTAAAAATGGAATTGGACTAGTATTAATTATACAGAATGAGCCATGCTAATGCAAAATACATGCCGTACTGGAGCTTATATTGGCCAAGGTCCAAGCTTTCACAAAGACAAAACTAAACAAGAACCAGTGCTGAGTGTCCCCCCTCAACAAACTCAATGTGATCTGGGATTTATCCATAAATTAATATCGGGTCAAACTTCAATGTATTTAACGTTACTGCGTCTACATAAGGACTGACAAGATTCAATTTTTTGTTTGTTTTTGTTTACCCATGTTTAAAGCATAATAGAACAGATAAGGGTTTCCGTTCCTAAATAAGCATGTAGCAAATAAAGTGAAAAGAAGAAAGAGAATCAAAAGGTTTAAGCTTTCCTCGGATTTAAATTTCGCAGGGCTACAAGGCAACAACAAAAAAAAAAGCAAAAGAAAATCACAAGGGTTATATTGTATTCAACAAGAAGAAGAAGAAGAAGAAGAAGAATAGGGGGAACCTACAAGTGCCTTCAACATCTTTCATGAGCTTGGCCACGAGATTTTCACGGAGATTGCGGCCAAAATGAAGAGGATGAAGCTGCATGTTTTTTCCAACAGTATATGGAAGAACATATTCTTTGACAGCTTCAGGGAGGCAGTGGCAATCGCCGACTGTTGCTCAACTAAGAGAGAGAGAGAGAGAGAGAGGGACCGGTTGCAGGACAGCTTGGCCTTTATCTGAGCGACCCCTTGTGTTGGGGTTGGGGTTGGGTTTTGGCATTTGGTCTGCTACTAAATGGGCTTGTATAAAAGTAATTGGGTTGCTGGCATATTAAATCTTTTTTATTTTTTATTTTTGTTAGAAATGTTATATAAATAGTAGTTTATGATATTTTTTTTGTGTAACTTTTATTTATTAAATCTTATTTCATCTTTATAAAAAAAAATTATGAACATTTTAAAGGAAATAGTAGTATAGTAGATAGCACCATTACTTATAATTATATGCATGTTTAATTTATATAGGGAGAGATAGTTTCTGTTTGATATAATTAAATGTATGTTTAACCTTGGTTCATGTAAATATAATTTGGGAAATCTTTTATGTTTTATGTATACATATACATTGTAACAAAAAAAAAGAAAGATATATATGTACATCTAAAACCAAATGAAAGTATTTCACGAGGTATTAGCTAATGACAATTTAATGAAAAATTAATTTGTGGTATGTATATTTGTTCATTTTTAAAAATAAAATAAAAAAAATAAAAAAACGTGTTAGTCTTGCCCTAGACAATCACACATATACTTCTATCATGATTCATAGGTAACAAGCACATATATGCATTTTTGTTATATAGTATAGTCAAAAATACATAATCTTAAAGTGATATGTACTCTTATACATGTGTACATATATGTATATATTAAACCTTTAGTATATATAGGCATGTGTATAATTCTGATGTATACATGTATGTGTAAGTATGTTCATAGTTACTGGGATTTCATTGTGCATATTTGCAACTTCCACAAAGGTAGAATTGATGTGAAAATTGGAGTGTGGAAACACAACATTTTCATGTGTTGTTTCTTGGTTTGAAGAATGAGCAAGGGATAAATTCATTTTTTCTCCATTCTTTCTTAAAGTTGAAAAATAAAAGAATTTCGAGAAAAAAAATGTGTCCGGTCGCAATTGCCTTCAACATCTTTCATGAGCTTGACCAAGAGATTTTCACGAAGATTGCAGCCAAAGTGACGAGGATGAAGTTGCATGTTTCTTTCCAACACTATATGGAAGAACATCTTCTTTGACAGCTTCAAGGAGGCAGTGGCAATCGCCGACTGTTGCTCGGCTAAGAGAGAATGAGAGAGAGAGAGAGAGAGAGAGAGAGAGAGAAAAAAAAAAAAAAAAGGACCTGTTGCAGGACAAATCGAGAGGGAGGGTGGGTTTTTTTGGACCAAAACCCACAGTGTAAACAAGAAGCCAGAAAATTTTCAACTATTGAATAAGAGTGAGAACCAGAGAACTTCGGAGGGAGAGAGAAACGGAGAGAAAAAGAAAGAGGTGATTTGGGTGGGTTTTGGAGACACGGGAAAAGAGAAGGTGGGGGACGAAAGAAGAAAGAAGAAAGAAGACATAAACAAATATAAGAAAATAAATGGCTATGAAGATATAAAGAAATAGGGGATTAGGTTAGGGTTGGGTTTTGCCATTTGGGCTGCTGCGAAATCGGCTGGTATAAAAGTAATTGAGCTGCTGGCATATTAAATCTTTTTTATTTTCTATTTTTGTTAGAAATGTTATATAAATAGTAGTTTATGATTTTTTTTTTTATGTAACTTTTATTTATTAAATCTTCATCTTTAAAAAAAATTTAAGTAAATTTAGGTTTTAGCCACAAAAAAAATTTCACTTTTGGAAAAATCCAAACTTTAAAAAAAAAACAGAAAAACCTCTCAACTTTCAAACAAAATACTGGTGTGTTTACTAATCAAGAATTGAAATTCTCATCAGGAATTGAATTCCACTTTTGAGGATTCCTGTATTTACTTCACATCAAAGAATTGAAAAAGTAAGTGGGGCCCACGCAAAATTAGGAATTTTGGAGGAATTCTATTCCTAAATGGGATGAGGTAATCTAATTCAGGGAGAACCAACCCATCAGGAATTCATTTTTTTCTACCCATTATATCCTCACACACTTTTCAAAATTCCAAATTTGCCACTCTCTTTCATTACCCAACAAAACCTAATACGTTCTGTCAAAAAAATCCCTTCTTCTCTTTTTCTCAGTTGCCGCCATCTTCTCCCAGCTACCACCTCTTCGTGCTCAAGAATTCTCAGGTAAGATTTCTTTCTTACAAGTTTTCTAATTGTTGTTCTTAGTATTTCTTGAATATTATTATTTTGTATTTGTTTTCCCATTGTTCTTTGGTTTTTTTCTTTTGTTTTTCCTCTGTATTCTTGTGGTAATATTAATATAATATGTAGATGATGAATTTTTGTGGTTCAGTAAGGATTCCATGATAAGTTTGCCATTGTGGAGTAGGACCTACGGGTTTGGTTTTTGGGTTTTTTTTTTCTTTTTCGTGCTAAGCTCTTTTTTTTTTCTTTTTTCTTTTTTTCTCTAAACTTGTTCTTGGGTCCTAGTCGGAGTTTTACAAGCTTTTATGGGAAAAATAATTAGTATATCAAAGAGACTTATCTTTCCTATATCATAATACGCCTTATTAATATGCATTCAATCAAAGTAAGAGAATGTAAGTGCTCAAATAGTTCTTATCTTTGTTAGTTAATAATTAGGAATATAATTTTGTAGGTGGTGTGATGTAATAGATTTACATGAATTTTTTATCTATTTGGTTTCATTCTGTGACTGGTAGGAGACGAAGTATATGGCAAATTTATTAGTTCTTTCTATAACAAAGATGTTGATTTGGTACGAACTGCCACTTATCAAATTGCATTTTGTAATATTAATTGGTGTATATATGTTGTTATTTTTCATTGTGTTCTAGTCTTATAATTTAATTGAGTGCTTTTTTTCTTTATTATTTCTTTATTTGCTTGGCAATTGATGTCCTTTATGACATTTTTTTTTTCTCTTGTATGTGATGTAGACAAATGGCTCATCTAAGTTTATCCACAAAGAAGAAATTACATGCTACATTAAATGCATTGATTGTCTACCTTCGAACCATATTTGTTGCGTGAGCTGCTACTTATTTCTATACTTGGTTTCGTTTCCAAAAACACCTTAGAAGTCCCTCAAGATCAGTTATAAGAGTCTATAAGCAATTAGATTACCTATATGGCCTAATTTATGAGAGTGATGTGACATGTATTGCCCAACTACGGATGGATAGACAATCATTTCATAAATTATGTCAAATTCTTGTCACTAGAGGACAACTATGGCCGACTCGAAATGTGTCCATAGAAGAGATGATTGCAATGTTTTTACATATTCTTGCACACCATATTAAGAATCGCACAATCAAGTACAACTTTAGTAGGTCCGGTTGAACAATTAGTAAATATTTTCATGAGTGTTTGAAAGCAATGATTCGATGCCAAAAGGATTTTTGAAAAACACCCGAGCCTATCCTTGAGAACTCAACGGACCCAAAGTGGAAGTGGTTTAAGGTGTGTAATTTTGTTGCATTATTACAATTATTATTAAAAGTTTTTTTATATTTTAACACATTATTAATTTAGTCATCTATTATAATGTAGAATTGCTTAGGAGCACTAGATGGAACATATATTAAGGAGCGTGTACCAGAATTGGATAAACCAAGGTATAGAACAAGGAAAAATGAAATAGCAACAAATGTTTTGGGAGTATGTTCTTCGGACATGCAGTTTATATATGTTTTGCCCGGATGGGAGGGTTCCGCACACGATGGGCGAGTCCTTAGAGATGCTGTGACTAGGAGAAATGGATTGAAAGTCCCTAACGGTAACATTCAAAAAAATTTATTAAGTAAATTGAACTTCTTATCATCTAAATTATGAGAAAAATAAAAATATAACATTTGAATTTCTTCTTAACAATAGGTTATTACTATTTAGTTGATGGTGGCTATACAAATGGAAAAGGTTTTCTTGCACCTTTTAGAGGACAACAATATCATCTCAACGATTGGAGAGATGGATACCGACCTACAACACCAACGGAGCTTTTTAATATGAAACATTCAAGCACTAGGAATGCTATTGAAAGGTGTTTTGGACTATTAAAAATGTGGTGGGCAATTCTTAGGAGTCCATCATTTTATGACATTACAACACAAAGCCGTATAATTTCAGCATGTTGTATGCTCCATAATTTTATAAGAAGAGAGATGCTTGTAGATCCTATGGAAGATAATATGAACACTCAATTGCAAGATGGGAATTTAGAAGCGAATGACTACATTACCGTTGTTGAGTCCTCAGATGAGTGGACTACATGGAGGCAAAACCTTGCACTAGAAATGTTTAACACTTGGAGAGCAACTAGGGAAGCTAGGGAATCTTAATAAGTTAATGCAACTAGTTATGTTTTCTTTATTTTTAATGTGCGTGTAATGTGATAAAGACATAGACATTATTTGTATGTCTCAATGTTTTTGTAATAAAGTTTGGAATGTTTCTTTTAATCTTTGATTCTAGTTTGATTGACAACTTTATAAAAGGAAAGGAATATATAATCTTGGCTGGATTTTATACTTATGTTTGTTGCTAATGTAGCACGGAGTGTAGGTTTAATTTGAAACGAGGAAGGGCCCAACAAAAACATTTTTGGATAGCCAGTGAGGATGTAGCATTGATGGAGTCATTGAAGGAATTATATCATGACATGACGTGGCGAGCTGACACTGGTTTTAAGAATGGTTACTTGGGCAAGTTAGAATGTATGTTGGAAGCCAAAATTCCCAGTTGTGGATTAAAGGAGTCTCCTCATATTGAATCACGAGTCAAGACATTGAAGTCAAAATATTTTGCTCTAACTGAGATGTTATCTCTAAGTGGATTTGGATGGAATGAAGAGAAAATGATGTTGGTATGTGAGAAAAATGGAATTTTTACTTCCTTGCAATTGAGTTTAGGGTTTTTTCTATTTTCCTAGTTTCACATTGGGCACAACCGTAATTTTATAAAATGCTGAGATAATGAATGTGTATGGTTTCCGAAGTATTTGATTATGAATTTTATAAAGATGTTTTTTACTTCAAAATAGTTTCAATCCTCTTGATTTTTGTGAACACAGCAAAAATCAGGAACAATCCCTTCTAGCTTAGTAAATATGTCGTAAATTAATTAAAAAAGAGAGGGGTTATATTTTCTCTAGAAAAAAGGGAAGGGATATTATTTTGCTTCAATTAAAATTGGAAAAAAACAAAAAGAAAAAAGACAGGTAGCTAGCAAGGCATGAAATTGAAAAGCAGCATATGGGGTGAGAGGCCGGCCCAACAAAAGAAAAAAAAGAAACAAGGAAAGACCAGTTTGAGGCAAGAGATGGCCCATAAAAAAGTCCAAATGTCTAGTCTCTCTCTCTCTCTCTCTCTCTCTCTCTCTCTAAACAATGAGAGGCCTCCAAGTCATTCATTTTATGAATCTATGAATCTATCTATATAGTTCGCAGATCAGTGTCTACATTTCCCTGTCTAGTGTCTGCTTACTGGAGTGGTGTCTCAGCCTCAGTCTTAGCATACTCTTATTGACCCAATCCAAATTACAAATCCCAAACTCTGAAAGCAAAACCCCCAAATCCATAACTCATTTTCCTCTTTTTCCTCAATTCTCAAAGGAAACATGGTCGGGAAACCTAAGCCGGTCAACGGCATAGCCACTGCGAAGACAGGCCCATCTCCGTCCCCAACCACCTCCATGTCAGGACTGAAATCAGATCTCCTCAACAACCCCTCATTCAAAACCCTAAAACTCAAAATCAAGCAACATGAGCTCTTGATCCGAGTCTCCATCCTCTGCTTAGTCTACATCCTCGCCTTCATTACGCGCCTCTTCAGCTTCCTTCGCTACAGTCCATGATCCACGAGTTCGATCCCTATTTCAATTACCGCACTACCCTCTACTTGACCGAGAAGGGCTTCTACGACTTCTGGAACTGGTTTGACTCCGAGAGCTGGTATCTCTTCTGCCGGATCATCGGCAACACCCTCTACCCCGGCCTCATGGTCACCGCTGCCCTCATCTACTGGACTCTCTGATTCCTCAGCTTCGCTGTCCACATTCGCGAGGTCTGCGTTTTAACGGCCAAAAGTATATGATTCTTTGGAGGTTGCACTTTATTAAAAAAAATTGAGTAGAAATGGTTCTTTTGAAGGATGGGGGAGAAATAGAAGGCAAAGAGAAACACACACAATAGCAACAATGCAACCCCGCCTTAGTCCTTGCGAAAGCTTATGACTTCATACAAGACAAAATTTTCTAACAAGAAATGGATAAAAGCTTATCACTGCTCAGAATAAACAAGGGCAGATACTTACATGGTTTGAAACAAAGATTTGAACAAGACCAACCACATCAAAAAATCCCTTCTATGAGAATTCATATGTCATTACATATTTTCTACAATTAGCATAAAGAATACAAGTGCTTGAAAAGACAAAGAACATTGATGTCATCACCTTGATAGGTAAAAGAGGAAAGCATACCTTGTTCACCATAGTAACAACAACTTCTAAGATCTCTCCTTTGAATGGTTTGAAAACAACACACTGGTACTTCACAGGGAATGTGACAAACCCTGTCCCATCGCGAATCAGCCTCTTCCCAATGTTTTATATTCCCGTAATTGCAACCACAAATCCATGTTAACCACTGCACAAAAGATGAAAATATATCAATTGCTTTATCCATCCGACCATGTATCATAAACAGAGAAGAACATTTACCATATACTTGGTTTTTCAAAGCTAAAGCACTTGAAAGTTAAACTTGAGCAAAAGAACTTGGTGAAATTCAATTATAAAGTGACTAAAAATGGAATTGGACTAGTATTAATTATACATAAGGAGCCATATTAATGTCCATTTGCAATAAATATAGTTCCACCAAAATTCAAAGCTGAGTCAATAAGGGACTATGGGCTTTATGGATTCGTCCATGCAATAAGGCCTAGTGCCCAAGACATAGAGTCCTGGGCTATGCCCATTAAAATATGTTGGGCTGTCAAGTGCAAGTCCCAAGCCCAATGAACTTGTCCATTGAAAATTCAATTGGCGAAGTGGTGCGAAGTCTCAAATCCACAAATTATGAATTAATGAGCTTAAATCCAAAAATGCGAATTAGTTTCCAAATCGTCAAGTGAAAGCCCAAGTGGTACAAAACCACGTCAAAAGCCCCACTAAGAAATGTGGGAATCAATCACTGTGGCAAAGAAGCTATTCAGAAAGGAGTGCCAAGCGACTCAACCATGTTGTGATGATGACTCCAATCCAAATAAATAATTGGTCATGCACTGAGCATCAAGCTCACTCTCAAAAGATACTAAAGGAGCATCAATATGGATTAACGGGTTTGTCAACCACAATAGCCCATTAACCTTAAATCCTCCAAATCATGCATGGATACAAATGCATGTGTTAATGATTAAATTAAATCTCTCAAACACAAATTCTAAATTAGTGGGTCATATTTACCGATTAATTTCCAAACTTGGAACTACATTAGTTTGATCTCATCAAGGGTATGTAGGCGAACATCCCAATAGACGCAATCGCAATCAAATTTTCGATCCCATCATGTGATTAAGAGACGCATGATTTGCAATTGCAATCAAAATAATAAAACTCCATTATTTAAATAGTGGTTATGAAATTATGTTAGGAGGTTTACACTTTTCTTCAACAGACCAGAAAAGTTTATTTTGTTCATAGAAAAATTCAGTAGTAAAGTCGTTCTTTTTTTTGGCAGGTGTCTGATGCAAATGATTGCGAGTTTGATATGATTATAGCCAAAGAGTGTTATTTTCAATGTTTATATTTTGCACTTAATATCCATGTTGACTTGTGATGAGGACGATCCTGGAATTTAGTCATTTTGTGAAAACGAAAAATAGGGCCCTATATGATATAACAAACAAAGCATAATAATCCTAAGACAACAACACCATGCACCTCACAAATCCACGACTCATCATCTACTTATCTGAATCTTCACTTCGTAATATTTTCATTTTTATTATAACAGCTAACGCAATGCTTCTACAAATAACGTGGAAAAATGAAGCAAACATCTCTGTATAACCGCCACGTTTGAAGAAGAAAAATCATCGACTCTGAAGGCTCTCGTCTTTTTTAAGCTCATCAGGATTATTTCTTGCACTTTGACGCATCAGCAAACACCTCAGTGTAACATATTGGGCAAGCCTGAAAGATCAAATACTATCAGCTACACTTAATCCAATAGACTCAAAACACCTACATATTCATATCGTAAAAAAACCAGAACAGCTTACCTTGTTGATGCTAAGCCATCTGGTCCCACAACCAGCATGATAGAGGTGTTTGCACGGTAGAGTAATCCGTCGGTCCCCTCGTTTATATTCCATCTGGCAAATCACACATCTACGTCCAACAAGGGAATACAAGTTAATGACGGGAAAAAAAAATAGTGTTTTGTTGCAAAAGAGCGCAAAGTGGGAGGGGGAATTTGAACTCTGTCCTTGGTTGTGGAGATAAATACTCAGTACCATTGGAAGGCACCATGTAGTAGGCACAGACAGATCCCGAAAACTTCTAATATGGGATGGGAGCTAATTATATAAATCACTTACCAAGATGAAGGCCTAACCATTAAACTTTAGCAAAACTAAATCCAATCCGATACTTATACTGGTCTCTTTGTAGATTTTTCAATCCAAATCAATCTAATCCCATCTAAGGTTGGATGGATGATAAGCTTCTTGACATATATATATATATATATATATATATATATAATTTTTCATAAGAAGCAGATATGAGTTCTATGAGACATAAAATTGAAGTGACAAGAAAAGTGCAATATAACTACACATTATAATTTAGTCTTGCAGCATAAGGCCCAGAGACTTTGTTAGTGACTAGTAGCCAGTACCTTAAATCATAGGTCCTCATACAGGATTATTACAAACTTTCTCACCTCATACACCGAACAGTATCTACCATGTTGGACATATATTTCTATCACAGACAGCAAACGACATAATTGTCCTAGACAGTGAGCCACTGAAGCATGATGCAGCAGAAAATCAAGTCGTTACTTTTATGCTTGACAGTGAGCTACCTTGCTTATAATGCCCTATTTGCTACATTTATGTCATCATTCTATCGTAGAAACATTTTGATCAAACAGCCTTGTGCAAAAGGGTACCTTCATTCTCCAATAAATTAGTGTTCTATATCTCTCCAGAATCCCATACTAATGAAATCAAGAAAACCCAATTTTCTTTTCTTTCTGTTTTCAGATAAATTGAAAGAAAAAAAAAGTAGAACAAGGGAAAATGTTATTCTCACAAACATTAGTAAATATTAAACTGTCTGGTGCTATAATAAACCATAAGCAATTCCATAAAGTAGGACTCTAGATTTCCAATTTTGATTTGAGGGGCTGTTGGAGAGAGAGAGAGAGAGAGAGAGAGAGAGAGAATACCTCTCATCTCGTGATTTCTTTCTCGAGAAAAAGCTGCATTTGTACTTCGAGATTGGAAGCAAAGAAATCTGATCTTGAGAAAGACCTCGACTTTGAGTTCCAACTGCCTCACCTAACTCAAGTAATTCCTGAACATGAAAAACATTGTCAGTAATATTTATTCAAAATATATGTAAAAACGCAAAAATATAAGGAACCAAATAAATGTTTTTAACAAGTACTAGATGTTTCCATACAACACAAGGTGTTAAAGACATACAACAGCTTAAACTAGAGAACATGGTTATATTTCAGAGATTCGCTCACTAACAATTATGGAGTCAGATCCCCAACAAGAATACAACTCTATGGCCAGAACCAAAAATCATATCCACCAGTAAAAGCTGATGAGGCTGATGAGACTAGCTAGGAATATAATATTCTACACTATTATGCAAGTAGAATGTAGAAAAAAAAAAAAAAAAAAAAAAAAAAAAAAAAAAAAAAAAAAAAAAAAAAAAAAACTTAAACTTAAACAAAAGTATGAAACAATCAAAGTATGTGAATGCCCAGGTGCCCAGTAACAGGCAGAAATTGTGCAGTTGAGAGATAAAAAAGAAAAGAACCAAAGTCTAACAAATTTGCAAGAATCACGTCATTGAGAACGAACTGAAATTACAAAAAGAGTCATGAAATGAACTTTTTAGAGCACAAGTAACCTTCCTACCAATGAAGTAAATCTACACCATCAAGAAAAAAAATTCAGTATGAACTGCTTAAATATCCTTTTTGTTAGCATAACATCCTAATGAATACATAATCTAGAGAAAAATCAAAACTTTTCAATAGATAAGACAGATTACTTAATGATAATAGAAATGTATTATCCAAATTCTGAGGAGGAGAAAGTATAAAACTAGTAGCAAACCTCGTAAGTCATGCTATCAGGATCAATGTTGTCTTGCCAAATAACCTGCAAGTAAGAAAATGCTTCAACTTTCAATATATTCAACTCCTTATATTTCTCACATAAAGAGTTTGAATGTCATAATGATCTACAGAAAAAATTCCAGGTACAAAATCTATGGTTAGGATATTTTAGGAAGAAAAATTATAAATGGAAATCAGGAAAAGGCCTGCCTAGGCTGTGATGACTTTAATCATCTAAAGCTTCCATTCATGTTAAGGCAATCAATTCTACTCAGCCCCCAATATAGGTGCCTGTGTTCACATGTAGTGCATATATGCAAACGTGAACAGAAGCCTAATTGTATAGTATATCTAGACAGATATTTTAACACTTAAAAGCATTCAACTTGTTCTGCACCGAAATCATGGAGAAGCTAAATACCTGATAATCCTGGGAATTTTGATTTCTCCGTGGGCCTGAAATGTAAAATATGATACTTCAATTGTTGGAAAAATAGGCAAATATCAAGTGTAAAGTAAATGAGTGGGAACAGAATTAACACCAAACGACATTAGGAGCAAAAAAGGATCGAAATAGAGGAGAAAACAGAATTACCATCACTTTTAGTCAAACTCAGAAGAAACATGCAAGTACACGGTCCTTCAAAGATTTTAAGTTTACAATACACTGTCACAAGGTTACATCAGTGGAGTTTAATATATACAGTCCATGTTACCTATAAGGGTTCATTTGGCCAGCCATATATTTTGAAGTTGTACTTTTAGGTTTCATCACACAATGGTTTTAAATTTTTAATTAACAGGGATGGAGAGATCAAGTAGCTCTAAACAGCAGAAAGTTTGAATTCAAAAGAATATGAAATGAAAAAGAGCAAGTACAACAATATAAAAGCTTTTGTATAAGTAAAATGTATTATTAGAAAACTCCAAGAGGAAACAAACCAAGGACAAGTAAACATTATAACAGTGGGTCCTATCATTAAAATTCAGAAAAGGTGGTTGCCAAATAACAAACTTTTTAACAATCAAACACCTAATCATTAACTTCTTCTTTTCAAGAGGAAAAATATATGTCAACTAACTCTATATGTCACCACTAGGCCTCTATCTCATCTATGTTACTGGTCCCTGCAGGCCCTATAATGTTTTAATCCATCCATAAAGAGAAGAACAACTAGAGAATGCTCTAAGACTATCTTATGGAAACTTCATCGCCAATGAACATAATAGTCACTAATTCATTGTTTTATTCTCTCAATAACATTTTTCCAGTCTTCAGGGCCTCTAATATAGGACCCAGAAAAGAGAAAACCAGAGCATAATCATGATACCTATCGTCACCGAAAAAAGAAAAAAAAAACACTTAGAACTTACATTCTATGGGGTTGTCGCGCGTAGAAGTGTTTGCATTTCCTTCCCATTCTGAATTCACTGCCACATGTTGTTCATTAGTCGTTGTTGAAGAGCTCTGCAAAAGCCTTCTTTGTTCACCACCTCTTGGGTCAGGATCATTCAACTCATAAGCATGACCAAAACCAAGATCATAATATGAAGTATTCCCAGGTTCAGATAACCCAAACTTGTAATAATTTGTATTCATTGTTGGGTAAGCACTCTCCTACACACATAAGAAGGAAAAATCTTATTGTACATGGAACAAGATGTAAAATCTGCAGTGATTTCCACTGCAAGCAAGAAATTGAAAGAAATGTACTTTGATAGATACAATACAGACAAACAATCCAAGGTTCAAATGTTTGCATTATCGGTAGTAGAAAGTTAAACAAGAACTCATTACGTATGAGTGATCCTAAATTTTGGAAACAGGATAAAAGCCAAGGAATAATACCATTGATTCATACTACATATTAGTATATTTTGAGCCTGGTTTCCATTTAATGCATGTAAAGACTCATTAAATGAATCACCATCTATGGAAAGTTGAAGGAAACCTTTATGCTGATATTTAGTGGAAAGTACCTGAGCATGTGAATCGCCTGAAAAAATAAAGTTCACATGTTCATAGGTAAGACCTTCAAAATACTCCATAAAGCTACCCGCCGTGCTATAAGGACAGCCGGTGTAGGTGTAATGAACTTCCATGTGCGGGTTCCAACTCATTTTCAGCTACAAGACAGACGAGCAATCTAAAGGGCACAAAGACAAGAAATGAGTATTTACAGGGTGAAGAGACCATAAGGTCAACAAACAAACTAATTGGCAGATGCAAACCTGATCTTTCGACAAATTCTAGCACCCAATATCATATAACAAAACTCAGGCCAAAAAGTGCAATCACTTTTGCACATTTAGAAATTCCTGCAAATCAAACCAAGGATCAAAATTTCATCTTAGAGAAAATTCAAGAACTCACCAACAATCAAATTCATACACAGAGCAAATAAATCATGAGTTTTAGGATGGAAGATGGACGAAAAAAGGAAATCAAAATGCTTCCAGATTCATATAGTTTCCCATAATTTCATAATTCAACTGGCATTGGCAGATCTAAGCAGTTTTCTAAAATTATTCATCTCCATTTCTTCTATTTAAGGGAAGGATCAATTTCAATTAGTTATTAAAGGAAACTCATTTCCAAATTTCTTATATTTATTCAGGAAGCCTCCACAATGAATTTCGCCTAAAATATTCCTTCTGATAAACTCTCTAATGGAATAGTTTCCGTTCAACCAAACACAAAAGGAGAAAAAACTGATAATAAGAAAACGAATCGCTGTTGAAACCACAGCATCATTATCACCACAATTAAACTTAAAATGCAGATTCCAGCCAGATTGTTTTAGTTTTTGGATTAGCTGTAGAGAAAATATAATGGTCTGAACTAGAAAGAAATTCATCACTAGGAAATAGAAACAACTTTAGAAAGAAAATCATTAATCATTTGATCCAAAACAAAACAAAAATTCCTCTCATTTCGTTTCCTTTCCTTTCCTTTCAACTTTCTCCGCAACCAAACGCAAACAGAGCCCGCCAAATCTACCTAATTATACGGCATTAATCTCGAAGCGCTCTCTAATAACACCAAATCAACCAAACAAAATAGAAAAAGAAACTCCACAAGCAGAGAAAATACGACGGAAAATGAGAGAGAAAGTCTGAACGGATCAGAGCAAGTAAAACAAAGATATATAATCAGAAGATGAAGAAGACTGATTCGATAAGTATGAAAGTGAGGGATCAAAGAACCGACATTGTTGGCTTTTCTCCTCAGAAGCGCTTCTTCCGCTTCTGTTTGAAGAAGAGGGCTTATCTTCTTTGGTCTCTGCCTCTCTCTCTTCTGCGTCTCTCTCTCTGTTGTATTAGTATGTAATTGGAGAGAGAGAATCCCGAGTGTCTGCAATGGCTTTATGCAGTGGTTTCAGTGACACGCGAAGTCCGCTTGATGAGGAGATTGGGATCCGCTGTCACGCGTCCTATGCTAAAGAATCATCGCGTGTCTCTGCCTTTAACCGTTGCTTTTCCATCATAGCTATTAGCTACTAGGACAAATACTTGTATGTCACAACCAAAGTCTAAAATATCGAGAGTTTCAGAAATGTTAGTGGTCCAAAAAAACAGATATATTGATGGAAATATCGAGAAAATATAATATCGATAAAAATTGAATAAAAATAACGGAAATTGTGAGAAAAACTTGGAAATTTTTATTCAAACTTTAGAGAATGTTTATTTAGTCAATTGTCTATTATTTTATCACAAAAAATTGGAATAAAATGCATGGCATGGTGGGTTAGAGTGATTTAAGTTGATTATGCAGTGACCTAACAAACACCGTGTCTTTAGAAAATATGTAATAATTAGTGAAAGAAAATTAAATGCACCATAATTTTTTAGTTATAATAATTTACTACAATATATTGCATATGATAAGATATATGAGCTTGACAAAAAAAACAAAAATAAAATATATGAGTAACTTAGTACCACATAAAAAAAATTCCTATTAAAGTTAAAACGTAGTATCACATATAATGAACAATATTAAAACTCAATAGTGAATAATAATACAACTTCATAATATAATAAAAAAAAAAAAAAAAAAAAAAAAAATAATAAATAAATAATTAAAATATGCCTAAATATTATCATTAGGGATTTTTTTTTAAAATAGAAATTTATCCTAGATAATATTAGCTTGCATAAATTTTTAAGACCATATAAATATTACACGTCGTAAGATTATTAACAAACTCATTCGCAGCGTGTTGGATAAGGCCTAGTAGACCCCTTGTTGGCAAAAGCGCCATTTCTCAACAAATTTCATTTATTTTTCAGTTTCAATCGCGATATTATCGTAATTTAAGTGAATATGGCCTAAAATATCGCTCATTCAAAAAAATGATATTATCGGCGTAATTTCGATATTTAAGACTGTGGTCACAACAATCTACCATCCATCTCATTATTATACGATGTGACAAATTTTACACTATATACTATAATATTAATAAATATACATGTTTTGTGGATGTAAACTTATTTTTTCCTGGAGAAGCATTATGTAAATTTGAATTTGTATATTTTAGGCTTAGCCAAATTGGGAATGTATATATATGGGCTTATCAAATTGGCTAGAACGGATGTGCTCCTTACTCTATACCAGAGTTCAAATCCCCCTTCTCGTAATTTAAGTTAATTTAAAGAAGAATATTGCTTGTGTAAACAAAATACATTATCCTCCATATTCTTAATTTCTTATCTTTAAAATGGGGGAAATAAGAGATGCAATAATTCTCAGAGTCATGCGCTGTAGAATGCGCGAGCTGAAACATTTGATTACCGGCTTGGGGTCCACAGCCATTGGGATCAATGATCCCAAATCCTGAGATTTGCGGTTGTGGGGTTGCAATGAGTAGTTGGCTTGCATATGGAAAAAGAGCAGTCGCATAAATTTGGTTGAAAATAGATCACCAAAACCATCTGACTTCTCTCCCCCCCCCACCCCCCAAAAAAAGGAAGTTGGTGTCAGTTAAGGTTCGTTAGGACTCTCACTCAACTTGCAAGCTATGTTTTTCTTTAAAAGAAAAAGGTGCTCTAAACTAAACTAAAACAAAAGGGAAATGACAGAGGGGAGTTAAAGCGGATATGCTCCCTACCCTGTACCTGAATTCAAGTCTCCTAAAAAGGTGCTCTAACTAAACTAAAACAAAAGGGAAATGACAGAACGGAGTTAAAGCGGATATGCTCCCTACCCTGTACCTGAATTTAAGTTTCCTTCCCGTAATTTAAATTAGATTCTATTAGAATATTGTCACAAAAACAAAAGGGACATGAGAATGACTTAGCTGTGTTTCTTTCTTCTCTATGACTTCATCAATAATGATGTGGATGGGAGGGGGCCAACTATGTTCTAAAGTTTTGTTGGTGGGGGTGGTTCCCTTTTAACACATGACATGATTGAACAAATAAACTATAACCCCGGGCACGCAAAAGTTTGTGATGAACGCCGATCCCACTTCTAGTTGGTGCAATCTTCTTCTTTTTTGTCTGTGGGTGGCTGCGGTTCCATTAAAATCAATTTTATTTTCTACTGTCTCCAAATTTCAACGGAATGGACCAAATTCACTTTTTAGAATATTGAATTAAACGAAATTTGTTGAATTGTGTTATTGTGTTTGCATTAAGCACCGGGTATAATTACTACATTTAAGTGATGCTAAGCAAAGGGATTACTAGTGATGGGAATCAAACCCCATCATAACCATTGGAGGACCCAAAATAACCAATGAAAATGAAGTTGTGATGCTATCAACATGATTGCTACTTGCCCCAGATGTGGGAAACAAAGAAGGGAAGGGAAAAAGTGTATTCTTCCAGCTCTCTCTCTCTCTCTCTCTCTCCCCCCGAATAGTTTTTGATAGGCGACTTGAGCTTTTGGTGTGCCATGGATAAGGACAAGAGCAGGTCGTCTGACAAAATGGCAAAGGCTGTCAGGCATGTGAAGGAGAGAGGTAAAGTTTTAGGTGAATAAGAGCAGAGCAGACATGAAATGAGTGATGAGGAGGATGGAATAAAAACCTGGCGTGCAAGGGAAGTGAAGGACAAATCATAAATATTCTCTATTCTTTTTGTCTACCGACGTGTCGTTTGCAATAAAAAATAAGCTGGCTGCGTTTTGTCCCAATTGCTACCTGGGGTGGGGCCCCATTAATTCGACTTTGCTTTCTTCTTTCTCATTGCTACTCCACAAGCCGCATGCATTTTTAGACATGCTCTCTTTGACGCAAATCTACCCAAACACTTAACTTCAGATTCATTTCAAGCCCTGAATAAAACACAAGAACTTATTCTTACAATCAGAGAAAGGAACCATTTGCACTCAGCATTGCTATCAGAAAATCAAAGGTGAAGCTGCCAAAGACTGTGTGAGTGAGAGAGATAATGGACCAACAGAAGAAGTGAAGCAGTTGAAGAAACCAACAATGGATCAGGGGCAGCTCTGTATGCCTTTCCTGTCTAAACTCTGCTAACCTTAATTATATTCAGTTACCTCGTGCAGAAAATCTCTAATAAAGAGCAGATCACGAAAAGCACATCGAGAAATTTCCAATACCTTGGCATAGGATGGAACTGAGATGTACTTGGCTAGCAACCTTCAGAACATTTTGGTGCTGCTTAAGAACAGCTACCATGTTTTCCTTGTAAGAACCCTGGCGTTAGTGCAACAAGTATTGTCAGTCAGTAAGACAAACACAGAAACAAATTCATTCAGGAAACTTGTCATATTATTTTTTTTTGCAAAAACTGTGTCAACCCGGAAGGAAGGGTGGACAAATTTGAAGAATCATACAAATTAGAAAGCAAAAGGAGAAAAAGAAACAAAAAGGCAGCTTTAAGAATTCATACCAAAGTAGAGGCACCAAGGATAAATAATTAATAGAGAAGTTCTTCAGTTGTTGCAATCATATTACCCTCCAAGTTTGGTTTTAGATACTCTTCGAAGCAAACTACAGTCTGGAAATGCACTTGTTGCACATTGTCTGACAGTTTGAAATGGAGGCCTTCTCATCTGCACTCTTCTCCTTCACCTGCTGACTCAAACTTGTGGCATAAAATTCAGCACCAAGGTGGAATTTTCCCAAAATGCAGGAAACTTCTGATATGCTGCCAACAAGCTCCATTTGTCTTGTTAACTCAACCAAACAATCATATATCTGTTTCGACTGAGGGTGCGATTTGTCTCTAACAATAAACTCATGTACAGCGCCATTCACCTCAATTGAGCTACAACCAGGAGTTTTCTCAACTCCTCTCTCCTTCATCATACTTTGTGCCTTCTCTGCCTCCTCCCACATATGTGATTCCCTATACATTTTTGCAAGCAAAACGTAAATTCCACTATCATGAGGGTCCAGCTCAAGAAGCTTGGAAGCGGCTCTTTCTCCTATCAAAACATTTTATGAATATAACAAGCAAAGAATAATGCACCCCACACCACAGCATCTGCCTTGATTGGCATGCTATGGATAAGCTCTTCTGCTTCTTGCAAAAGACCAGCCCTGCCTAGAAGGTCCACCATGGAAGAGTAATGTTTAAGTTCAGGGAAAAGATTGAATTTAGAGGTCATTAAGGAAAAGTACTTACGACCATCTTCAACCAAACCTCCATGACAACAAGCTGATAAGACCCCAAGAAAAGTGATCTCATCTGGCACCAATCCTGTATTTATCATCTCCGCAAAGTAAGATATGGCAACATGTGCATGTCCATTAAGGGCTAACCCACAAATAATAGCTGTCCAAGTGAAAGAGTTTCTTCCTGGCATGTCCCAGAAGACCTCGAGAGCCTTTGTGATGTTACCACATTTAGCATACATGTCGACAAGGGCAGTCCCCACAGCAACATTTATAGAAAGACCATGTTTTTCAATATAATGGTGAATCCATATCCCAACATCAAGTGCTCCAATTTGTGAGCATGCACATAAGCAGCCAACCATGGTTATTTCATCAGGATTTATATTACTAGCTTGCATTTCATGAAACAGAGCCAAAGCCTCCTTGCTATGCTTGGCTTGCACATAGCCACCAATCATTGCATTCCATGGCACAACATTCTTCTCTGGAATCTCATACAATAATCTGTGAGCAATTTCCAGAAACCCATATTTGGCATATCCCACTATCATTGTAGTCCATGAGACATGGTTTTCTTTGTCATGTTGTCAAATAATGCTTGAGCGGCCTCAATATTCCCACACTTCATATACATGTCCATAAGTGAATTAGCAAGAGGAACTGTCAAACTTAGTCCATTCTCTTCAATCAACCGATGAAATTTTCTCCCAAGTCTCAAATTCTCTAGTTGGGCACATGAAGAAACCACTCCAATCATTGTAACTTCATCCGGCTTAAATCCCTCCAACTCCATTTCCTGATAAATCCTTAATGCCTCACACGCCAACCCACTTCGGACATAACCATTAATCAAAGAATTCCAAGAAACCAAATCTCTCACACAACCTTCATCAAACACCTTACGTGCGGCCTCTAATTCTCTGCATGAAACAAACATATGAATAACAGCATTGTGAACGAACATATCCAAATATAAACCCAATCGCATTACATGCCCAAGAACCTCGCGACCCCATAAATTCAACGTTAAATTAGCACAAACTTTCAACAATAACGGGTAAGTATAATTATCCGGTCTCGACCCACCATTTCTCAACATTTTCTTATACAACACAACTGCTTCTCTCGGATTCTCGCTCTCCGAATACCCTCTAATGACCACATTCCAAGAAAACACATTTGGGTTCTGCGTATTGTACAAAATCTTGTTACAATAATCAAGATTTCGCGACTCTGAGAGCGCACAAAAGGCGATTAGGCGACTCGAAGCAAACCCATCTGAGATTAGCCCCGTGAGGATCATTTGGGATTGGATCTGCTTCAGCTGGGACATGGATTTGCATGTTTCTAATAGGGAGAGAAGTGGGTTTGCTTGAACTGATTTGTGGGTTGTGTTCCAATTGGTGGGCTTGTGTTTGTGGGGTGAGAGAGAGCGGGTGTGGAAGAGAGAAAGGAGAGGGTCTGAGACTGGCTTTGGAACGAAACGTGAAGGTCTGACTCTGAGGGTGGACATGGAGATAGAGAGGAGGATGATGAGCATTAGATTTGAGTATCGGCATTGGTGTGTGATACTGGCGCGAAATGCTGTTGGTCCAACACTCAAAAACTTCTTCATTTGCAAAAACTTTTAAATAAATAAATAAAAGCAAACTTGAGGAAGAAAGGAGAACTCATAGTAAAAAACTTCTCTACCCTACAGCATGTTGTTGGCTGGGACTGAATTGAATTATGAAGTAGAATAGGATCGTATTTGATTACAATGAATTGGAGATGATAACATTAATTCAATAATGTGCTTGGTACTACAAATAATTAAGAAGCTAGATTAACTGAAATATGATATTACATGGCCTAGGAGGGTTAGACATAATCTCATCCAACTTAATCCTAATTTTTGTATGGGATTCATAATCCTACTACATTTTGGCCTGGTAGTATAGGACATCATCCAATTCAAAGTTGTTTTCATGCCACCAAAACATTTGATTAGGATTATGAATCTCATCCAGTCATATAATCCAGCTCACTAAACGGACCAGTGAAGGTGATGCTCTATTTATTCGGGCATCTCCAACAACACACTCTATTTGTTTTCTAATTTTAGTTAAGAAGTGTTAGGAAGCTAATCAGTTTTATATGACTACTCTAGACTAAAATAAAGAGAAGGATGGGGAGATTTTCCTTCATCCACCCTCTATTCTAGCTAAGGATCTCCTTGAAGGAGTCTCATGGAGATGCTCTTATTTCAATTGTTATGTAGTTAGTTTTAGAAATAGTAAAAAATTATGATGAACTGCCGAGATAAATATGTAAAGAGAAGAACCAGTATTTAAACATTAATTAAACAAAATGAGCTCTGAACAGCTCTTATAGCCAGGACAGTGAGAGCAAAACTCCTGGAATATGGAACAACGCTTAGGAGACAAAATCCTCTAACACTAGGTTATTGAGTGAAAATCCCCTGACAAAAAATTTAAAATATAACTCAAGATGAAAGTTTGTTGTTTTTTCATCAATATTATCTGTAGCTAAATGGGGGGTTGGATTGTGGAATTGTCCATTCATTTTTAACTTAAGCCCCACCAGAGCCATACTTCTTTCCAAACACTAGCACCTGAAGCTTGTCATAACCTGCAAGCACACCAGCACCCAGCAACTGCACGAAGAATATTAGCACCGGCACCCTTGAAGAGAGATTTTGCACCCTCATTCTTCAGGATCTGAGAGAAAGCGTCGAGCGAGCTCTTGTACTTGACGGCTTCACCAGACGTCATCATCATCCTTCTACGGACAGTGTCAATTGGGTAAGAAGCAAGTCCAGCGCCGTTGGTGATAACCCAACCAAGACCAAAGCTAGCAAAGAAACTATCCTGGAATTGTCCAAAAAATTAAAAATAGAAAACATGTGAGATAATCGTCACAAGTTATTAAGAAACCATTCATACACAAACTGATTGTTGAGAGAAATGAAGAGAAATGATGGTCACTTACCTGCAGCTTCCAGTGAGGATCACAGGCTTCAAAGAATCGTACATTCCAAAGTACAGACCACGGTACACGATGATGCCAACACAAGAAATGTTGAAGCCACGGTAAAGGCCAGCGATACCATCTGACTTGAGAGTCTTTTTGTAGACATCAACCAAGCCATTGAATTGCCTCTCTCCTCCCTTCTTTGCAGCCTTGGAATCATTTGCAAGACGGGTACGAGCATAGTCCCAAAGAATAGACAAAGAATAAAGAAGAGGCACCAGCAGCACCACCAGATGCCAGTTACCTGCAAACCATTTCCAGTAGCCATCCCTGTCCTTCTTGAAGTTGAACAGGCTCTTGAAGTAATCTTTAAACGCAAAGTTTAAGGCCTGGACAGGAGACAACAATATAAGCACATTGCAGTAAGACTAAGAGATAACAGAGAGAGAGAGAGAGAGAGAGATGAGTGTAGTTAAAAAACTGGCAAAAATGGGAATGACAGACCTGAGTTGGGAAGTAACGGATGACATTTGCTGTGTTCCCTCTCCACAATGCTACCATTCCCTCGTCCTTCATAGTTCGGCTAAAACAGTCTCCGATTCCCTTGTAGGGTTCAGAAAGCCTACCACCTTGATCATCTCATCCTGATTCTGAATCAAGAGCTTTACGCGCTCAATTGGAGCAGCAGCAGTCTTGGACACAGCAGCAGAAACACCACCCATTAAGAAATCAATAGCGAAGCCCTGAAAATCCTTTCTCTTTTGGGGCTTGGACACACACAGGTAAGACACCTGAAGCCACCAGTGGATCATTAGCTCGACATGCGTGGTTCATTGGATACTCCAATGCTGCATTAGAATAATTTCCATATGCGAAACGCCTTTGATTGAGAGCAGGCCTCTGGAAGCCCCCATAGTGGCTGTGGGAATCTTGAGAAAGGCTGGAACCCAGATGTAGCTGACCAGAAAACTTTTGCATAGCAGTTGGATCTTGGTGCCTGTCAGCCATCACTTAGCAGAAAATCAAACACCTGCAACTCGACAACTTCTGTAATCAGAAGGGGAGCCAAGGAAAAATATCCACTATTGTTTAAACAGTTTGAAAATATCATGCAACATCGAACCAATCATTGGAATAAATAGAACATAAGAATCGGAATTCATTGCTTAGAACCCCAAACTCCAAAAGAACATAAGAATAATATGGGAGAAATGGACTAATTGGAATTAATAGCTGCCTCTGACAACCTGACAGTTCCCCAACATACCCTTTATCAAACTCACAAAATTAAAAATTAAAAATTAAAAAAATGGAGAACCCATGAATCATGAATGACGATGACTTTCTAAACATGATCTGAAAAAGATTGGTTATAAGATAAAAAGGAATGAAAGCGAAACCTATCACTAAGAAAAATAGATAGACAAATCCAAAAGTGTCACGTAGAATGATAGATATAATAGACATGTGCAACACATCTATGTTAAAACTAAAAAGTATAGCCAATGACCATTTTGTCAAGTGTATTTTGTCTTTGCTATGTTGGAGAATATCCGGAATTCAAATTTCACGAATGACAGTTATTGAATCAATCAAAAACACCTAACAAATGGTAATTAAAACCAAAAAAATCTTCAAATCCAATGAAAATGATCTAGAAACATATATCAGCAACAAAGTGAATCAAACACTCAATGATCAAGATCCAAACTTTTCATGAATTGTTAAATGATGTAAAAGAGAAGAACAATGTAACCACACAGAGATGCATGCAGCAACAATACCTTTGAAACAGATGGTGTATACGACACAGAGAGAGAGGAAGAGAGTGAGAGATCTAAGAAAACCTAAAGTAAAACAGGGATCTGACAGACCCTTTTGCTTGTTTATAACAAAATGCGAATACAACAATCTGAGAACTCCGAAACTTGAGCAAAATACAAGGTCAAAAACACCACATAAATAAAATAATAAAAAGAACGCAAATTAATAGAAAGAGAGAGATGGGATCGCTGCAGTAAGATAAAGTCAGAGACAGAGAGAGTCAAAGAGGGTTACCCTTTGAGCTTGGCACTCGGAATGTTAAAGGAGGAGAGCCTAACGAGAGATATATATGGTGGGAATGACAAGGAGACTGCAGGGTTTGAAACCAAAATGGACACTCCCTCTTATAACGTCAAGTTTTCCTCCTTTTTTTTTCTCTTTTATTTTGTTCGTCAAGAAAGAAGGTTTTTTTTTTTTTTTTTTTTTTTTTTTTTTTTTTTTTTAAAAAAAATATAAATTCATTAGATTAAATTTTAATCAGGTGGAGTATGGAGAATAAAGTAAAGTAGATCATGACAAAGAAAATCATAATAGAGGATCCGGATCCTTTTTGGTTGGGGATGATTTTATTTTTTCGGTAATTAAAACATATATATTTGTGGGTGATTTTAGTAGGAAGTTATGCATTTGGCATGTGAATCTGAATGTGATAATGTTTTCCTTACAAAATTGGCATGTCACATGTGATTAAAATGATTCTTTGAATTTGGCTTGGTTGATTGATTGGTATGGTTTGGTTGTTGTTGGTTGGATGGCCAAGTTTTGGTTTTTGACAATTTAGCCAGGTTCTTGGGGAAATGGGAAAAATATGCATTGGTGGCATTTTTCATGCTTCCATTCCACAGCATTTTTAAGGTTGCCGTACCACTTGTGCTACTTTGTCTTATTATCCACTTGTTGTGTGCCTCTGTACCTACTCAAGTTTTTCTCCATTTACCCAGGGTGCAACAAAGCAATCAAAGGCCCTCGTAACGGTTTCAGTGGCTAATTTATTAACCATAGTTGAGAGCTACTTGAAAATTACATTTAAACGTGAGATAGGTTAGTTAACCAATACAATGTACCGGTCCTCTTACATTTGATGTTGATCTCATTTCCAGTACATTAGAATAATTTGGAATAATATCGTTGTAAAAAAATACACTTGAAAATTACATGTGAATGTATGGTTCTTTTGATGGAAAAAAGAAAACATCTGAGGTGAGCATATCCCTCAAATCAATGAGATGCACTGGGAAAAAGAAAAAAAAAGAGGAAAGATCGGATGTAAAACTGCACCTTGGAGCACATAAAATGCTTGAACCTTTTTCTAATCATTCATTTACAACAATAATAAAAACCAACAATTTCCTGAATTCAATGCGAGAATGCCACCGAAGTTGAGAAAAAAATGGTTGGAAACGAAAACTGGGGTCTTACAGCAATGGCTAAAAGGATCAGAGGACTGCATCATTCATTTTTATTTCCATAACCCACGTTGGCAAATGTTTTTGAAGACTAAACCATATATAAACAACACCTACTATATGCCTTCAAAAAATGGAAAAATACAGTACTAACTTACATGATGTTACATCCTTTTTCTTTTTTTGGTCGAAACACCAACTTGCATCTTTACAGTAAAGCATCCAACAATCAACAAAAGTCTCAACAATTTCTAAAACTAACTCGACAGTCGACAATAGGTGTTTGACCCAAAAAAAAAAACAGTCGAGCGATGGTGCTCACAAAGCTTTGAGCTTGAAGGTCTTCTTTGCCGAATTTCAACCACACTCCAGCATTGCACAGACAGTACTTGAGTTCAGAAGCTATTGATGCCTGCCCAAATCAATCTGATCTCTTCCTAGCCCAAGAGATGAAGGCTCCAAGGAAGCATCTGACCTCCTCAAATCTATTTCCAGTTCCTTCTGTCTCAGGTGCAGTACCTTTCTCTCATTCTCTAGCTTCATTCTCTCATTCTCCACCTCAACCTCTCCAGTTCCCTGTCTTTCTTGCTACAGTATCTTAGCCATTTATACCTCTGCTTTTCAAGCTCCAAAGCTTCGGCCTGGAAGCCGACTCTTTGCTCTAGGAGTTGCAACTTCTGTTTCTTGATCCAGTCTCTTCGCTCCCATAATGACTTTGTTGGGTCTTGAAAAATCTCACCCATTTCAACTTCAAAACTATCCAGAACATATTGTGGCCAGAAATGGCCATCCTCTTCACTAGCCTTCTTCCTTCTCATCCTCTCCCTATCATTATCTGCATCGTTATCATCTTCGTTGTCTAATTCATCATCCTCGGTATCATGGTTTTCTTCAGCCTCTTCTTCATCGGATCCATTATTGTCTTTTGAGCCCCTCCCAAGAGGTAAAGAATAACCTTGGAGATCGAGATCATGGCAATCAGGTATCCTCTGTCCATTATGATAAGCACACATTTCTTTATAAAACAAGTGTTTTGAGCTCAATATCTTTCTAACGTCATCCTTCGCCTTGGCAGACAGGTGGGGCATTGAGTCCATAAGAGCAGGATTCTCCACCACTCTACAACTAGTTTCCCCTCCCAAGAATATCATTCAACCTCTTATACCTCTTGTTCAAGTCATTAAACTTGTCCTCACACTGCTGAGGAGACACGTGACAACCTTTACTAATCATTATTTTCGATACAGTCTTCCACTTACCCTTCTTCTGTAAAATCCCAGATTTCCTCTTAAGCCCCTCGCCACTTTCAAGCGTACCATCATCACCCACGCAAGCAACAATAGCTATAAGAAGCCTAACCACATTATCAGTCCACTTCATTCGCTGCCATGGAGATCCTTTTTGCCCTTGGCCCCTTCAAAGTTCTCGCCACCGTCATCTGTATAACTTGGCTCGTCTTCATCACTCAATTGTAACCATTATTGGCATTAAAAGGTGCCACTGCCTTCCCTTTGACAGTAGTCGAACAAACTTTTGGGATTGACCCTTTCACTTCCACAAGCCCAATGGGATCATGATCACCTTTAACGCCACTCATCACATTCAGGTGATGTTGATGATGTGCTAACAACGATTGACCCAATTGTATCTCTTGGCGCCTAGGAATGGACGATTCAAGGTCTAGTATCCCCCCACTGGGACCAGACAAAAAACCACCTCCCAAACCTGAACTATCCATCTTTCCACACTCAATCAGATTACCCTAAAGTTCAATTTGGTTTTTTTACAAACAAAAAAAAAGAAAAAAGAAAAGAAAAGCAAGAACAGATCAGAAACTAAAAGCTTTCAATCCTGACACTCAACTAAAAGGCAATATATCTCAGCTGTGTTTTCCAATTAGCAACATCGAGACAACCAGTGTTTTCCAATCCTGATACAACTAGTTGGTTTATCAGAGAGGGTTTTTCCACCACCAACACCAAAAACGCTGGAAAGTTTTAACTTTCACAATTTCTTTCATTTTCCTCCATTTCCTCACCAATCAACAGATTGTATTTGTATCTTGAGAATCCCATAATGCCCAAAAACAGATTAGACCAACTAATGGGCAATCACTCAATACCTCTTTCAGGGTATAAGGTTCAAACCCAAAGCTTGCGGCTGAATATTAAAGCAGAGACAATTTGAAAACAAACCCAGAAACGCAAAAAGATCCAATCTGAAGATTAACAAGTTCTGGAAAATATTTGGACTTCGACCCACGATTTTTCCTAGAAATTTAAACAAAGAGTTATAACGGTAATCAATCCAATTTCCATATATATATATATAACGGTAATTAATCCAAATTACAAATATAGAATCCATATGAAATAGAAAGAGAGCTTTCGAAGCCTACCTTTTCAAGATCGACCACGAAGATTTCACCCAATCCGTTGATAGATAGAGATTAAATTTTTTAGTCTCAGAGATTTCGGCACTGACTAGCTTTTAGAGACTGTTTGAGTTCGAAGGAAATGAGTTTACTTTTAAAAACTGCAAGGAACTCACTGCCGTTTTCACATCGACTGGATCAAAGTCAATGCTCTACACATTAGTCGATGTCGTGCAAACTATTTCTAGGACATCCCCCAAGTATATAGTTTACAATGTGTTGCCAATAAATGGAAAATTGTTATAAAAATAATAATCAGAATATGAAAAATAAAGTATGATTATATTTCCTCTCGTGGTTTTTATATTGACAGAACTTTCTTACTCTGATAAAACTCTTATAAGATAAAGCTTCCACACTCTCAAATTTGTCTCTCTCTATTTTCTCTTTGGAGCGGTGGTGTTCTACAACTGAATGAGCAAGCTTATTTATAGGCAAATTGGATGGTTCCCCGTGCATCTCCAAAGTCTTCTTTAACCAACATCATTATTTTCCGTTTTGACTATCATTTACTTATTTTCTTTATGTGGGCTCCATCTACTTTCTTTACAACAAAAATAAACTATGTGACGCTAATAAACGATAGTTTTTTTCTATTATATATATTTTAACGTTTCATTCAAAATCATTGATGGTAATGAACAGAATTAAACCTATAACGATAGTGTCAAAATTTTCCATTTTAATTGATTTGATAAGTTTGTGGTCCAATTATTTAAGGTAAGAATGATTGAGGTAGTTGTCGACATGGTATTCAAAACTTACGGCTAAGAGGATCTTGAACTTTGCAATATTTACTTATAATGATTAACTGCATATCTTCTCGGTTTAGGATTTAGGGTTAGGAGGCCATGTGCTCTAGAGAGAGTAATCATGATTTCTATGTGAGAAAAAGAGGCGTGATAGGAGAGAAATAGGTGGAATGGGGAGGAGGAAATGGTGAACTTGGGAGGGGAAGAAGAGGCATGGGCTCATACTAGGCCTAGGCACGATACGGGATGAGAAATAGCGAAATATAAACCAATCTCCTCCTCTTAGAGAAGGTAAATTGTTCCCTAAATTAAGAAATCTTAATTCTTCCCTTACAGTCAACTGACTTAGGCATCAGTGTGCTCAATAAACTACTAATGTCTTAATTTTTTCTGTTTTCATGGCACAAGCTCCTTTATGAAGGAATTCAAGTTTATTCCCCACAAAGTATGTAGTCCTCTAATCAAGTAATATCTTTTCTCGTTCCGAGTTTACAATTCTGGATTCCAGATGGTCATAATGAGTCGGTATGATCATGATGTTTAGTTCTCTTTTTTTTATGAATGTCTTGTGTTGTTAACCTCAACCTGCAGGAACTCTACTAACTACGGGAGAAGGCCATTCTTTGTCAGCGTGGGAGCCGGCCAAATGTAGGGTTAACCATCCCTTCGTTGCCTACAAAAAGCACCCCCAAGCCAAAGAACCAAATTCACTTCTGCTCCCTCTTACTTTCACTTTTACATTGAAGACTTTAAGCATCTCTCAAGGTAAATGTAACTTCTCATACATTGTGCTATATGTGTATGAATTAACACAATGAAATTATGATATTTTTCATCATTTGAAATAAAATACTCTAAAATTTTTTGCCTAGTAATGGTTAGTTTTGAACCAAAATTCAGATTAGAAAAATAAAAAAAGAAAACAAAATTTCGACATGTCGTAATTTGGTGTCTTCTCTCTTCCTACGCAGGAGATATTCTTTTGGGCCATGACCCAATCCCAGCAGCTGTCTTTCTCTAGATTTTCGGCTCACAGACTTTTTCTCATTCACCCAAAAACCAAACCTTTCATTTCTCAAAGAGATGGCTATGTCCAGCCTTCTCTCTCCCATAACCCCTCTGCCCCTCTCTCACTGCAAACCCCTCCTTCACTCACCCTTCTTCTTCTCTCTCAAGCAACAATCTTTCCTCACTCTCACCAATATTTCAACCAAACCCACCAAGAAAATCAAACCCAGAAGACCAGTGACCACCCAATCCAAGGGTAGCGACGAGTCAGTGGATGTCCCTGACCGGTTGATCTCAGCCGTCTGTTACTTCTACCCCTTCTTTGATGGCATACAATATGGCAAGTATGTAATTACTCAGTTCACTGCCATTCAGATGCTCATCCAACCCTTGATACCAGCTATAAGGGTCTTCAAAAGCTTCCCTTTCAATGGGTTTTTGGTGTTTTTAACCCTTTACTTTGGTGTTGTTAGGAACTCCAATTTTAGTAGGTATGTGAGGTTCAATACTATGCAAGTTATTGTGCTTGATGTGCTGCTGATTTTCCCTGATCTTGTGGAGAGAAGCTTCAACCCAAAAGATGGGTTGGGATTGGATGTGCTGATGAGCTTGGACAGCACTGTGTTTCTCTTCCTTTTGGTGTGTTTGATTTATGGGTCTGCTTCTTGCGTTTTGGGTCAGGTGCCCAGATTGCCCATTGTAGCTGAAGCTGCTGAGAGGCAAGTTCCTTGAGCTGTTTTTGTAGCCTATTGTTGTTTTTGTTATGCTGGGAAATGGCAACAGATAATTACATTTTGAGTCACAATTTATGTTTATGCTTTTAGCCAAAAGAGAAGAAGCTCATATAGTAGTAGAATGTTGTTGTTGTTGTAAGGGACATTCTCAGATAAGTATTTAAGTTAAGCATTCGTTACATACTTCTAATCTCGGCTGATGAATTGCATTTAACAGACTACCAATATTTGATTGAAATTGTGATTTTACATTATTTAAGGTAATATAACAAATTAGAAGCTGACCCTTTGTTTTTATTTTCCTTGCTTATTTTCCTTTCCTTTTGTGGAAGGTGATCTAATTCAATTAGGAAAAGTTTACTATATCTGGGAATTGCAGCAAAAGGAAAATCAAAATGTTAGCTCTGCAACTACAATCAATGACTATATCTGGATTTCTTCTTGGGTGCAGGAACAAGGAAGCATAGAAAATATTGTTGTTAGTTCTAACAAAATTATGATATTATTTTTCTTGCTAGTTTACCAATGATTACTTATTTTTTTTTTTCTTGCTAGTTTCCCGTAGAACATAATTGCTTTCTTTCCTACTTTCTTGCCAACCAAAAATTAACATGTGTGCACAATTTTTTTTAAATATATTTTTGATAAATTATTTTTGCGTATGCGTGCACTGCAGTAAGGAGAGTCTCGTTTTCTGTCACAATTGGACTGGTTGTATGATATGGGTATGGGAACAAAAGGGTAATTAATGGCTCTAATTTATCCACCACACTGAAACGCAACGCAGGTGCTGTAATTTGCCACATGTTGCTAATGAACCTAAACTCTCTCTCATGTTTATGGGCCTTCCTCAATCCCACCAACATGGGAGTCATTTACACATAAATGATTGGAAGCCACACACATCTCTTCCCCTTTAGACGTATTGAACTCAGGTTTGAAGATGTGACTTTAGAATGCAACCACACATAAGGACAAGTTATTAAATCGTTAGCACCACATAAAACCATTCCTCCTAGCGGAGCTGTTAATACGAATAACAGAAACTATGTTATAGTCATTGAGAAAAGGGTGATGATTTTTCCACTTACACTCCTTTTTACGGGAAACAATTTTCAACAAAGGGAGTGTAAGCGGACAAAAGAGAAGAGTAAATTTAGGTTTTAGTCACAAAAAAATTTCACTTTTAGAAAAAGCCAAAGTTTTTTCAAAAAAGACAGAAAAACCTCTCAACTTTCAAATCAAAGACATGCAAATGTAAAGGATTCCTTAGGAAATCCAAAAATAAATAAGGGCAATTTTGTCCATTTTAGTTTATTTTAAAAAATTTCCCTCTCCTTTGGTCTTTTTCAAAGTCTCCTAACGAGAAGTGGAAAAATCAACTTTCTTGGAAAATGAAAAGCTTTGTGCAAATTATACCTTTTGATTTGATGGGCTAAGCCCAATACATGACTTTGGTAAAACAACTCAGGGCTCAACAACCCATGGGCATGAAAAATTGTAACTTGGCCCCATATATGTAGGAAAGATAAAAAAGAAACAGGTCTCTAGACACCCCATTTATTTGGACACCCTTCCACTATTCTTGAAAGTGTACCTACATATATTTTGAATTATAAAAACCCTTAAATAATTTAAAATTTACACACACAAAAAAACTAGTTATAGAAAAACAAATATATTGTTGCAACCCTTTTCCCCAACTGCCTTCGCTAACGGCATTGTCGGTGTTGCCTCCATCGGTTCCCGGTCTCCCCCACTTTCCATCCATGCACCATGCAAGACTAACACCACCCCACCCCCCGTCTCTCTCTCTCTCTCTCTCTCTCTCTCTCTCTCTCTCTCTCTCCATAGTGTAAGGATTTGAAGATGACAATTCTTTTAGAAATGTTGGCGTTAGTTTTGCATATTAATTAGGAGATTTCTTTTGTATTTTGTGTAGGTGACATTTTCTGAGGTAATTAAGAAGTAATTATTTTTCTGGTCTGACACACAATGTAACCTTACATATTTATCGCTAAGGAGAATAATAGGATATCTAGAAACTCCCTAATTTCATTGTTTCATAAGAAATAACGCAAGTCCACCTCTACCAAGGAGGGACCTACATTGTGTACAAATTGGGCTATAGCCCAGTCAAGTATTTTTCTTTTGTTATTGTTAGTATAAAACACATAATACTAAATAAGTTGCAATATGAGTTGTGAGTTGTCAACTAATGTTAATTTTAAGCATATATAAGCAATTGTTGCTGACATTGTTGGTGTAAAATTGGACTTTTAAATAAATAAAATAAAATTGATATGTCCTTAAATTAAATTTATATAATATTATGATTAATTCCATAAGTCTCCCTATAAAGTTTAGCCGGATCTAAAATTTAGCCCACCTCATTTTGAAATCCTGGGTCTAACCTCTACTAAATAGGGCAGAAAATTCCCCAATTTCATTATTTGATAAGAAATAGGGCACATAATAGAATCTTATATATTTACCTCCATAAAAAGAAGAATAAGATATCAAAAAAGGTCCCCAATTTCAACTTTTATGCAAGTGCAATGTGCCATGTGAAACTAGAGGTCATGAGAACAATTTCTTAGGTGGAACCAAGAGTCACAAATGTTGGAATAAGCTGCCTTGAGAGGTAACATTCACTTCTAGTCTCATTTATTCATTATTATTAAGATAGTAAACTCACCTCTCCAAAACCCTACCCTATATTCTCTCTCTCAACCCTCTCCTGCGTTGTGTGTTTGCATTTTTCTTTTTTCTTTTTTGTAATAATTGCATCAATTCTATGTGAGTTGGGTTTTTTATTGTTTGTCTCTGCTCGTATTTTAAACTTGTGAGAGTTTAAAAGTTGTAGTTGTATTGGTAGATTTAGGCGTTGTGATTCATGTTTGGTTTGTTCAGGCATGTGACTTTTATATTGAAATTTCTTTGGCATTTTGTGGCCTATATCTGGATTAACCCTTCATGGCTATTATGCTTCTATATTTGTATTACCCCTTTGTGGTTAATGGTCTTTGTATCTAATTTATGAATATAACTATCGCTTTTCTCTTTTATATATATATATATATTAAAAGATAGTAAACTCGTCTCTTTAAAAAAAAACAACAAAAAACTATTCAAATACTATAGTTTAACCAGAGGCCATTTAGCTTAATATTTTATTTTGTTCACCGAAATTGAAATATAATATTGGGAGTCTAAATCACGGCAAAGAAATTCGCGTCCATCAAAACTAACAAGGGTTGAATTTTATAACAAAGTCCCTCCCACGATTCTCAAACCTAATTATTTGACTAGAAATTCATTTTTATAAAATAAAGTTGATATGTTTATTTATTTATTTTTTAATTGTGAATGGATTATCGTGATTCCAACCATGCAAATTGCAAATTGCAATTGTCGGTGGAGGATCTAGCCGATGTAAGATGGTAGATACATGCCGCCGCGTGGCCTTATCTTATGGGACTGTGGCCAGCCTAGCAATGCTTTGGGCTGTGTAGCAGATCGGCCCTACATTGACCTGGAAGATCACTCACTCACACAACTTCCAGCGAAACCACCCTCTCATTTCCTTAAAACTACAAAACTACCCCACAGTTGCTTGCCGACACGTTCCTGCCATAGCCGTTGAAAATCAACGGTCATATGTACAGTCCCTCAGACGATTATTCGTTGAGGTCAACGATTTGACGGGTATTGATGGATGATCACCACTTGAACTCTGTGGTCGTGCATGCAGCAAATGATTAGGGTGAGCTGGGCCCCAAATATCTTTCTTGGTCCCACAAGTAGCAGACTTAGCAACGTGCTAGTAGCTGATTCTATGCGTGCGAGGCGGTGTTTAGGGGTTAAGAGAGAGGGAAAGTGTGCCTTGATTTCTGATCAAGTAGATGCTAAAACCACGTGATCTGCTGCTAACGTCCTTCTTTACATTATTCTTTAAAGTTTCGAACCTCTTTGTCGCTTCAAGCCTTCAGGTTATTGCCCAATTAAAATTTTAAAATTTTTTTTATTTAAATAATTTAGAAAAAGTGAAATTATATTATTAATTTTTTTCAATACAAGCGATATTCTAAACTATGATTCGAACCTAAGACTTCTAATTTGCAAGTCAAAACCCTTTTCCACTGGACTAAACCCCGTTTATAGTAATATTATATTATTAAGGTAAAGAACTCAATACACCCTCTACATATGAGAGAGTTTAATCGTTAAAACTAGTCAAGTAGCCTATCCTTTCTCGTTGAGAGCAGACAGTTAGAGGAAACCAAAACCCGTAATAGAACCTTCTATTATGTGGTCTATTATTTTGCCATCATAAATCTCACTCCTCTTTCTTTATCAATGAATATGTACAATACACGACATTAATATGCAAACTATTTCTTTTTCTTTCTCTTTTTGATATCAAGGAAAGGAACCCCTTCAAGGCATGGCCATATTGGACTCGTCGCTGTCACGTAAACCCCGACCCACACTCCCGACCCCATAGTGCATGCTAGTAAATCAGAAACTCGCACAACAGCAGTAGCATTCGAACAGTTTACAGTTGGCCCCGGCTTGTCCTTCTAACCATTGTGCTACGCCCCCGTGCCAAAATATTTTTCTTGTAACTTGTATGGAGTCTTGTTGCATAATGGTTGAGAAAAAGTTGGACGGTTGAAATGGTAAGAGTTGAGGGAAAGTTGGTTGGTTGATGATTTAAAAAGAAAAAAGGGCTAACAATCATCGTTCACTTTGTAAAACTTTTGAATCTTAGAGATGCCCTAATTTCACCACATTTATCCAACACAGGATAAAACTGCAACATGTTTCACTTTTTCCGTTACTTGTTAATAGTGGAAGCTTCTAATTCATAAGTTGGAGAAAGCTTTTGTTACTGATGCTTCATTCATTGGAAGGGAATCTTCCATGATTTTATCCATCATCTTGCTACGTACTCAAGTGTCGGCAACCACTTTTTCTTATGTTCTTCAAGCATGGAACCGGCTTGTTCATTTGATGGCATCTGACCCGGCTCCATGCTCGAAACACCTGCGAAAAAATTACCACTTGAAATTTTCAAAAATAAGTTTGGTTACTTATGAAAACATGTTTGTTAGAGACTAGATCTTGTATTTGATTTTATTATAGAACCTCGATGATATGAGAGAAAACTTTATTCATCATATAATCTTATCATTTTTATGTATGAGAACCAATTAGTCTTTGGTCTATTAATATTTGTCTCCACTTAGTTGGAGGAGGTCTCAAATATGTGATGAGTTTGATAACTAGTTAGTTGTGACTAACCTTATTGTGGTGGTGCAGCTTTGTTGTGAGTATATTGGACCGTTGTAAAAGTCTCTTGTAAATATCTTATAGTTTTTTTATATAAAAATAAAAAAACTATATGAACACTTTTTTTTAGGGCAATAAATAGCCTTAAAGAAAAAAAAAGAATTATTTTCGTCATAAATATAACCCCTCTTTGTTAATGAATATAGGCAACACTCTACATTGAGATACAATTAATTTCACTTATTAATCAACTTTAGGTTTAATGAGTGTTTCCGGTCCAAAAATGTTCCAATGAGCTTGTAGATTTATCACAAATATTTTTTTTTATTGGGGACAACCATTAAAAGAAAAATTCCCAAATCCCAAATCCCAAATCTCCAATCTATAATAAGTTTATCTTTTATGCCTAATAATTGCTCTCTGAGAAAATTCTAAAGAAAAATCCCTAGCCAAAGGGGTTTGCGGCCACCCTTCTTACTCCATCCCCTTTTTTCTCCTTCCCTTCCTATTAACTTTGGATTCTTCGATTTTTGTTTTGTGATGTGGAAATAGTTATCGTCACCATGATATAGTTGTCGTCTTTTGGCCCACGCATGCAAGAATTCGGCTCAAGTTGTCAGCCTTCGATATAGATTTGGAGCTACAAAGTGAGGATGATGTTGGGTTGCGTTGGGTCCGGGTTTAGCCGGTTTGATACTATGGGTTTAGCCAGTGTGGCATTATGGCTCTCTTCGGATTGCTTAAGAGGATGTGGAGCGGTGATCTTGTTTCTTAGTTTGTTTTAATCTATAAATTTCCATGAACTATTTAGGAGTTCAATGTGGTTTGTTTTTTGTTTTCGATATTCTATTTCCTTTTGGCTTTTCGATACAAATTTGTCGTTTCTGTCATACGCAGCAAATCTTTATTATAGGTTTAAGTACATGTGCTTATGGTTGCTAATTTGGGGATAAAATTTTAATCATTTTTTGGGTTGTGCGTATTCTCTCGACATCAATTCAACTTCTTGTTGTGTTTGGTCACTGAATAAGAGCACTTCCAATGTTGGCCTTTAGCCCGGGCAACAGGGGGCCCAAGCTCCCATTTCACATTCCAGTGGGCTTCTACAGCCCTGGTAGCTTATGGGTCCCAGCAAACCGGGCCAGCCCACAGGCAAAATCAACCATTGCTCTTGCCTGGGTTTGTTGACGTCAACAACAAAAATTTTATAAAAAAAAATCTAAAAAAATACTAAAAATTTCAGAAACTTCTCACACCAAAACTCTATACAAATTCCTTTCATCATATCTTATGTGAATAGTGGTTGTCATGACAATGGGTGAAAACACCACAAGCCTTTTGCAAGGCTAACTAGAATAATGTTTTGGGCTTTGCCCTCCCTACCCTAACTGATGGAACTGCTCTAAGTTGTATTCATATTCGGCAACTTAGTTGTTTTGTATTTGTTTTTGTTTACCTTATCAATAAAATATTATCGCTCTTTTATACTAATAATAAAAAAAATTTTTTTTTATTTATAAACCAAAAAAAAAAAAAAAAAAAAAAAAAAAAAAAAAAAAAAAATTTATAGATAATACTCGAGAAACTTGAAAATGACCAGTGACCACCCGCCAATTGTTTTGAAATGGTAAATAGTTGAACAAAAAGTTGATTTGATGTTATTAACAAAGGCTAATTACTGCCCACTTTATATAACTCGAAATCTTTAGAGATACCCGAAACATCGCCAAACCCCAATTTCTCCAGTGAATTAAACGAAACCCGCAACCAAACAAATTCCCCCAAAATTCTCCGCATAACCAACAAAACACAAAGAAACAAAAGGGACCCACACAGAGGCCCTTGATGCTTCACTCAACTCAAACAACAAAAGACACCAAAGGCCAAACCCAGGTGGCTTCACCTGTAATTTTCCTCACATCTAAGCCCCATTCTTATAAACCTCCCCCTCCCTATACTTTCCTCCGCTCTCACTCTCACTCTCACTTTACACCAAGCAAACCCACACCTCTCCCGCTCTCTCTCTAAAACCCATCCCACACTTTCTCTCTCTAAACCCAAAATCTCCAGATCCAAAACCCACTCACAATGCAGCTCCGCCGGGCTACCGCCGCCGGCGCCCTCCTCCTAACACTAACCCTCCTCACCACCCTCGCCGAAGCCCACAACATCACGCGCATCCTGGCCAAGCACCCGGAGTTCTCGACCTTCAACCACTACCTTACCCTGACCCACCTGGCCGCCGAAATCAACCAGCACACCACCATCACCGTCTGCGCCGTAGACAACTCCGCCATGTCAGCCCTCCTCGCCAAGAAGCCCTCCATCTACACCATAAAAAACATCCTCTCCCTCCACATCCTCCTCGACTACTTCGGCGCCAAGAAGCTCCACCAGATCACCAACGGCACCGCCCTCGCCGCCACCATGTTCCAGGCCACCGGCTCCGCCCCCGGATCAGCCGGCTTCGTTAACATCACCGACCTCAAGGGCGGAAAGGTCGGATTTACCCCCCCAGGACAACGACGGCACCTTCCCCGCCCATTTCGTCAAATCCGTTGAAGAGCTTCCGTACAACATTTCTGTCATCCACATCAGCTCCATCCTCCCCAGCCAGGCCGCCGAGGCCCCGGCACCGGGCCCCGCCGAGCTGAACATCACCAGCATCATGTCCGCCCACGGCTGCAAGGTCTTCGCCGACACGCTGCTCGCCAACCCGGACGCCTTCAAGACCTACGAGGACAATGTCGGCGGCGGGCTGACCGTGTTCTGCCCGATGGACGACGCCTTCAAGGCTTTCCTGCCAAAGTTCAAGAACTTAACCAGGGCCGGGAAGGCGTCGCTGCTAGAGTACCACGCCGTTCCGGTGTACCAGTCTATGGCCACGTTGAAGTCCAACAATGGGCTGCAGAACACTCTGGCCACTGACGGCGCTAGCAAGTTTGACTTCACCGTCCAAAACGACGGCCAGGAGGTCACTCTGAAGACGAAGATCGTGACGGGGAAGATCACGGGGACTCTGATCGACGAGCAGCCCGTGGCTATTTACACCATTGACAAGGTTCTGCAGCCCAAGGAGCTTTTCAAGGGTGCTTTGACTCCAGCGCCGGCGCCGGCTCCTGAGAAACCAGCCCACGCGCCGAAGAGTTCGAAGAAGAAGACGAAGGACGTGCCTTCGCCAGACTCCGAATCGCCCGCTGACTCGCCGGATGACAACCCCGCGGATCAGACTGCGGATGATAATAATGGAGCCGTTGGGGTTGGAAGGTTGGGATTTGGAGGATTGGTTCTCAGCATGTGGGTAGGCTTTTTACTGCTGTAAGTTTTTATTTTAATTTGTTTTCACTGGGCAATAAGTGAGATGAATTTGAGGTATTTTTTCTTTATAGTTCTGTGCGTGGGTGTGTTGGGTTTTTATTTTACTTTTTTATGGGGGAATTTGTAAGGTGGTTATTTTTGTTTGTCGATTCATGGATCTATATATACACTTAGGATGTTTTCAGTTATTTTTATTTGGGATGTTTTTAATTATTATTTATTGAATTTTTGGACAATGTCTTTATAATGTGAATGATTTCTAATTTGTTACTTTTATTTTGCATATGCTTAAAATTGTAAGAGTTTCTTCATTTGAATTGTGAAAGACAAGTTTGAAATAGAGAAGCATTTCTGAAATGGAAGTGTCTGTTGGAGATATTCTGAAATGCGGGTAAATGTACGAATGCTAAACGTAGAGATTCAGAATCTTGTGTGTTGTACTAAGAAACAAAGTCTCATCTCTTTTACTCCTATGGATTTGGTGGAACCGCGTTCATTACGATCGATCTTACCTTTATTTGTCCCTAAATTCCTTTTGATTATGTATAAATATGATTGATTTGGTAGCTACCAATGTAACAAATCTAAGCTCGAGAGGGTTTATCCTTGCATCTAAAGTCTCGTGTTCAAATCCCTCTTTTTCAATTTCGCTTGTATTTTTTTTAACGCAGAACATTCAATCAACGGATAACAACATATAATCAACTGTATGGAACCAAGTATTTTCCAAAGGTAATAACTTACAATATATACCCCATTAGCTTGATGAGAGAAGTGATTTTCTTTTGGACAAGGAAGCAAGAAATAATAAAGAATTTTATTTTCAGGATGAAAAGAAAAAGAAGTTTCTACAAAGGAAAGTGGGTGATCATGTTTCAATGATTTGAATTCTAGTATGCTCGACAGTGATAGTGAGATAAAGAAACATGGAAACCTCATGGAGGATGAGCTGCCTTCCAATTCTTGTGTCAACCTCAATGCCTTTATCACATCCCCATTCCCTTTAAAATGGTTCACATGATCCCAACCACAAAACCTACTAGTCTATGCAACGGTTCAATAAATGTGAGGTAGTTTCCAGAAAAACACAACGAAAGGTGTCCGTCCAACACACCAGGGAAGGAAAATTATGCAACATGGCCAATATCAACTAGTAACATTATTTACTGGTTGCAAAACAACTAGAAACAGTTGTCCAAATGCAAAAGATGATTTGGATGTTTAGAGGACGAATTCTGTATCAACATAGAAAACATAGTCAGAGAGTCACCCAATCGTTTAACAAATTTTTACGTTCTAAAAAAGAAAAATGATTATCTGCTCGACTTCATTTTTAGTTCGAGTATTTTGTTTTGGATTTTGAGTTTAGTATTTAGATTTTTTTTTTTCACCTCTTTTATGTGAGAGTTTTATTTGTATTATTATTATGGCTTGGTTTTTTTTTTTTCTCTCAAGCTTTATCTCTTTTTGGTTGTTCTGAGTTGCACTCTTTGTTGGGGTGCTTACGCAAGAGTTACTTCGATCTAGAGTGATCATTAGTAGAGGAGCCCCAGATTCCCTTAATTTTAATGTTAGATTGCTCTGTTATTGTAATAGCCTTTTGTGGTTAGTGACTTTTTTGTCTGAGTTATGAATGCAATCCCAAAATTTCTCAACAAAAGGAAAAAAAGAAGAAGTTAATTCTAACTTAGTACCTTGGACTTTCATGCATAAAGCATGTTTGGACCCTTGTTTTTAATTTTAACATTTAAGCATTCGTACTTTCTGAAATTGTTGCAATATGATTATGTAGTAAGGTTTATTGTAAAAAAAATCCATTAAATGATGATGTGGTATATGTGGGGCCTACTTTTATTCTTGATAAAACATGAGTCCGAGCAAGAAACTCATAAAAGAAAAAAAAACTAGGGTCTCAAATTCTGAGACTTGTGGCTTAGACTAAAATTTTGTGTTATATTCCTATTTTAGATCGGTGCACTAGATACTAAGTTATATCAGGTTGTAGGGGCTTTTTTCTTCCGGCAGCTACAAACGGGCTGGGCTGTCGTAAAGGGCAAATGGATGAAATTTCCCCTTGAGCCTGAGTTCGAAGATCATGCCCTAAGAATGCTTCGGAAGGACTGAGATGCCTTAGGAAACACCTTGGTTACCTTCACCAATGAAAATAACAACAACTTACAGATGATTTCTTGATGCTTATAGATAAATTTTTTAGCTTTGCATGAGAAACTTGTGGCATGGAAGCAAAATCAACATGAGTTTAGCACCAAAGAGGAAAATATGGCTTCCTAGGGAGAAATGAGAGTGTTTAAGGTGAGGAAGAAGAGGTTTGCAGGTTGATTCGGCTGAGAAGAGAGAAAGAAAGAACAATATTCTTCCGGCAGCTTGACAAAGCTTCTGACAGATGTGAAAGTGGTCTGCCAGAAGAGGAAAATGGAGAAGAAGGGTGAATAGTGCACGAAATTGCTGGGTTTTTGCAGGTAAGAGGGAAAGCTTGCTCTCTGAATTTTAGTTGGTTTTCTTGGGTAGAAGATGCCTCATTTTATAGCTTGCTAGAAACTATCATTTCCCAAGAAACCCTAATGGTTTCTTCCCAACTTGGCCAAGCTTTTTCTTCCTTTCTCCTCTCATCCCTTGACTTTTCTATCTTGGTGAAATTTCCTCTATCTATTTACACAAAATCAGGAATTTTGGGAGCTCAAGGCCCCCTTTCCCGCAACTGTTTCAGTGGGAGACTTTCATTCCCAGCCATCTCCTTCCTTTCTTTCTTTCCTTTTTCCATGGCTAGGTCTGATAGGGGAAGGAATTGGGGTATGTATGCCGGTTCAAAGGGTGCTTCTCTTCATGGCAGCTTGCACGTTAATATCCATTGGTTCTTCGGGTGTTTTATGCTTGGAACTTGTTCATTTCTAGCAACTCTGCATATGTGGACATCTCCTTCGTGGCTTCTGTTTTTTCCAGCAAGGAGCTGAGGCTTTGGCTTCTTCTCTTTTCTAATTGTATGGGCCTTCTAAGATAATGGGTTGGTTTGTCAAAATAAATGGGCTAACCTCAACAAGTGTTGGACTATTTTTGTTGAGGTGTTGGGCTAATTTGGTTAAGCTAATGGGCTTTTTCCTCTTTTGTGCTCACCCATATGTATGGGCCTAAGAAATGGGCTTGAGTCCCGAGGCTCCCAAGCAACCTGAAACTTCAATTTCTCGGCCCATCAATGGACCTCATGTTGATTTATTACCATCCATACCACAACCCACTCAAGCAAGCCCCAGATATTTGAGTGGCTTGGGGCCCACTTAAGCTTGTGGCGTGATTAGGAGAGAATAATAATTCCTTGCTGGCGTGGCGTGTCGCTTGGTGTGGCATGTGTGCAAGCGCATATGATGAACTTTCGCGTGCCCAAATCGGGTTTCTTCTCGGTAAGGTATCACATTGGTCCGAGAATTTATTTGAGCCGAAGCGTGGATTTTTTGGGCCTCAACACATGTTTGATAAGAGTTTAAATTTAGTTACCTTGAGGCTCAAAACCTTGTGAAATAAGGAAAGTTTTGAAGCTAATTAAAGAGGTCTTATTTATTTCCTTTTGCGTGAACCGTTGCTTAATGGACTTAGAGTGTTAGTCAACTCAGCCCTTAGTGATGAGTATAGACAAATTGACCTAGCCCTATATATAAGCTTAAGACCCTACTCTCTCACAGAAACTATTTCAACTATCTCTCATGCATACACAAAATGCATAATAAGTTTAAACAACTAAATAGTCAAAATGGTAGAAATTATTTAATAATAAAACTGTCAACCAAATAACATCCTTAAATGCAAATCTCAATCCAGATAGCAGTAAATTAAACATACTTGAAAACTATCAAAATGGGAACAAGACTCCCACTAGATTACAGCATCAAAGTCAGGAAATAATCTCATGCTCTCAACATGTCTTAGAAAAGGTTGTGAAGACAGAAAGGTAAACGAATCTGCAATCATATCTTGAGTTCTAATATGATCAAACCTGACTAGTTTGTTTTGAAGCCAATTGTTGAGGCCCAAAAATCCAAGGACTAGGCCCAAGTTTATTCTTAGCCCAACACGAATAAATTGATCGTGAAAGAAACCCAATCAGGACTAAGAGAATTGTGGGACGCACCCACATAAGCCGTGGGCCATGCGTCATGCCAAGCAAACATGCGCAAAAGAATAAAAAATGCACCGGCTTTATAAATTCATGCTCACCAGCCTATCCGATGCCACTTGGCCCGATCATAGCTTATTGCGGTACAACAAAACTCAAGCACAAGCATGATAAAAAAACACGTGATGCCATCTAAAAAGCCACTATTCCAATACCAAGCCATGCTACAAGCTTAAGTAGGCCCAAGCCACATAATTACCTGGGGCTTGCTAAGAAGGTTGTGGTATGGAGGGAAACAAGCAATCACAAGGCCTATTGAGGGTTTGAGGGGCGAAAGTTTTAGGCCACTTGGGAGCATTAAAACTCAAGCTCGTTCCTCGAGCCCAAACACATGGGTTAGCATGAGAGAGGAGAAAAAAGTGATCTAATGCCTTAAGAAGACATCTAGTAGTCTGCTATAACACTTAGACAAGTCCACATCAATAAAATGCCCAAATTAAATAAGCCATTTCCAGCAGCTTGACGAAAACCCATTAGACGCTGGAAATAATATGCTAAAAACCCAATACTGTATACACAAGCCTAGCCCAACGATTTGTAGAAATCTGTCATCGTGCTTCACCCTTGTCAGAACTCCAAGATGGTCAACGAGGAGGCATGGCAGGGACCGAAGGAAATCCATGAATATAGGAAGAATCCCCATCGGACAAAAGACTCTACCCACCTTCCTTTTCTACTGTAAGCTTCATTTTGAAAAACCAAGAAGGAAAGCAGGTGGCGCCTCACCCTCATGGGGAGGTCCAGCCACACAAATTCCTTGGAACCCCAAAAAGCTCCTTACCCATGCCTTTGGATAGCAAAATTTCACCAAATAGGATCAAGTGGGGAGAAGCAACGGAAAAGGGAGAGGGAGGTTAGACAAAATTAGGGTTCTTTGTGCCTATAAAAGGGAGCTTCCTCTACCCAGTAACATCATCATCTAAGGCCTGCCCAAGCTTTGTCAAGCAACTGAGAATTTACTCAAGCCACCCAATCTTCTTCTTCGGTAGTTTTCTTCTTTCTTTGAGATAAGGACCTTCTTAATTTTCCTCTGCCCTGTTTAAACCTTTTGAGCAAGATGGTATATGAATACGAAGGCGGTTGGAGTGTTCACCTGCCGGATGCTTTGTGGGCTTACAACACCTCTCCAAGAAGTGTTACAGGTTTTTCACCTTACTCGCTCGTGTATGGGTTTGATGCTATCTCACCTGTGGGAATTACCATCCCCACAGCCAGGGTATCAACTATCAATGATCTTGAATGGGATGCGAAGTCATGCTCGGATTGGTGTTTGCTAGACCTCAAAGTTGTGGACGAAAAAAGAATGGAAGCCGAAAGAAAATGGCACTTTCCCACAAAACTGTTACCCAAGCATATAACAGGATCGTTAAGCCTCAAGCCTTCAAACAAGGAGATCTCGTGCTAAAAGTTGTCGAGCATGTGAGAAGACAAGTGTCGGGGCCTTCCAAGTTTGCTCCGCAATGGGAAGGTCCATTTGCAGTCAAGAAAGTGCATAACAGTGGCTATTATCGCTTGATCTCCGTCAAGGAAGGCATGCTAACGGATCCCATTAATGGAAAGTAGCTTAAGCCTTACTACTACTAAGTAGGCATTGTATTTTATCTTTTATGTTATCGCATTTCTTTTCTTTTTAAATATGGTCTCCTTCTATATTCTCGCTTTTTGCTTTGAGAAGCTTTTGTAAAATGTACCATCATGGTGGCATGGGATTTGAAGGAGTATTTTGAAAGGAAAAAAAAACTGTCTCTAGAAATTCGCCTTTCTGCGCCCTAAACTTTTGTGTATATATACGTATACGACAGATATTTTTGAATAATAATAAAAAAACACTACTTAGCAAAAGACATGCCAAGCAAAGTCACTTGTATGGGATCCTAAGAAGTCAGTAGGATTCATGCCTCAGCAAGACAAAGAGAAACATGCCAAGCCAAGCATTTGCAAAAGAAACTAGCATGCTCATAACGTTTAGAAGTCCTTTTTTTGAAAAAAGAAAAAGAAAAAAAGAGAGAAAGATAATAGGTACTAAGAAGTTTTGGGCAACGATCCTACCAAAATTTTGGCAGCATCTACCTTGTTTTAAAAGGGTACCCAACATGCAAGGAGATCTCAAGCAAAGAATTTCACCAACCAAGCAGCATATATATATATATATACCAAGTAGAAATTACAATGTGTCTTTAGTATCCAAAATGAAAGGGTACATAGGTTCTAGCAGCTTGAACACAACAGTACTATAGTGCCAAGCTGTTACAGTACAAGTTTTTACAGCCTAAGTAGGATTAAGTTATACAAGCCAAGAATTAATGTGTTCTTCAGTCTCGAAGGGGATCCTAAAATGTGTCAAGTTAGTTAGTCTTACACCAAGCAAAATGTAACCTGCAAGACAGAGTAAAAGGATGTTAGAAGAAGGCAGGATTGGTGCCATACAGGGTTACTAAAGAAAAAGTAAAATGAGCAGGGATAAATGATTATGAACCTCAAAGACATCAAGCATAGCTAAAAGAGAACAGAAGAAGCCTTGTGAAAGGACCTTGTCACTGATTTCGCCACACAGCCGACATCGTCGAAAGAAACACCCTGGGCAAGAAGAAGGGCACGCAGTTCCCTATGCTGATCAGCTTAAGATTCAAAGCCTCTGCTGCTACTTTTATTTCATTAGGACCAAAAAATGATTCCATGTTGTGAATAGCTCGTGCCTCGAATACAACGTGCGCTAAATCTTTCACCAAGTTCAAAAGAAACTTTACCCAAAAACCTAAGGTCATGGCTTCACAAATAGCATCCTGCCAGCAAAGGAGTCGATGATCCGTAATATTTAACAAATGCATGGTATCCATTCCATGGAGCACCAAGCCAAGGGTCTAGAAAGCAGCACACTGCGAAAAAGAAGATGTAATGCCAGTCATGTCCATGAAATCTCCATATTTGTCCATAAATTTCTCTAAAGCTGCAACCATCTCAGGATAAACAAGTGCTCCCTGGAATGTTGCATAACCATTAAACCGGTGACAAAGTGGCAGGAGCTCATCTGTGGACTGAAGGACCTGAACACCACCGTCCAAGAAGGCCTTGAATCCAGTAAAGGAATTCTCCCACTCCAGCCAAGACATACTAGATGGGCGCTCTGCAAAAACGTTCCCGGTAGCAGTGTCATTAACCTGGGCATTCTCAGCAGCAGCTATGTCACCAAATGATATCGTCGGAAGAGATGCTAGGGGCTGAGCTCTGACACCCGGAGAAGTGGTTGAATGTGGGATGGAGTGGGCAATGTCCAGTGAAAGGCAAAGGTTTTGCTTTGGAGAGCTGCCGGAAAGTGTTGAAATATAGGCGGCAAGGGGCTCGTGAATTGAAACGTAGATGTCTTGTCCCGAGGATTTTTTGATGTTGTAGTCGGAGATGATTCGGCAAGGGCTGCCTCAACCAATGTGTTAAGTGTGTCAAAGAAAGAAGGCACCACATGCACAATTTCCATATTTTGAGTAACATGCCAATCTGCAAAAATATATATATATATATATATATGCAAGAGTAAGTATGAGGTAATCGTCGGGTTACATGCACAAGCAAAAGGGCAAGAGAGAGACAATTACCCAACTGGGCAAAGAAAAATGAAAAAATAAAATAAAAAATAAATTTGTGGAGCAAATAGTGGATACCTCTTGGGCACTTTGTGCAGGGTCAACAATGGCAATAACAAGGTGCGAGCCTTCGGTGATATCGGCGATCTGCAAGACAAGGATGGATGGTGAATAGGCAGTTTGCGACGTGAAAAATGGAAGGGGGAGCATAATTTAAGATATGCCAAGTACCAGCTCGACGCTAATATGGCGCGCACTGCTACCGGTAGATCCAGAGAGAATATCCAAGTCGCCCTGTTCTTCTGGACAGTCACCGGAGTGTACAAACGCATCCTTATCGCGATTATTGTAGTTACTCTCGTCAAAATCCTCATGCGTGTCACCAATGTCACGAACGTCCTCTTGCTTCAGAACACTAGCCTCAGTCTCAGTAGTATCACCATCATCACTGTCATCATCAATGGTCACCACAGTTCTAGCTTCGAAAGCTTCTCTACCGCTTGTGTGAGCTCCGGTGAATCTTGCCTGCAAGATACGCATGCTACGGCATTTTGGAGTCGTGTGTGGGGACACGGGAGGTGTGTCGCTTCGCTTCCTTTTGGGGTGGTACCTATCTTTCCTAAATAAAATATTAAAAAAATCAGAAGCAAAAAAAATAAAAATAAATATTATACATGTACGATGAGTAAAAAAAGAGTGAAGGAACATAAGAGATAGGATCATATTTACTACGAAGATAAGTGGTTTCCAGCGCCTTGCCAGCACGGCCCTAGCTCTCGGATGTAGCAGGCTTTGAAGGCTGTGGACATTCTGAGGGAGTTGCTTCTTCAGTTCGAGGAGGGCCACTTAGTGCTACCTTTGGGATGAATTTTCTAGGTTTATCGGCAGTTTGTTCTTTCCCTGCACTTTGCTTCTCATCCTGCTTCCATTTACCTGACACTGGTATCGTATCTTTTCCAGAATTGTGAGGACTCGGCGTTCCCGATTTTGGTCTCATTTTGGGAAATTCTCCAACGATGTCACCACTCTTAGAAATAAACGGCAGATTGCGTTTTTGGCTTAGAGGGATGGCATTCTCTTCCGACACTAAACCTGCAAGGCGAGCTGTTGTGGGTGGCAATATGTCGCCAGGAAAGGATTGGAATTCACGGAAAGAGGCAAGGCAGCGATTCCAGTAGGCTTGGTAGCCCTGAGAGAAGCCACCAATCCTCCCCCTGCTAGCTAAAACAAGGGACCCACCACTGTTTGGTACATTATCATTGCTCCAAAAGACCCTGTGCAGCACAAAAGGGTCATTATGGTTAGGACTGCTCGGTACCCCTTGATCAAGCCCAAATTGTCGCCTAACCCTGTGTGGTGAGTAGGTCACAAAAATCTCTGAGCGGCTGTCTCCAAGAGTAGGTAATGGGAGAGGGGCAACATTCAACAAAGCATACTTCCTAAAGTAGCCACCTTGCGATATCGCTGTTGGAACCTTAACAGTATCACCAACATCAGCATAAAAGGGCACAAAGGTGAAGGCCTCTGCCAAGGTGCCGTAAGGACAGAAGATGAAGTTTTCAATATTATCCAATAAATTTAAAAAGTTTTGGCCTTTCCTTTGCATCTATTTAAACCACCTGCAAACTAAAGGGAGACCATCTGGCATAAAAGAACCCTTGGCTATTTGCACAGCATGCGAATAGAGGAGTGGATGTATGTCTAGTCCTTTGATACGTTCCCACAAAAACACCTGCAAAAAACTAGAATTCAAGAGAGTCTCCACGCCCATGGTTCCCGCCGCGCTTTTCTCTAAAAGCTGAGTTCGATCAAGTAGCCGGTATAAGTGTCCTAAGAACATGGAGGCTAAGGGGATCGTGTCACCTCGGGCTATGGCCAAGGCGAAAGGAAATACTCGCTCATGTAGGCAGTCTTGAGAGAAATCATAGAGCATGAATCGCCCAAGTCACAGTGATATAAATGCAACCAATCGGCAGGATCCCTATATGTTCGCATCCCCGAAATACTATATCAAGTTGCTAAATCGGAGCGAGGTGCGGGGGGAAGTCGGGCACCTCTTCGTAAAACTACAAGCTTGTCTATTTCTTCCGGGGTAAGAGCGATGTCAAATGGACTCCGATCGCCACGAACTGGGAGACAAGAGATATTTGCCACGTCCTCAAGAGTAGGGGTAAATTCCCCCCATGAACATATAAAGGTGTGAGTAGCAGCGCTCCACCTTCGGACCACATGGCGAAGCATCTTTGCTTCAATATGGATATCCCACAACTTGGAAAGAAAGATGGCATTAAGAACCTGTGCCCTGCGCAAAATGTCGCAAGTAGATGGATCGAGCAGCTCACTGTCAACCCACTCTGACCAACCCTTACTGATGCTACAGAGATATTGGAAGAATAAGGGAATGGCTGGAAACAGGCCCTTCTCAATACAACACCTGGATATGGAAGCAGTTTCAATTATAGGATCAATTTCAGGCGGTGGCTCATCATTGACAACAGGATTCTCACGGGCTTCTTCAAGTAGTAAAAAGGGCCCTCCTGCTTTAAGATTGTCATCCATGGAATAAAGATGGTCTAGCATGATCGGTGGGAGATTAGTGGATGCCATGCTAGAGCCACTGAGTCACAGATATCTTCAAAAGAGGAGGAAAGGAACAAAATATGTAAGTTTCGGCACCTTCACGACGACTGACCTAAAAGGCTCAGAATCTAATTATAGTAAAAAGAGGAGATACCAAAAAAAGAAAAAAAAAGAAAACAAAAACAAAATCATGCATGCATTGTATGCATTTTTATTTCCCTTATACAAAGATATCAAGATTATACCTACAAGAGGATCAAATCAATGCCTTGGTGCAATTTCATTCGACAAGAGGAAGAATCTGTTTGATACAAGCATGAAGGAAAACCCAAACTACAAGAATTAATCATTTGAAGGGGCCATGGATTGACCATTCGACACAATACGTGCTTATGATTTTTCCACCATGCTTTGACACCATCTAAAGGTTTTTGCGTTCAATCAAGATAAAATGTCATTTGGGGGGTGCTTAAAATCCCTAATCATTGGTTCATACCCGAAATTCAAGTCAGGGTACAAGAAATTAAAAGAACATGCAGCAAAAGGGACTGAGGAAAAACACTCTGTTCGTGAAGGATTCTCAGAATACATATGTATGGATGCCCTCATATATGCATATATGTGTGTGTATGCATATGCATAGATGTATATGTATGCGGTGACAAGATGAAGAAATAGGAGAAGAAATAAAGGAACGATGATTACCACTGCCCTCGATTGTTTTTTTTCTAGCAGCTTGCCAAAATCGAAAGAAGAAGGAACTGCCTTGCAATTTTTTCTCTTCAAATTACTTCACGCCTTGCAAAGTGACTTTGCCAAGCTTAGTCTCTGACGAATTGAAGGAGAAGTTTGAGGAATTTGGGGATTTTAAAGAAGAACGGTGGCTCCTCCGAGTAGTTGCGAACGGTTTCTCTGAGCGTAACCAACCAGCGGTTATGGATGGTGCCTCCCTGTGACTTCTCATTTTCAAGGTTTCCCTAGACCTTTGTGTGAGAGGGAATCGACAATAACTAAAGGAAGGAGGCAAGTGGCTTGGGTTTCGCAAGCACAGAAGAGAAAATCAAAGACGAAAAGGGAGAAAGAAAGAAATGGAAATAAAAGATTAATAAAATAAAACGGATTTGGTGGAAGCGTACCTGGGGAACGTAAATGACTGCTGGAAGATAATCATGGCAGCACATACGCGGGAAACGAGAAGGTCACGCTACCAACGTGGATTTGACTTTTCTTTTGGGCTGGGTTTGATTATTTGGCCCATCTCAATATTTTCTCATGGCCCCAATAATCAAGAGGGCTAATGTTGAGGATGAAAAATCCAAGAACTAGGCCCAAGTTTATTCTTGGCCCAACACGTATAAATTGATCATGAAAGAAACCCAATCAGGACATAAGAGAAATTGTGGGACGCACCCACATAAGTCGTGGGCCATGCGTCATGCCAAGCAAACATGCGCAAAAGAATCAAGAATGCACCAGCTTTATAAATTCATTCTCACATACCTATCTGATGCCACTTAGCCCGATCATAGCTTATTGCGGTACAACAAAACTCAAGCACAAGCATGATAAATAAACACGAGATGCCATCTAAAAAACCACTATTCCAATACCAAGCCATGCTACAAGCTTAAGTGGGCCCAAGCCACATAATTACCTAGGGCTTGTTGAGAAGGTTGTGGTATGGAAGGAAACAAGCAATCACAAGGCCCATTGAGGGTTCGAGGAGCGAAAGTTTTAGGCCACTTGGGAGCATTAAAAATCAAGCCCGTTCCTCGGGCCCAAACACATAGGTTAGCATGAGAGAAGAGAAAAAAGTGATCTAATGCCTTAGGAAGACATCTAGTAGTATGCTATAACACTTAGACAAGCCCACATCAATAAAATGCCCAAATTAAATAAGCCATTTCCAGCAGCTTGACGAAAACCCATTAGACGCTGGAAATAATATGCTAAAAACCCAATACTGTACACACAAGCCCAGCCTAATGATTTGTAAAAATCTGTCATCGTGCTTCACCCTTGTCAGAATTCCAAGATGGTCAACGAGGAGGCATGGCAGGGATTGAAGGAAATCCATGAATATAGGAAGAATACCCATTGGACAAAAGACTCTACCCACCTTCCTTTTCCACTGTAAGCTTCATTTTGAAAAACCAAGAAGGAAAGCAGGTGGCGCCTCACCCTCATGGGGATGTCCAGCCACACAAAATCCTTGGAACCCCAAAGGGCTCCTTACCCATGCACTTTGGATAGCAAAATTTCACCAAATAGGATCAAGTGGGGAGAAGCAACGGAAAAGGGAGAGGGAGGTTAGATAAAAGTAGTGTTCTTTGTGCCTGTAAAAGGGAGCTTCCTCTACTCAGCAACATCATCACCCAGGGCTGTTTGGGCCTAAATTAGCACGCCCAGCCCAACAAGAAGAAACCCAAGATCCAGAAAGGCCTAGCCCAAACCAAACCAATAAACTCGGGCCTTAAAATTAAATCACCTCTTGGGCTCCAAACAAAATAAGCCCAACACGATTTGGATAAAGAAAGGGACCCATCCTAGAACCCACGTGACATCTTTGTATTATCAGGTTTGGAAAAGTCAACAAAACCAACTAGCACAGAGTTGATAAATGGAAGGGTTAGTGGCTGGCAAACTGGAAGAGACACCTTTGAAAATCTGAAGATCAAATCCCTCTTACATATATATATATATATATATATATTCAGAGATTTTTTCTACTTTACAGAGAAGGTGATTCTCCCAAGAGATAAGCAAGCTACAATCTCAGAAAGAGATATGCAGGAAAGCAGGGAGTTGTTCAAACTGAAGAAATCAAACTAACCATCACGGATGAAATCTCACAAGGGGCAGTTAAAATTGGGAAAAGAGATTGGGTTTTCTTTTAAAAAACAGAGAAGTGATCTTAAGGATTGATTGATGAGAGCTTATCTGACAAAATATAAACTCTTCTCTCTTGTATTTCTTTCTAGATTTTTAAAAGATTTGCCGCCCATTATTTTAAGAAAGAAATCCTAAACTTAAACATCTCTTATAAATAGAGGAGAGGGTGAACAGGTTCAAAAAAAGGATCCAACACTCAAGCCAAACACTCAAGTCATCAATCAAACAAACAACTCAAAATCAACAAGAAGCTCACCTGAATTCCAAGTGAAAACCAGCTTTAGATAAGAATTCCCAAGGTTCAGACCTAGAAAATAAGTCATTGAAAACGAAATTTCTCTCGTTACAAATTTGGTTCAGCAAAAAACCAGGATAGGTAGAGCTTGAGCTTTTCCCAAACATGAAAACCTTAACAAATTTTACAGCCCAGTCTCTAGCCCACTGAAGTCCTCGAGAACAGCCACTTCTGCCCTTACAGACTGAAGAAGCCGCAGTTCTGCCCACTCAAAAGCCTCACAAAAGCTTGAAGTGTATTAAAGCTATGCCAAAATTAACCTTTGGTATCGATCTACAGCTGAAGCTTAGCAGTTGAAGTTATTAACAATCCAGTCCAGCCGGGATCAGAACCTCCTATCCAGGCAGAAATGGAGTTCCAGCTGTCCTTTCATCTTTCTAACTTGGATATTTATGTTTATAGTTTTGTAAAAGGCAGTTCTGCCTAAGACAGCTTAAATTCCATCAACCATTCTGGCCAGAACAACCTCTTTATACTAAGATAAATTGTTAAAAGTCCTCACCAGTCTGAGGCAAGAAAAGAACTTACTTGGGAGATATTCCTCACCCAAATTCACAATCGCTTGTTTATGGAAATCAGTAACTTGGGACGCAAGTTATTATTCTAGAATAAGTCTGCTAGAATCTTCATTGCTAGCAGTGGCACGCTCATACGCCAAAGAAAGCTGACTTGCTGACCAGTCAATGGTTTTCAAGGCAGTGGGAAACTTTGCCCTTCCACCACAGGGGTGATCACAAAACGGGTGAACAATGGCCTAACCAAGCTTTGTCAAGCAACTGAGAATTTACTCAAGCCACCGAATTTTCTTCTTCGGTCGTTTTCTTCTTTCTTTGAGATAGGGACCTTCTTAATTTCCTCTGCCATGTTTAAACCTTTGTTCTCTGTAAGAAACTCATGCTTCTCTCTCTGTCAAATTGCTAAACTTGTGAAAGCTTGGCTCCCATGCCACAAGCTCCTCAAGCCAAGTCACTCATCAACTTATCATGTTTACTTGGCTATTGGTGAAAAGAACCTAAGCGCGTTTTCCTAGAGTTTCATCAAACTCTTCAAAAACTCTTTTGGGAGCTTGGTTCTCGAACTCAGGTACTAGGGGAATTCTGTTCGTCTGCTTCTTACGGCAGCCCAAGCCCATTCGTCAAGCCGCTTGAACAGAAGGACCCCTACACCAATTAAAGGGGTCCTATTTATTTCCTTTTGTGTGATAAGCTTAGAGTGTTAGTCAAGTCGGCCCTTGGTAATGAGTAGAGACGACTTGATCTACCCCCTATATAAGCTTAAGAACCTACTCTCATCAGACATGTTCTCTAACCCTAATCTCATCATAAAGAGAGAGTTAAAATAGTTTCTGAGAGAGAGTAGAAGTCTTAAGTCATTCGTGTCTTTTGCTCATTTTGCTGCAGGTGCGATTGAATGAGTTCTGAGATCGTGTACTCAAGAAAGATGATGTCACGTATGTCTTCTATGTATTTCAAGTTGTGTGAAAGATCATGAACACTTATATAGAAATCCAACAGTTGGTATCAGAGCACATGGTTATTCACACACAATCATGCCTATTGCAATTTCTTTTTCATTGATGCCATGACTGCTTTGGTTATGTTTAAAATTTTGATGACAATTTAAACATGTTTTCTAAATACTATGAATATTAAAGAATCTAGAAAAGGCATGTTTAAATTGATTTTTCATATCTTCAAAACTTTAAACCTATTTTTGACCTACTAGATGACCTTAAAACCCTAAAAATGGCCTTATATCACAACTAATAGTGAGTTTTGTTAGTTATGACATTCCCTATTTTGAAAGGTATAATGGGTCGAAAATGGACACCGAGAACCCCTAAAACACTATTCACGGCAATTTTAGGGTTTTCTCTTAGATTATGTTTTGTTTGGTTATTTTCTGTGCTAGATAGGAACTGGTTTTTATTATGAGAATCAACAAATTTTTCATAACAAAACCAAAGCTAAATTCTCAAACCCTAAAGAAATAACCAAAATTACATCATACCTAAATTACTTAATAAGTTTCTTCAACAAATAGAATCTATCTTGTAAACTGTTTATGATGGCACAAAATAAAACGTAATTTGTTTGTAAGCTATAAGTAATCTTTTACCACAAATGTGTGATACTTAATTAAGGAAGCTTGCATATGTTATTTGTTAGTTTTGTGAATTAAAGTTAAACTAAAAAACTATTTTCTATTAACAAATTGAGAATCAGTTTCTTGGAAAGTGCTTATACTTCCTTTTGCAAATCCTTACAGCTTTGAACACTCCCTCAATCAAATTTTCGCAAATTGAAACTCTCACTAGATTGAACTTCAAAAGATGCAAATTTGATATTGAAGTTACTCTTGGCATGAGTGATATCGATTATGCTATCACCCAAGACGAGCCAACCAGACCCGTTGTGAATTCCCCTACTGAAGTGAAAAAGGTGCATGGAGCATGGAGCATGGAGGATGGCAAATAAGAGGTGTCTTTTGCTTATGAAGAAGACTATTTCAGAAGTTGTTTTTGGTGGAGTTGAAGAAACAAAAAGTGCCAAGCAGTTCATGGAATCCATTGAGAGGAAGATTAAGGAATCTAACAAGGCTGAAATGAAGAACCTCATGTCCAGGCTGACTAATATGAAGTATGAATGAGGGAGTGTGAGAGAACATCTCATGGGACTCATGGATATTGCTAACAAACTGAACAGGCTAAAAGTACCTATTGATCCGGCTTATCTAGTGTATAGTACACTGGATTCTCTACATTATGATCAGATGAAATCCAACTATAACACCCTGAAGGAGGATTGGACAATGGATGACCTGATTACAATCGTTATTCATGAGAATATGACACAAGCTTATAGTGGTGTTGTTAACATGGTCATTACCAAGAAGTATGAGAATAAGGGTGTTACAAAATGGGAAGTAAAGAAACTACTAGAGAAAACTCCGTCTAGTCACTTCTCTTCACGACATGCTCACGAGAACAGAGCAGATATTTCTGCACGACTAGAACAAAGCAGATTTTTATTCTTCTTCATTCCAACACTAGAGTTTTTATACATCCAATAACAAGCTTTCCCATAAAACTCAACCAATCTTTACAGTTGATTCAGACATGGCTTCTCTTCACGATAGTCCAGCTTCCACACCTCATTTCTTCAAGATCATTCTAGATAAGACTTCTAAAAACACCAAAATTGTAAGCACACTTCTCTCTCTCTCTCTCTCTCTCTCTCTCTCTCTCTCTCTCTCTATATATATATATTACTATGCTAAGAATGTTTTCTTTTAACATGTTCTGTTATGTAGAAAATTCCAGTGAAGTTTTTGGTGGAGTTGAAGAAACAAAAAGTGCCAAGCAATTTATGGAATCCATTGAAAGTAAGTTTAAGGAATCTAACAAGGCTGAAAAAAAGAACCTCATGTCTACGCTGGCTAATACGAATATGAAGGAGGAAGTGTGGGAGAACATCTCATGGGACTCGTGGATATTGCTACCAAACTGAACAGGTTGAAAATACCTATTGATCCAACTTATCTAGTGCATAGTGCACTGGATTCTCTATCTTATGATTAGATGAAATCCACGTATAACACCCTAAAGGAGGATTGGACAATGGATGACTTGATTACAATCTTTATTCTTGAGAATAGGACACAAGCTTGTCTTGGTGTTGTTAACATGATCACTACCAAGAAGTGTTAGAATATTCCAAATAAGAAGTAAAGAAGCAGAATCAGTCTCAAAAGAATAGCCCGCTTGGCGTGACCCCTACTACTGAATTCAAATGCTATTTTTGCAAGAAGAATGGTCACATGAAAGAACTTCAACCGTTAGAAGGAGTGGTTCTAGAAGAACAAAGGTAATAAAGAATTGATTTTAGTGAGTTTTGAGTCTAATGTAGTGGTTGTTCCTTCTAATTCTTGGTGGTTAGATATGGGTGCCTCGATTCATATAGCTCATAATGTGCAGGAATTCACTAGAGGGAGGGAACCAATAAAAGATGAAGTTCAATTTTCTTTGGGGAATGGAGAGCAAGTAGATGTCGAAGCCATTGGAGTTGTTAACCTGAAGTTGGATTTAGGATTTATTTTAGAGATGGATGATGTAGTTTTAGTACCCTTAATGAAGAGGAATTTAATTTTTGTTTCAAGATTATCAAGACTTGTTTTTTTCTTCTTTGAATTTAAGAAAGACGGCTTCACAATATCTCAAAATTCCAATGTTCTTGCTACTGGCTTTTGGATTATATTGTCTCATCTACAATAAAGGTGGTGAAGTTTTAGTGGTTGAATCAAGTGACAAAAGGATTAGAAGTGAGGGAACATCCACTAGGTTATGGCATACACGTTTAGGGCACATTTCAAAAGAAAGAATGAAAATTCTTGTTAAAGAACAAGTCTTGCCACCACTGACTTTCGGTGATGATGATATTTGTATTGAATGTGTTAAAGAAAAACTCACTAAAACTAAAAAGAAAGGTGCAACTCATAGTAATGATATTTTAGAGATCATCCATATAGATATTTGTGGACCATTCCCTCATCAAACAATTGATGGAAATTAATATTTCATCACATTTATAGATGAACATTCTTGTTTTGGTTATCTATACCTCATAGTAGAAAAATCTCAAGTTTTTGAGATATTCAAAAAATTTCGAAACTTGAGAAAACGACCAAAATTGTGAGGTCAGACATAGGGACGAATATTATGAATGTTTTTATGAAGGAGGCCGACGTGTTGGACCTTTTGCTAGGTATCTACAAGACAATGAAATAGCTGCTCAGTACATAATGCTAGGAACTCCATAACAAAATGGTGTGGCTGGGAGAATAAATCGAATTTTGAAGGATATGATTCGTAGCATGATTTCCAAAACTGATTTGCCTATGCATGACAGGACCCGCCTCGAATTCCTCGGAATCCGAGACGAATCTTGTGGAAATTCTGACATCACATCGATACCCAGCCCACTTACTAAAGACCGAAACTTTCTACCAAAATTTTGGCAGAGTCTCCCCTGTAAATTGAACAATCCCAAAAATTACAACCTGCATAAAACACATTTAATATCCCCAACCATCAACATGCACAAGATAGTTTCATGCAATTCACCTAATCGGCCTCCGGCCTTCAATTATCCGAAGCAAAGACATGTACCAAGCTCTTAAGTCAAAATAATGAAAATACACCATGCATTTAATGAACTCAAACAAATTTATTCATACCCATTGTAACTAACACCAAACCACTTCCCAAAGCCCATCAACACCAATTGAAAGTAGATTAAAAACTCGGCCTAAGTTGTACAACAACCCAAAACGGGTTACAAACCTAACTTGATCACATCACAATTTAACAACATTCACTTAGTCCAACGGAATAATAAATATTTATTCGATCAAGCCTCGTTTTCATCCGAGTTTTAGGACCAACGACAAGGTCAGCACCAAACTCAATAAAACAACATAAGTAAAATTTAGCCAGTGGCTGCACCTAGGCACTACCCTAGGTTGTCTACGTACCCTTACTAAAGGATCAAGTCACACATAGTTCTTTCAACAGAACCCCAGTTCAAAAAACGTACAACCCATTACAACGATACAAAGTAGTAAATTCTAGTATTATCCTTTCTTTTCCTTTTTCTTAAAACCACCTCATACCAAACATAACCCTTTATTCATATTATTCCCATACGTCGGAAAATCCAACGCCACGTATGGGAAGTGTCTTACACGCCGGAAATTCCAACGCCACATGTGAGACCTAATAATCACATATTCTTCTCATATGCCGGAAAATCCAACGCCATGTATGGGAAGTGTCTCACACGCCGGAAATTCCAACGCCACGTGTGAGACTTAATAACCACATATCCTTCCCATATGCCAAAAAATCCAACGCCACGTACGGGAAGTCTAGTATCTGAGGGATGGTACTCAGCATATATAATCCGTATTCCAAACAATTATAAGTCTCAAATATCACAATAATAATAGAGATATTCACAATTTAGCAATACAAGTCTATAGTAGAATGCAACATAATTTAATCAAATAATATTAATTAATGATAAGCAACAACCTTTAAAGGAAATCCCATATCGAACCAATTTCCAATTTAAACTCAAATAACAATGAAGACTCGTTTACAAGGTTATCCTACTTACTTTTCGAAGGGTGAAACTATCTCGAAAGACTCACAGTCAACCGAGGGGTCAAACTATCCAAACTTGGTTAACCGGGCCAGCAGGGCCCACGACCTCCATTTTACGATCCGAAAGTTTCTAAGGGTTCCACAAGGTCTAGGATATACGTCCAGCAAGTTTGGTCCCAATCGAACGGTCGGATCGCTCGCGATGGTCATTGTAAAACACAAACTTCAAGTTATTAAATCGGAACATCCAGGCTCCGATTTACGATCCGTGAATTCCTACACAATCCTAGGGATATCTAGTTTAACATATATTAAATTCAAGACGATCCAACGGTTCAAACCTATCGAACCTGGATAACGCACAATAGGCGAAATCCGTTCAGGGTTCAAACGTCAACCAAATTGGAATCCGAAAGTACCTATGCGCTCGTGAGGACCAGGAGATCACATCGGGACACAATGCCCCTTTTCTACAGTACCCACTCGCCGCCACACACGTCTGCAGCGCGTGGGAGTCCAAAGCAATTACGCTTCGCCAGAAAAACTCAAAATCACGGCTCAGGACTCCTACCCTAGGTGTAACACCCTATTTGGAGTGGCTTTTGTTCTTCGGCCTACCCCAAAAAGTGACCGGAAGTGGTCGGAATCGGGATCCCAAAACCGGCCTAAATCCAATTCGAAAATCCAACTACCTAGACTCAAAATTGATGAAATCCTACCCAACCATCAGCTAGAGGAGAGAGATCGGAGCCGGCGAAGTTTCGAGCAAAACCGGCCTAAAAACCACATTGTCCGACGACTGGAGCAACGACCGATGTTGGGGAAGGGTGGGGTCATGATGTCGGGGCTGAGCCGGTCCTTTTCGCACCGGTCCCGTCCGTGGCCGTGGCCGGTGGTCGGAGTTTCGAAGAGAGAGTGAGCGTTGTCGTCGGGGAGAGAGAGAGAGAGCAAAATCAGATTTTATCAAACCCTTTTTGCCAAAATTTCAGTTATGCCATTGAGGGTATTTTGATCGTATCTTTTTCGTTACAACTTTGATTTGAGCCCACTACGTGTCTACGGACTCATCTCGCCGTGCTCTACGCAACAGCTCAGTTGAAATTCCCAAATTCCTTCCCGGTCAAAAAGTCAACTTTAATAAACCTAATAAAATATTCTAGGGGCGAAATGGTCTTTTATCTTAATAAATTAATAATTAATAACTTATTTAGGACCGGGTCGTTACAATGCATCTGTGGGGAGAGGCGATCAAAACAGCAAACTACATACTTAATAGAATGCCCAACAAGTCCGTGCCTAAGTTACCGTTCCAAATTTGGACCACCAGAAAGCCTAACTTACGACATCTTCATGTATGGAGTTGCAACGCTGAAGCTAGAATCTATAACCCTCAAGAGAAGAAGCTTGATCCAAAAATGATTAGCTGCTATTTTATTGGTTATCCTGCAAGGTCAAAGGGTTTTTAATTCAATTGTCCAAATTATGGTACCCAAATTGTTAAGACTAGTTGTGCCAAGTTTATAAAGCATGAGAAGAATGCTACTGGGAATGAAGATTTTATTTTTTAAGAAGAAGGGAATGTAGCTGTGATTGAGAATGATGAACAAGAAGTTACAACCTTGATTCCTTTAAGTGAAACTGTATTGGAACCTCCTCAGTTTGAAGAACCAGTTGATAAATAACAACAAGAACAAGCTGTCAAAAATCCTGAGCCAGATAATCAACAAAAACCAATGCAACCGAGGAGATTTGACAAACCAAGAAAATCTATAGCATCATCAGATTATGTGTATTTACAGGAAGCAGATTTTGACATTGGAGATGAAGCTGATCCAATGAGTTTTAAAAAAAGTTATGGAGAGTCAAAATACAGACACATGGAGGAAAGCAATGTTAAATGAAATCGAAAGCATGAAGAATAATCAAGCATGAGAATTAGTTGAACCTTACAAGAGCCATAAATTGGTAGGCTCGAAATGGGTGTTTAAAACAAAGAAGGATAATGATGGAAAAATCGAAAGATTTAAGGCTACATTGGTAACAAAAGGATTCACCTAAAGGGAGGGAATTGACTATATTGAGACGTTTTCTCCAGTTTCCATCAAAGATTCTTTCCACATAATTATGGCATTGGTGGTGCATTATGACTTGCTTTTACATCAAATGGATGTGAAAACTGCCTTCCTAAATGGTGAACTTGAAGAAGCAAATGTGGCAACCTGAAGGGTTTGCAAAGGAGGGGAAACAACATATGGTTTGCAAACTTTAACTAGGTGATTTATGGTATGAAGCAAGCAAGCAAGATGTGGTATTTAAAATTCCATCAAACTATCTCATCCTATGGTTTTGAAGAGAACCTAGCCGATCAATGCATTTATTTGAAGAAGTGTGGAAGCCATTTTATTTTTCTAGCGTTGTATGTCGATGATATACTTTTGGCTACAAATGATCACAATTTATTGAAGGACACTAAGGAGCTACTTTCAAACAATTTTGAGATGAAGGATTTCGGAGAAGCTACTTTTGTGTTAGGCATTGAAATTCAGAGAGATAGAGCTTGAGGTATAATAGGCTTGTCGCAGAACACATACATTGAAAGGGTATTCGAGCGTTTTGGCATAAGTATGTGTTCTGGACAGAAAGGTTCCATTATTAGCTAAGGGAGATTTGAAGAAGAAGAACTGCCCCAAGAATAAAGAAGAAGAAGCTGAGTTGAGGAATAAGCCGTATGCTTCTCTAATTAGAAGCATTATGTACTCACAAGTATGTGCAAGGCTAGACATAGCCTTGTGCATCAGCAAAATGTGGAAGTTTCAGTTAAATCCGAGAATGCAACATTGGATAGCTGGAAAGAAGATTCTAGGGTACTTATTGAGAACAAAGGTTTACATGTTGATTTACAAACGCACAGAGAATTTGGAGCTTGTTGATTATGTTGATGCGAATCATGGAAAAGTAAAGGATGATTACATCTCTACTTCAAGTTTTCTTTTCAAGATGTATCAGCTCAGCACAAAAAATATGAGAGAATGTGAATTGGATAAGTATGAGAGTTATAGCTGCTCACGTCTTGTATACCGTTTAGCAGAGCAATTCAAATTCGCCAGCAATTGATACATATTTTGGCATTCGTCATGCACAACATACATACAAACACAAGGTGGATAAGTTCATTTCAAAGAACGTCACAAGTTTGTCACTAGGCATACATCAATCCAGAAAGATCAAGCTCTTTCTGCTACTTGGCAGTGGCACAGACAGACAAACCGACCTCTGTCTCAAAGCACACCGATCTCTCTCTCTGTAACACGCATGCAGTTCATGTTTAGAGTATTTGTCCGACACGGGAAATGAAAGCCTTTTGCCCTAGTTGTTTATAGGGTCGCAGATTTCTCCACCCATTACCAATTGATTTCGATCCATTTCGGAAAAGTGAGAAGATTACATTAATTAAGTACATTTTACATGAACCCAAGTTGCAGAACTCATAAACAAAATTATAATAATAAAAGTAGAACCTACCTTTGACAATATTAAAAAGGGTTTATTGCCTACATACATGAGATTTAGAAAATTTATATACTCCTACACAAAAGACCAGGAAATAGCATGCAGACTTAAAAGAAAACGGCTGAGGAGGACAACAACAGCATCATAACTGAAAGGAAGATTGGCAAAGCAGATGAAGCTGCACCTGCATGGGTGCCATCAGGGTAAGGCACAAATCCTCCTGAGGCACCTGGTGGAGAGAGATATTGAGGGTACTGGCAGCACTGAGCAGGCTGAGTTGGGGGGCATTTTCCTTGACCATGCTGTTGAGGCGGCGGCGGCGGGTAGCTAGGAATTGATGGTGGGGGTGGGGCTCCTGGTGGAGGAGGGCCATATAAAGGGTACCCTGGATTTGGAATGGAAGGAGGGCACTGACATGTAGGGCAATTGGCACAATCTGTGGGAGAAAATATGGCATCTCTAGTAATCTCCCCAGTGAAAACCAGGTTGAAGAAGACAGAGAAACAGAGTGCTGTGACAAAAAAAAGTTTTGCAGGAAACATTGCTTCCTCCTCTATCCTCTGGCTAGGAAGAAAAGTAGAAAAGAAATATAGGAAGGAAAGATGGGAAATGAATTATGAGTGAGGAAGCTATATTGGATTAATTCATTTTGTAGAATTCCACCACCAGCTTCCAACTGTGGGTTTCTGAATCCCGGATTTGGTGCCGCATGGCAGACCATTTGTCATAACAATGTACAGGTAGCATACAAGCTTTAACTTACATGCATGCTTCTACAATATATGGACAACTCGAAAAAATAAATAAATAAATAAATGACCCATATCTTTTTCTTTTATGTTTTTGTTTTTGGAATGGGAGAGTCTAATAACAACAATCTACGCGTGGGTGACTCAAATCTATTGATGCGTACAAGCACGTTTGTGAGTTCGACATACCTTAAATTTGATGACAGTCGCTTCACATCAAATATTTTTTGTTTTAGTTTTTACCAATTAGGTCTGAATTAATTTAGTGGTTTTTTATCCCTCTAATGTTAGAAGAGATCTCAAATTTGGTCCTTGTTTGTTCCCCATTGGTCACAAAAGCAAATGCTCTGTTCTCCCTTGAAATCACAAGTGATCAGTCATGACTCTATTCTTTATACTCTCGATCTATACTACTTACTACCAGTCCAACATTACAGAAAACACAGATAAATGGAGGGAATATAAATTGAAATAATAAAACATTGTAGGGTTACAGAAAAAAAATGATAAAAGCATCTAGGATGATTGATCAAGAGAACTTAGGCACTGCATCTCCTGCCCTATTCAAATATAAAAAACTCAACTTATCGTCAAAAACTGATGTTATATGCAGTGGAGAAAACCCAGCATAGTCTCTGTCTAATTTTGCCAAGCCCAGTTCAAGAATGTACTTGAAGAGCGCATGCGTTTGGGTGACTGGTTGAGCTGCATACTCCTCAAGTGGCATCCACTACATGAAATAAAACAAGAGATATTTAGTGAAATACCCATTCTTAGTACTAATATTATAAATAAACCCTACACCATTAAATTTCTATAAACAAACCCAAAAAAAACCTAAAAAATGACAGCTGGCCTTATTGAATTTAATATTGAATATTAAATTACTTTGATGCCTATTGAGTGTTTTGGATATTTTTATGAGATTTTGGGGTTGAGCTTGTTTTAAGAAATTGATGGCAGTTTTGTAATTTATAAGAAATTAAAAGCTTATTTGTTATGTTATAAATAGGTTTTGGGTGTGTTTATAAAGTCTATTTCATATGGGGTATTTTTATTATTTGGGCCTCTATATTGGGTATAATAGTGAATTTCCCATAAAACAATCCCATAAAATTTTAGTCAATTGGTGTATGCAATTGACTGAATTCTCATATTTGAAAGAATCTGAGTTTTGGCATGTCTAAGAGAAGCAACGATTGCTTAAGTTCACAGAGAATTTTTTATTTTTTTATTGTTTGAAACATTATGATCTACCAAAATTAAATTTGAGCAGCACGTCAAACACATTATCAACCAAGAAGTACCTTGGCTGCCTCAATCTCCAGTTCTTGCTTTTCGATGTCAAAGGTTTGAGGATGCAGCATACACACAAAAGATAGATCTGACTTCTCGAAGAATGACTTGTGTGATTGCCTGAAGGTAACACGAAACCATGACTATTTCACAATATTATGTTTATATATCATACTATATATAAAGAAGAAGAAAATAAAAGATTTGAAGTTCCACAAATTTGGTATTTATGAGAAGCAAAGCCTTTGATGGACCCCAAAAGCAGTAAAAGAAACACCAACAAATTACATGATTGATTCCACAGTCTCTTGCACAGTACTATAGTAGGATTTATGCTCATCGGAGATAGAATTGGAGCTGGACCAGATTAGAGAAAGAACCATTGGCTTAATCTTAAGCCCGCTTTTGACTCAGTCAGAATTGAGTGTCTCCTATTTTTTCTAACTGCAGAACTATTTCCATTTTATCATTTTCTAGGAAAGCACAATATAAAAAGAGTTTAGCATCTAGATGACCCAAATGACAAAAGAACTTTGTATGAGGTTGGTTTTCCTAAGAGTGAACCAGTAATTACGCAATCTTCAAGGTGACCCCCCTTTCAGTGACATCCTTGAAATATAATTTAGATAGCCAAAGATACCAGGAGAACTTGGGTCGACTTTCTTATCCCGTTTTGGAGACTCTTTTCTGACATGTATAACTTAGTTTTTCCCACTCCAATCAAATTCGATATAATATAACAATTCCATCAAAACATACAGTGATTCAAGACTGTGCAAACTTGTACCTGAATGCTAATACCTCCAAAAATTCTGCATCAATCTGAAGCAGTTAAAACCAGTGGTCTTCATCACACCAAAATATTGGTAACATAAACTACAAGGTATGAAAGGAACAATATATATATTGATAGACATTGAGAACTTACCCCTGTCTCTTCTTTAACTTCTCTTACAGCTGCCTTAAAAATATCCTCGCCCTATATTGAAGAGCTCATTTAATGTCCAAAAGTAACAAGCATCATAGTTTTGAATAATTAAAAAACTTCTTAGTCCAGGACCTTAAGGTAAATACCTCGTCAACAACTCCAGTTGGGATTTTCCACACACCTGTTCCTTGGAACCTGCCACTCTTCTCCTGGACTACAAGCATCTACGCAGAAGAAATCTAATTTCAAAACCAACAACAGATGACGACAAGGTTGACAAACTGAAGACAAAAGATAAGACTACTGTATCAGAAACACAGAAGAACAAGGGTGATGAACAAGGCTGAATTAGAAGACCACGATATTTCATTTAACTAAACCAGTAAATGCATCCAGATGTGTTATTACACGATTCTCTTGTACTACCTTTGTCCAATGGATAAGCAATAGTAGACAACAATAGTGCCAGCAGCTACTCAGTGTTTTACATTTATCCAAAACAATTAAGCAATGGTAGATAAGAGCAAGTACCTCTTTTTTATCATTCACAACAATAGCCCCAACACTTACTCGGTGTGAAGCATTTGCAGGTAGAGTATTAGTAGTTTCAGGAATCCAATAAACAAGCATGAGGTAGTGTGGCTCAGCATGATGATATCGAAACCCCTCCTGGCATCAACATAATAGGTGTAAGCCAAGACAACAGATTTATCAAGATTAATGGGCAGAACATGACATAAAGCTCTCATCAAATCATAACTGCACTGTACCTTAACTGCCTGATTTTTTATTTATTAAAAAGAAGAAGATGAAAGAAAAATAAATAAAACAAATTTTTATGTTGAAATTTAGTTTCTTTAAGTTAAAACCTATTGTGCTAGAAGCTATGTAGAGTATTAGCTCGTTGCCTTCTTTTTCATTGTACATATACGTATTTATGAGAGCTATGCAGAGTATGAGTTCAAAGACCTCCAGGTTCTACGTAAGCACATAGCTCATATTTTATTTTTCTATCAAGACAGTCACGTTCCCATTTAAAATGCAACTCACAAGTAAGAACAACCTTGTGGGTTGATATTACTAAAATGTCCATGGAGACAGTTCCGGTGCAAATGTATTAGTACTGCAGAGTAATTACCTTAACTGCTGTTTCGACAAGATTTACAAGCTCAATGGGCAATTTTATCCACACACCCTTCTTCCCCTGAATATGAAAATTATTGAATAGAAGGAAGAAACAATCAGAATATCCACCAAGAAAAAGATAACCATGTTGCCAAATTCATTAATCACACACATACACAAACATAAATACATAAATACATGCATACATATTAGTAGATTTACGTATATGTCAAACGGCTGGCATGCTGAATTATTAGATAAAGAGCATACCATATGATGGTACATTGTAAACAAAGAAAGATTTTACCTACTACCACGTACCTCAACTTCGTATCTCAGTTACACTATTAAATATTAATCAACCCGGACAGAATTCTCGAGAGATGACTTGGGTTCAAGTCGACACCTAAGGATTTATTAAAAGTTGGTTTCAAACCAATGTCAAATTTTGAGACTGAGCAGTGTCTCCAAAACTGAAAGCCATTTTTCTACAATAACCATGAAGATCATTTGGAATCCTCACAAACGAAAGATGGTAAGTAAGAATAGAACTGAAATGAGTACACAGTCATTATATAAAAGTGATGTATAAACCATGGTTATTATCTTATTGAAATGGATCAAAGTACAGCATATTCTGACACACTGCGTGATGCAGAACGGAGAGAGAGAGAGACAGAGACAGAGACAGAGACAGAGACAGACAGACAGACAGACAGACAGACAGACAGAGAAGAAGTAAGAAATGAAAAGAAAAGAAAAAAGAACAATAGGAAGGCAAAGAAGATAATATTTTTTTTTAAGTCGATCTGCAAAATCTATATATAGAGCTAATCCAAAACCAACTAAAACTAAAATCTGCATTCAAAATTCCCCAATAAAGATCCCTGAAATTATGATTTTCATCGTTCTCCATTACTCTCACCTGATTTTAAGAAAATCAATCTCAAATTTTGTAATATCACAGTACTCATTTGCAACTTTGGAGCTTCGACCAATTTTTTTCATCTAGCGCTGGAAATAGCAACTATCAAGATCAACAGATGAATTCTTTTCAGCCATACAAGTGGATTGACCAGGAAACATAAAATCAATAGTTATAACCATTTCCTTGACAGGCTCATTAAATGGCATGACTCCTACCTTAGTGTTTTCCATGTTTTGTGAGCTTCATAGTCTCCCTTGCCTTGCTTGATGTCTACATCATATAATTCTTGTTCCAAAAGTTTCATGTTATCCTTGACTATTGCAATCCACAACCTCTAATTTTTTCATACTTTTCTTTATGCTCTTCATGATGATGCGGAATGAGAGGAGAAGAATTTTACTCTACAACCTTTCCTTTAATATCCTTAAAATATTGATTAAAGACTCCATCAAAGGTTTGGCCAAGGGTGTGACAGAGCTGAGTAACAGTTTCCGAGCTAATGTTACCAGATTGAGAAAATCTTCCTTTTCTTTCTCAAGATAAACTGAAATTTGTAAACTTGTTATAAAATTGGATGCCCATCATAAATATGTCCCTGCAAAATAGTTGTAGCTGAAACAAGACTCTGATATGATTGATACTCGATAGCAACTTGGTATTACTTCAAAAATGTGTCAATCCCAGCACACATCCATAAAGCGAGAATAGTTTCTTTCTTGTATAGGAATAAAGGCAGCATGCTTGACACTTCACATCAACCTACCAGGGTATACACTGTGATGAACTGTGACCAGAGCAGTTAGATTTAGCCTACCTTCAATCAGTGAATTCAAATCCCTAATTATGATTTCTATCATCAGCTCGGCAACTAAAAACCAATAATACTTAAAGGACACGCATCACTTAGATGTATACTAGATTGAAAAAAATAAAGCAATCAAACTATTAAACGAAAATTGTCTAATGAACAAGTTGACATCGAATAAAAAATATAATAGATAATAGCACCTCTCTCCTCCATTGTGAGATTGAAGCCCTAAGCAGAGTAAGAAAGTGCTGAGCGTCCATAGCATCCTTCATGTCTACAATAACTCCTCCATGGACATCATTGGTTGCAGGAAGTAGTTCAACATGCTGGATTCCATTTTCACAAACCCGGTCCGATGAATTTACGGAAATTGACATCGTTCCAACCAAAAAAGAAATCAGAAGCCCAAAAATACCTGAAAGAAAACACCCAAAGAGAAAAGGAAAAGATAAAACTGAGTTACACCTCAAATATGCATCTTTTTCTCAGCAAACCGGATTTCCTAACCAAATGAGAATAAAATAACAGCCCCAATTGACAAAATGGTAGTGATTATTCATGAAATCACTATGGTTGGCAGCTATACTTCACTCGTTAAAATCCAAATTCTTTTGTAACATTCATACAAATCCATTATCATTTTCTTAGAATATCACAGATAATAAAACAGTGGATAGGTCAAAACCATTCAAGTGCAACAATAAGAACCATTATTACAAATGCTATCAATTCCATCAAACAGAGAAAAAAAATAAAAAACTTCAAAATCACATTTCAGAGAAGAACAACAACAGATACAAGAAGCTTGAAATATTATTATTGACACAAGCAAATATATAGGAAAAGTATAAAAGATGAACCTGAAGTGAGCACCAAAACAGACCCTAAGACAGATTTGAATTCCTGAAGAAATGCTGCGAGTTCTACGAGTCTTTGATTTTTCACTCTGTTCAGCTCCACCATCCAACGGTCCAGTTCTCCAAGTGCGGGCCTTTGGATATTTATAATTGTAAGGTTGGGGATAGGGAAAAACTACTCTACGGTGAAGTGGGGGTTGACGTAGTTCCACCCATTTGCATAACCAATAGGATCGCTGATTGCGTCATCAGTGGTCCCGCTTTTCAATTGCCGCTCATATTTCTCTGGCTTGCGTGGAGGAATATTAGTGGGGGGGGACCGCCAAACGTACGTGCTTAAGGGTTCAGGCCGACATAGTCCATATGAGCTTCTTTTGCTGTTCAAAGTTGGGTCTTACCCAACTTATAAGTGCTTTTATTAGAAAGTATGTTATCTTTATCAAAAGTTCAAGCGTTTTTATAAGGAGCACTCGATTGAGAGTGATTTTAAATAGACTAATAATCATTTATTTATATAATTATTTTTAAATAATTTTATGGATAAGCACATAAGAGCACGCGGAAAGTGTTTCTCTTCATAATTGCTTAAAATCACTTAAAGTGATTATATGGAGAAGAATGTGAGAGATACTTATACATGTATGTGATTTTGGCCCTCTTAGAATTACTCCCAAACGAGCCCTAAAAAAGCACTTGACAATACTTCTTCAAAAAGCCTTTTTATAATTCATAAGCACTGTCAAATTTTTATGACAAACAATGTTAGAGGCCCTTTTCATTGTGTGTAATCGTAAAGGGTCACAAATCTCCTAGCCTCATAAATAGGCCAGAGATTGTGTTTAATTGCAAGCGTGCCACTATTAGCTGTTTAAAACCCTAATAAATTTGAATGAAATTAAAGTAACTTGCGCACCAAGAAACCTGACTTCTAACCAAACAATTGTGTATTGAATGGGAAACTGATTCATTGTTGATTATTTTCTATACCTCAAGACAAATTAGGACTTTAATATTTCTCTAATACAAAGTAAAGAAAATAAAGACAAAAATTGAGTAAACAAGGGGCCATATCTAAGACATAGACATATGGGTAGAACTAGGACTATTACCATTGGGGTGGGCACAATCCGGTTCGGCCCTGTTCTCACCTAAAATTAAAACTAGAACCGTACTGTTCATCCGGTCTAATTTGGTCTGGTTTTTATTAAAAATGACTAACATAGTTGAACCAATCTGAACCTCCCAAATTCCAGTTCGATTTTACCGGTTTCAGTTTAAACCGGAGCCCATTGTAATTTTTTTTTTGTTGGGTTTTTTAGCCTTAAAATATATACAAACCCATTTCATTTAATTCTTGTTTTTTATATTTTAGCCTTCATCTGAACATCACATGATCCATTTCATTATTCCTTTTTCCACTTTTTCTCTAGCAAGTCACATAGAAGGAAATGAAACAACCGGAGATTAGAAACCCAAAGGAAATAATAAACATAAATGAGATCCAAAATAGTTCATTTATCCTTCTATATGAATCTAAATAAAAAAATCATAAACAAACACGAATCTAATGAAACCCACAAAAGAAATTCGGCATATTATGAAAACTCCACATAACCTTAAAAAAAAACTCCACAAAAGACATATTTATGCGGCTCTTCATAGCCTTGCATGAGACTTTGATGCTTAAATCTAGCCCTTGGATCGTCATAACCAGTTTATGAAGAAGGCTTCATAGCAAGAGGGTAGAGAGAAGCACACAAAAAAATACAGAGAGAGAGAGAGAGAGAGAGAGATAAGAAAAGGAGAGAAAGAGAACGAAGAAGAAAAACAGAGAAAGAGAAAGAAGAAGAAAAATAGAGAAAGAAAGAAAGTGAAGAAGAAAGACGAGAATTTATCAAAAATAGCCAAAATTTGACCTCTAATTTCAAAAATGTCAATTTTTGTAAAATATTTCAAATATAGTCAAAAACTCACCTAAATAGACACAAATACCCTCAAATTTAAAACCCACCTGAAAAATAAACTTTATTAAATAAAACTTTGGAATATTTTTAACCCATGTTTGTATAGAAGAAAAGAAGTTGATTTATATCATCCTATTTATTGATAAATGAATAAATTTGTTTTCAAAGGGTGATGAAATAGATTACGGACAATGTGTACAAGAGAACACACTCGCATCAAAAGTAACCTAAGTAAACTAAAAGTATCAACAAAAAAATATATTTACAGTTTTTGTTTAATATCGAATTATGCACCTATCTTTTTATATATATTTACAGTTTCTGTTTAATTCACCAACAAAAAAATGTTGTTTTTCAATGGTTTTTGGATACCCTATATGTAATATAATTTAGTATGAAGATTAAACGAAGAAGAAATTGAACGAAGAATCAAGGAAGAACTGCACTCACGTTTGACCAAGGCAGAAATACATATGCAAACATATGTATAAAGATTCCCAATCTAATAAGGTTTTCTTTTGTAGGTTTATGTGGATTTTAAATTTGAGGGCATTTGTGTCTATTTAGGTGAGTTTTTTGATATATTTGAAATATTTTACCAAAACTGACATTTTTGAAATTAGGAGTCAAGTTTTGGCTATTTTTGATCAATTCTCAAGAAAGACAGAGAGAAGCGGCGAGCAAGGGAAGAAAAAGTAAAGATAAGGGAGAGAGAAAGGAAAGCATTAGGGTTAGGTGTTGGTTGATGGGCTTTAGTTGTGGGGCTTAGGTAAGGTTAGATGTTGGCAGTTAAGCTTGGGAAGTGAGAAAAATCATGGGATTAGTAGTTGGGCCACCAAAATATATTCAAATTTTTTTATTTTTTATTTGATTCCAGTTCGGTTTGGTGTGGTCCGGATTTTAGAGATGTTAAAACGAAATTGGAATCGGTTAGAATCGATTCGGTTTGATTTTTGGTCAACTCAACCCGATTTTTGGTCAACTCAATTTTTTTTCAATTTTTTTGTGTCCAGTTCAGCCCGGTTTCTCGGTTTTCCAGTTTGAATGCCGACCCCTAATTACCACTTTGCGTTATCTACGGATCACTAGAACAACTTCAGAGTGTTGAGAAATCTGATAACAGTCAAGGGAAGAGGTAAGAATTTGTACTGCAATTAAGATTACCAGCTTCAATTGATAGAGATCAATTGAAAATCTATACCAACGTTGAAACCCGTAGAGCTATTATCAAAACTAATGTGCCTTGAAGAAAGGGTTAGGATTTGTCTCAAGTTGATTGTTGAAAAGTTGTGTGTCTTAACAATGAATTATCTCCCTTTTTTATATGACTTTTGCCCTAACTCATAGGTCCATGTTACTAGGGTACGGTATTCATAAGGATCAGACCTAATCAATTAAGAGCAATTAATTTAATTAAAATAAGCCCAAATAGGGGGAATTATCTATTATCTATTAAAATAAACCTTTGAGATAATTTATCAATTTAATAGTTAATTCCCTTTAGATAATTATCTATTATCTATTAAAATAAACCTTTTAAATAATTTATCAATTTAATAGATAATTCCCTTTAAATCCACTTGAACTAGCCCAAAGGTTTATTTTCTACCCACCGGTTTCGAGCCTCAGGCCAGGGAAACCAACCCTATGGTAATCCTTTTTAATTTTGGTAGATTATTCAACAAAAGTAATCATTAACAACACTAGAAACAATCCTTCAATTCATTCTATGTTGCATGGACAAAGAAATGCAACACAGGACATGAGGACACGACAAATATAAAAAAGCTAGGACATGAACATGGCAATTAAAAAGTAATTTATAATAATGCTTATATATATATAAACCAACAAAATACCATGCTCATACTTTAATTTCATAATACCATAAAATAAAGCAAAGTACTTATGTTCAACATGATTCATTCACCTTACATAATTAATACGACACAACACAAAACATAAATTGATCTCAAGTCTCAATCATCTTATTGAGGTTCAAAAAGTCACAAGAAGCCCACATGCATTTAAAGCCCAATATGACGTACGAAATATGGGATAAATTAATTATGTATTAATTCCAATTATATTTTTGGGAATTAATTTGACAAAATAAATATGTATGTAAGATTTTATACAAATTCTAGTAGTATCCATGCCATGCGAAAAACCCATTCCTTTAAATCTGATATGTCACTAAGCTCGGTCGCAAAAGGCTAAGCCACTGTAATACATGCCAAAGCATTCCAAGCACATGCCAAATAACTCCATGCAAAACTAATACATTTTTCTTATGCTAATCACCTACCAAGCTTACATGAACCCAAGTCATGTGGTTCATGGGGCTTGCATGAGGGATTGTCATGTGGAAGGTTGTGAAGGTCCACAAAGCCCACGAAAACTCTTGGATAATGGAGACTTTGGGCTTCTTGGGATCAGCAAAGTCCAAGACCATTATTTGGAGTTCTTTCATGTGGATGAGCAAATGAGATATTTTTTAAGCACTCTTTATTACCCTATGGAAACAACCCAATTCCGGCACTTCCTTTTACGTATAATAAATAGTCAGTTTATGATACATAGCTTTACTTGCAGGAAATAAGTATGCTCTATTGCTCCTTTTTACACGTTGGAAATATGATGGTTTCATCCCTTCCTTTTACCCATTGGAAATAAGGGAAAACTCTTGCCTTTTATAAATTAGAAGCAATGACTTAGGGAGAAACCAACTTCTCTTGATTGATGCAAGCCTCTCACCAACCATGAGAACCTCCTTTTCTTAGAGGTTGCAAGCTTCCCAACCAACCATCGACCTCTTTCCTTGGCTATCACCCTTCTCCTCTGAGTTGCTCCAAGCAACAATCAGAGCACCTTTCTTCGCTGCTGCAAACATTTTAGTAGCCATCACAATCATTCCTTAACCATCATCCTCCATCCTTTGACTGTTGCAAGCATCCCAGCAACCATCACCCTTCTCTTAGCTACTACAAGCATCCAGTGACCATCAACCTATTCTCTTGGCTGTTGTAAGCATCACAACCATTTCTCGTAATTTCTTAGCCTTGAAATCCTTTATCTTCCCTATAAAGCCTCATCAAGCATAACGCTAAACTTTTCCTTCTTCCTCATACTTTGCCAGGCTATAAACACCAAAGTCTTCAAGCCTCAAGCTTTTCCTTCCATTCTCCTTCTCTTGAAACTCTTAAATCACCTTAGTCAAAGCTTCAAACAACAAATTCTCAACACCCAAACTCAAGCATATCCAACACCAAGCCAAGAACATGCATTTTGATTTGCTAAACTTATGGGTCTTTAGCTCCCATACTCCAAGCTCTCATGCCAAGCTCATACAATCTCTATTGAACATCATCAAATCATCTTTACCCATTTTCAGAGTTGTCGTTAACGTCAACACAAAACATGCCGCCATTGGAAGAACAACATAGTACTCCCCTAAGACTTGCTTCTCCTTTTGGATGCTTTGGGCCTAGTTCTTGCTAACTCATAAAAAGGGGCAACAAAGGCTTGAATCACCACTATATGACGGTCCAAGAATCAACAAAGCCCGACCAAGCATTCCAACAGAAAAAGACCCCAAGACATCTTCAAGCATTTCTTCATTGTTATTAGAAAACATGATGGCCTCTAATTCTGGTTCATCAAATGAAAGGTTTGCAACTTCGAGTAAACCTGCATTTTTCATGTTCATTGTATCAAATCCATCATCACGAGCAACCCACATCTTAGTCTCACCTTCTTTGTAAATTGACATTTTCCTTGATAGAAGACGAAGATTATTATGAATAAACATCAAATCTTTCACTCTTTGTGGTGCTATCTTGTTCCTCCTCAAATAATGTACAAAAATATATGTACTCCAATTTCTTTCACAACATGAGGATAAACAAGGTTGTCCAAAGCCAAAGCTTAAAGGGTTGGAGTGGAAGCTCCATGGACAACCTATCATTTCATTGGCTGCATATAACATCTATCTTTCATAGAATCACTACTTGAAAAATCTTATAGTTAAGTTGAAAAAGAGGTAAACTCCTCATTGATAATTCTTCTCTCCAAACTTTTAGGAAACTAGTGATCAAATTTAAATTGTCTTTCTATTAAACTCTCTTTATCCTAATGCGGAGCAACACAATTTGGAGCAACATCAAATCATTCTTTGCTCTGATACCTAAAAGTGGAGAAATGATAAATGATAAAATTATGATGATTAAGAAAAAGGATTAACTACACTTTAGTACCTGGAGGTTTAGTGTCAGTATCGAAATGGGCCCCAATGTTTCATTTTTATCAATTTCGTACTCAACATTTCGAAATATTACCAATTTACACCAGCCGTTATATTGACCGTCAAAGTCAGACGTTAACTGCTGACGTGACAGTCGTGGGACTCACCTCATAACCAAACAGTAATTAGAAATAGACGAAATGAATGGCAATTTCAGAAAAATAAAATAAAAAACTCTTTTAAAATATTATTAAATTAAATTTTTTAAAACAAAAGAAAAAAATCCCTACTTTCTCTCTCCTCCTATCTCCCTTCCTCTCTCTGCCCAGAACTTGAAAACCCAACTCACATCTTCGAACCATCTCCGACCACCTCCTAGCCATCGCCAAAAACCACCTTCCACCGACTACCACTAGCCATTGCCCACCATCCATAAACCTTCTCCAACCAAACAAAAGGGAAAATGTCCTCATCTCGCTTCCAAAAATTTTATCAAGGCACCCATGCCTACTTCTTCCTGAGTTCATAGCTTTGCCGACCAAACCCCTTCCTTGTTGCGAGTTCATAGACTGAGATAGAGAGCGACAGAGACAGACAAAGACAGAGAAAGAGAGGGGGCAGAGAGAGAGAGAGAGAGGAGGAGGTTCACAGAGAGACAGCCAAACCCCAGCCTCGACATAAATGACCTCTACCTTCCGCTCTCGCCCAGCCCCCAACTCCCTCCAAACCCAACACCCATTCCCACCCCAACCATAGATCCAGCCCCACCCGTCTTCGTCACCAAGTTCTTAGCCTGCCGCAACCCACAAATCCGCCCCGCAATTTTTCGAGCCTCAACGCTCATCCCTCTTGATAGGACTCGGAGTGAAAGTGGGTAGAGGCGGCGGAGGCGGTGGAAGGTTGAGTTTTCGAGCTCTTAGGTCTGTTGGAGGATTTTGAGCTCTTGGGTCTGTTAGGTTTTCAAGTTCTGGGCAGAGGGAGGGATGGAGATAAAAGGAGAGAGAGAGCGAGAGAGAGAAAGTAGGGATTTTTTCTTTTTTTAAAATTTTTTTTTAAATTTAATAATATTTTTAAAGAGTTTTTTATTATTTTTTTTCTGAAATTGCCCTTTATTTCGTCTCTTTCTAACTACTATTCGGTTATGAGGTAGGTCCCACGACTGCCACGTCAGCAATTAACGTTTGACTTTGACGGTCAATGTAACGGTTGGTGTAAATTGGTAATATTTCGAAATGTTGGGTACGAAATTGATTAAAATGAAACCTTGGGGCCCATTTCGATACTGACACTAAACCTCCAGGTACTAAAGTGTAGTTAATCCTAAGAAAAACTAAAATGATTTATACTAATAACTTAAACTTAAAAAAAAAAAAAAAAAAAAAAAAAAAAAAAAAAAAAAATTTAAAAAACAATTATTTTGTATTTCAATGTAATGTGCAATGAATGGTCTACTACTCTTGGTCAATCTTTAAATTAGAACCTCAAATACACCACATAAAAAAATTATAGTTGTTCATCCAACTTTAGACCAAAGTGTAAATTTAATATTGGGTAAAATCATAAAACCCAATCCATGATCCATGATCCAAGATCTTAAACTTCATGATTTTCACAATAGCATTAGGCGGAAATTCAATTAATCTTAAATTGCATACATACCTTGAATGATTAGTCTTCTACTATATCAAGATATTTGTCTTAAGGGCTCCGTAGGCGAGTCATCAATGTAGAGGAAATGAGTTTCTCTCTCTAGCCTTTTGTACGTTAGAAAAACTCTAATACGTGCCTTCATCAGTGTACACATAAGATGGGTATATGCACTATTATAGGTAGAGAGAGGACTCGTTTCCTAGGGAAGCCCGTAATCAATCACCACCCATCACAATAATAAAATAAGAAACTACTTCTCTTTATTTGACCAATATAATTATTTTCAATAATATTTATTAAACCAATTAAATAATTTATTTACCACATAGGTTTCATGTGGGCCACACAGAATATTTATAAAATATTCTTACACAAAGTACCACATGTTGTAAATGCATGAGTTAGTGGATGGCCACCATACCTCTTAGTATTCCACCATTGGATTTTATGTAACATATGCACTAAGTATTTGTAATTAGTGCTTGTAACCTATAGGTATATTGTAAATGATTGTATTCAATCTCCTATCTTGTAAGCCTATAAATAGGTTGTTCTATCAAAGATTAAGACTAGAATAAACATGGTGAAACTTTATCTTTAGCATATCACTTCTCTCTACATTTTCTCTCTCTAGTTTTATAACACCTCATTCAATATTTTCTCTTTGATTGTTTTTGTGAGTACCTCATTCAATATTTTCTCTTTGATTGTTTTTGTTTTTTTCAACATCATCTTCTTGATACGGATCCAATTTTTGTCATTCACGCTTTATTCCTTATACCTCCTCGTCATCCCAATGATGGAAGCTGTGGAAGCAAAATATCTACGGATCTTATGTCAAATAATTAAGCCAATCAATATGGGAATTATTTGACCAAATTGGGAATTGTTTGATTCTTACCCTAATTGAGGATTTGATTTTAATCAAATCCCTAATTAAATCAATCTCTCCAAATTGGGGAAGAATAATTCCTTTCCATCTGTAGAATTATTCTTCCGAAACTCTAGCCTCCGAGGCTTCTATAAATATATGGCTACACCAAGGCTTGAGAAAATTCTAAACTTCTGTCTGAAACTCTGCAGAAATCCTTTCTCATAAACCCTAGACGCCATACTCTTTCTCTCTCTCACACAAGGCTCTACCCACCACACTTTATTTCAATCAACCATGGTTGATACAAGATGTACAAAGAGTAACACCACCACGACGGGCACGTCTCATGGTTTCGTGATGGAAATCTCACAGTAGCCGCATGGGACAACGGCTGCTAGTGCTTTGCAGCAACCTCCCATGACTGCCAGCGCGTTCCAGAAGCTCCTGAGGGAATTCCAGTAGCCTCCCATGGCTGCCAGCGTGTTCCAGCAGCTCCCCAGCGAGTTCCAATAGCCTTCTATGGCTGCCAATGCAACGTAGCTGCCCTGCCAGCAGCCGCTGCATAGCCACCAAACTGCACAGTTGGAGCTTCACAGTCACCAACAGCTGTTGTAGAGCTACCGTTGCTCTGCCGCTTCATCCGGCTGGTGTAAGACAATAGCAGCCGCAAGACGCAGCTACCGCAGCCAATGCACAACCCCACGACTTCACAGCTCTCACCTTGCTGCAATAAGGACCACATGCCGCCACTACGACCTACGACAACACCATTATTCAAGGCTACCTCAATACCTTCTCGGGCTATTCCCCGGTCTTGGAGCAAATCTATTCGCTCTCTCATTTGCAACCAAACTTAACGTATGTACTTGTGTACGCATCCAATGGAGCCCTAGCCCATATGCCATTGGGCCTGATGCACACCTCTCTTCCCGACCTGCGCAATCAGGTGGACCTTAACTCACAGGTTGATCAACTCACACAGAGGGTCGACGATCAAGACAATATGATTGGTCAGCTACTAACACAGATCAACTTGAATCAAGGCATTGACCTTAGATCTCGTGACTAGGAGTGGAGGATGCACGAGCATGTCGGCGGGCAGTTCGAGAGGTCCCAGGCTGGTTGGACAGAAACAAATGGCCAGGGAAGAGAACGAGATCTCGCTGACGAGACTTAAACATTTGCCAGTCGCATTTTGAGCTGATCGACGATCCATTCAGGGTTAGGTACAAGGACCAATGTGCACGAGAGGTTGGGCCCACAAGGAAGTATCCAAGGACCAATACGACAAGCCATAGAGGAATCTTCACAAGCTCAATCTAGTAATCTGCCTCTTGGGCAAAACAACCAAGGGGATCGACCCTTGGAAGTTAAGGAGGAAGTTAACCAGTGACACTCGAGGCACCGAAGACACTGACTCGAGCCACAAGCCATGCGGGTAAAAGATGTTGAGAGACTAGTAAATGATTGACTCCAAAGTCTCCAACTTAAAAGAAGCACGGAGGTAGCCCTGCTGCGCCAGGAAATTGATCGAGTCAACTCCTCTCACTTCATCGATGAGATGGAGTAGGCTACATCTCCAAAGTGGTTCACAACGTCATCTATCACACCGTTCAAAGAGGACTCTTATCCTGAGAGCCATTTGAAGCACTTTAACAGTTCTATGATCCTATAAAAGGCAGATGATGCCTTCATGTGCAAGGTGTTCGCGATGACTTTGCGAGCTCACCTGCACATTGGCGATACGTGTTTGCTGGATTATGAAATCAATGAACAACGTAATTGTTGGAGGTTACATTGTCCGTCGTGGTGTGAACCCATTAACTAGTGTTTTAGAATACTCAATCAAGGAGCTTGGGAATGGTGTTCAGGTTGATGAGGCGGAACCTGAAATGGTTTCCTACCCACACCAGAAAGATTGCCTGGGGCTGTTGCTTATAGTGATGTGGCCTACTTGTATATTAGTGTTCTATGGGGCTACCCGGAATCTATAGTTCCCACTGTGGCTAAACTTTTTAATTTCTTTTTTTTTCTTCCAATACATTAAAATTTACATTTTCTGCATATTCCAGTCTTATCACAGCCCATCAGCTATCAAAATTTACGGCTACAGTAGTAAATGTTTTGAAAGCAAGATGCGAATCACATGTTTATCAAAAAATGGAATCATTAGCCTATATAGAAATAGAAGATCGATTGAAGATGTCTGATTCCAATAGAGAGGCAATTAACCGATACTGATTCCAGGCCTATCAAAGCTCATTTTTAATTGGCATGAAGCTTAAATGAAAGAAAAATATGACCATAGAGAGCGATGAACTCATCTGACAGCTGTCAGCTAGCCTTGCACTTCCTTATTCACTCTTGAACTACAGGAATGCTAGACTGAAGACCGTCATGCTTTGCTTGATCGATCTTCCAAAGCCTCATTAGCACGCCAGTCAGTCAGCTTGACCAAGAAGACCCGAAAAGGCACACAATAAGGAAAGGAAGAAAAAAAGTACCGATCTTCGCGTCACCGCACCTCAATTTGCCTTGTCTTGCTTGGGCTAATTATACATCCCAATTCGGAGTAAGCAGCCCGTTAATGAAAGCGCGATCCCATGATGTCGAGCAAGATAACTCGTCCCCTCACTAAAGATAGAATGACCGGGGATTGAACCTACAATAGATAGATCATAAGGAACTTAAATAGTAGATACATCAAGAATGGAACCCTGAATACCGACTAAAGGTGGATACAGGCAGAAAATTGAGCTGAGAACCTGGATGTACTGAACCTCGACCAGGAAAACATTCGATCCCCCCGAGTAGCCTAAGACTAGTTCCACACTCTACTGTCCACAAATTTGCCCTCATTTTCACAAAGGAATACACCTCATGCCGAACAGTCAGAAAATAGCTAGATCACCTGTTCAACCTGCACAATAAGCTTGATAAGTCTCTTCGAGACAACTTAAGAGATTCAAGAGTGAGAAAGTGAACATTGTAGGATGCGATGATCGAATTGCGTCCTCAACCTTCAAGAAGGGCTTGCCAGTTGAGCAAGAGCTATTCTGTGAGAGGACCATTGCTCCAAGCCAAACCCTGGCAGAATTCTTCACGATGGTAGAGCGCTATGCACTCTGGGACGAAGATTGTATCGCCGTAAAGAAAGCACATAAGCATAGTTCGTCCCTGTAAGTCAAGTAGATTTGAAGGGAGCAGAACCAATGAAGAAAGAAGCATATCTCATTTCTAATAGTTGAGCAAACTAGAAAGGAAAGGGAACAGCTACTCCCTACCAGTAATCAAAGAGTTAGAACCAAGCCAAGGGAATTCATTTAGAGGTCTCTCTTGAAGAAGGATGGAGGCCGGAAAAGAATGTTGAGCTAATACCTCTTGATCCTGACAAGTCAGAGAGAAAAGCGTGGATCGGCTCGCGCCTAAGCCCGAAATAGAAAGATCAAGCATGCGACTTTCATATCTCAAGTCGCAACCGGCTATTCAGCCATTAAGGACACTCCTGTCACCGGCTTTCAGAAGAATGACTTGATTGGGCTTGATGTGCTGCATAATGACGCCCTCATCATCTGCATCCAGATTGAACAAGCTGTGATCGAGCGAGTTCACGTGGACAAAGGCAGCGCAGCTAACACCCTGCAACTATCTGTTATCCTGCAAATAAGATTGGAGCCTAAGATCAACAAGCTTGTCAAATCGCTCACCGACTTTAATGGGCCATGTTGATCATTGTGGGAACGATTAACCTTGACATCCACTTACCCCCGATGGTCTGCACGCAAACCTTCATGGTCATCGACTAAATATCCCTCTATAACAGGATCTTGGGCCGACCATGGATCAACAAGATTGAATCTGTCACATTTGCTTCACACCAGAAGATTCGCTACCCTATCCCTAAGAGCGAAATCGGGCAGATCAACAGTGACCAAGCCATGGCAAAGAGATGCACAACCTAAAGGCTCAAGAAGAGCATGCAGTTGCAATTCACACTGGTGATGCATGCTGCTGACAACGCATGTCACACTTTCTACGCACAAGCAAACCTGAAATGGAATGGAGTTGCTACCTCGTAATAGTAATTAAGGAGCAAAGATCAAGGTGATGGAATTCGCCCAAAGAACTCCTCCAAAAAGGGTTGGAAGATAGAGAAGCGCAAATCGGCTCGTGCTTAAACATAAAAGAGAAGGATCGAGACAAGGGAATCCGCCTGGAAGACTCCCTTGAAAAGGGTTGGAAGCTTGAGGATGATATTGAGTTAGTACCCTTCGATCTTGATCAGCTAGGCAGAAAAGCTCAGAGTGGCTTGCATTTAAGCCCAAATGAGAAGGTGGAGCTAACCACATTCCTCCATAACAACAAGGACATGTTCACATAGACGCCATCTGACATGCCTGGCATCAATCTAAACATCATATGTCATTGGCTCCACGTCAATCCTACCAATAATCCAATGGCGCAGAAGAGAAGCAACTTTACTCTCGAGTGAGTAGCGATCCTTGGAGCCAAGATCGACAAGCTCCTAGCTGCCGGCTTCATCAAAGAGGTCTCCTAAACAGAATGGCTAACCAATGTTGTTTTGTGGTGAAACAAGAAAATGGCAAATAGAGAGTTTGCATCAATTACATCGACCTCAACAAAGCATGCCATAAAGACAAGTTCCCATTACTGAGGATTGACCAGCTCATGGATTCGACTTCCCGCAATCAGCTGATCAGCTCAGCTTTTTCATCATCGAGAAAGGGCCTTACTTCGGTTATAATCAAATCCTAATGCACGAGAATGATAAAGCGAAGACCTTTTTCATCATCGAGATAGGGCCCTACTACTACAAGGTCATGCCCTTTGGGCTAAAGAACGCCATAGCAACCTACCAAAGGCTTGCGAATAAAATTTTCAAGGAGTAGATTGGGAAAACCATGGAAGTCTACGTGGACGACATGTTGGTCAAAGCCCCTGAGCTTGCAGGCCACATTAAGAACCTCACTGAGGCATTCAACTTGCTCCGCCAGTATCGCATGAAGCTGAATCCAAGTAAATGCACGTTCAGTATATAGTCCGGCCGATTCCTAGGATATCTAGTCACTCAACGAGGTATTGAGGCACACCAGGCCAAATCAAGCCAATTCTTGAGATGCTCCAACAGTGAAGGAAATAAAAAGTCTGACGGGTAAAGCAACAGCCCTCAACCGATTCCTCTCGAGATCTACCGACAAGTACAGACCATTCTTCAAAGCTTTGAAGAATGGACAAAAAGACAAGTGGGACGAGGAGTGCGAAGTAGCTTTCCAGAATACAAAGACTTAATTCACTTCACGTCCGCTACTCTTAAAGCCAGTTCCTAAGGAAGACTTGTTCGTGTACTTGGTAGTGTCCAACTTGGTCGTCAGCTCAGCTCTCATCTGAGAAGATCTAAGAACCCAACATCTAGTATTATACATGTCAAAAGCTCTCATCGATGCAGCGACTCGGTACCCAAAATTGGAGAAGCTCATTTTGGCCCTTATAGTTTCTGCGAGAAAGCTGCAACCCTACTACTAAGCTCACCGAGTCATCGTCATGACCGACTTTCCTTTGAGATTAATCATTCATAGCCCTGACACTTCACAACGACTCATGAAGTGGACTATAGAGTTAAGCATATACGACCTCCTTTATCGGCCAGAGACTGCAATAAAAGCCTAGGCTTTACCAGACTTTGTCGTAGAATTCACCTCATCGGCCGAAGAAATAAGCTGGTCAGCAAAAAGAAGGAAAGCCCAAGAGCAGACAAGACCTCTACCGAACCTGACCAACCCAGAGACATGTAACAGTTACGCATAAACGGAGTGTCAAACCAAAAAAGAGCTTGAGCAGGCATTGTCGTCATCAGGCCATTGGGTCCAAGTTTTGTCTAAACCCAAAACTATTTAGTGGAGCCTATGCCAAGGTTGCACAACCCATGTGCATGAGAAAAACACTGGGACCCATGCTGGAACCAGCTCTGGTGGGTTTGTCTGTTGCCCATGCCACGTGTTTGCTCGTGGTGAGAGAGCGGTTGCAATTCCAATGTCTCCTTTTTTTTAAAAGGAAAAGAAAAAGAATCTAATAGTATCTTTAAAAAGAGACTAGGCCCACAGGCTGGCTTTATTCCAGCTCAAAGTGGCGTTGCAATTCAAATATTCTTATTATTATTATTATTTTAAAATTTGAATAGTAACTTTAATTATGTTGTGTGTTTACTTTTGGAATAAAATTAAATTTATGGAATTTCATTTTTTTTAAGGTCAAATTGTTCAAAAAAATTAAATTATGATGTTATTTAAAAAGATTAAATGAAGAAAAGTATTCCATAAAAAAATAAATTAAAAAAAATAAATTCGACTTCAACCATTCTTAAACAATTTAATAAAGTTGCGGACTTAAAATTTAGGTTCGGAGTGCTGGAAGAAAAAACAATTTGAGTTCGAGCAAAACCTAAATAGTCACTTTTTGGAGGGGGAAAATTTGGGTTTAGCCCCTCATGAGTTAAAGAAGGCCTCACCTCGAATGGAACCTTGTTGGATTAAGCTTTCACGCTTGGCTTCCTAGCCTCAAACAACGAGGCAGAGTACGAGGCATTGTTAGCTGCCTTGCGTTTGGCAAATGAGCTATCAATCAAGAAGTTGGTCATCTACTCAGATTCTCAGTTAATCACAAATCAAGCCTCGGGAGAATACATAGCGAAGCACCTAAGGATGATCTTGCACATTGACAAAGTCCAAGAGCTGTTGAAGGCATTTCCTACCTTCACCATCCAACAAGTGCCTCGACCAAAGAACACGTGCAGAGACGCATTGGCAAGCCTAGGATCAGCACTTGATACCCAGTTCAGACGCTCTATGCTGGTCGAGCACCTTGGCCAACCAAGCTTAGAAAAGGCAGAGCAGCCGGACTTGATACAGATCAACGAGGATCCTAGTTGGCAAGACCCTATCATTAACTACCTAGTGAACAAAAACTTGCCTAAGGACAAGGCTGAGGCCAAAAAACTCAAACAGAAAGCTGTTAGATACTACATGAAAAACGACATGCTTGTTCGCAGATCACACCTCGGCTACCTTCTGATCAACTGCGTTGACAACAACCTCATTCTGCTCAACCGGCACTATCTGCTCGACATCCCCAACTACCTGCTCCTCTGCATCTGCCCTAGCCTCCTCAGCTGCCACACCTTTGGCATTGTCTTCCTCCATTACAGCTTCGCTAGCTACCTGCTCTTCAACTGCTTCTACATCCACAACATTGATCTACTCACTTTGAGCAGGGGCTATGTCAAGATAAAGATGCTCACCATCTTCATGTCTGAGAAGGCAACATGGATGAGAACCGTTCATGCAGTCCAAGTATCCCAACTTGTACGCATTAGCAGCAATCTCATACTTGAACGCCTCCATTGCTTCAACATGAGTGTCAAACTTGACCAGCAGAGCTATCACTAACTCCCGAATTGGCAGTTTGCTCAACTGAAGGACTCTTTGCTCGAGCAAACGACTATTTAGCTCTCTTGGCCGTAACTTGCAACATTAAGTTAGCTCCGCTCTTGATTGTATCGTGGCTTCGCAGACGAATCGTGATTGCTGGACAAAGTACAATCCTTTCAATTTGGTCCTCGAATCGGCTCAAGCAACCCAAACCCTGCTTCTTAACAGCCTCCTTACAAGGTAAATCACTAGTGATTTGACCACCAGCCTTCTGCAATGTCAACCAGTCCAGCGAGATTTGAATTTCCTTGGAAATAACTTGAGCCTTGAACTGAGTAACATAACCTTTTGCCCTGGCTGAAATTCCTTCCGTAAAATTTGACTGTCATGAAATGCCTTAGTTCTTTCCTTATAGATGCGAGAACTATTATAAGCACCTTGACGAATTTCCTCTAGCTTATTGAACTGCAATTTTCGCTTTTTCCCAACAAACGGTTTATCAGATTGACCTGTATTTGAACTAGCATAAAAATTGTCTTGGACCATACTGTCTACCACGTCAATGCGCATACATTCTTGCTGTTCAGTAGGACGTTTTGCTGCCTCAAACAAATTAAACACCACAGATTGGTCTTGAACTCGTAAAGTCAATGTTCCAGCTTCCACATCAATTAGAGTTCTAGCGGTTGCCATAAACGGTCTCCCCAAAATGATAGGTGTTTGAAGGTCTTCGTCAATGTCTAGAACCACAAAATCTGCAGGAAGGTAGTGATTATCCACTTTAATAATGAGGTCTTCAATAATTCCCCTAGGGTAAGCAACTGAACGGTCCGCCAGTTGTAGAATAACTGATGTAGGCTTGATTTCTCCTTGTCCTAGTCTCTGAAAAACAGAAAAAGGCATTAAATTAATACTTGCACCAAAATCAATTAAAGCACGTTCAAAATTAGAATTTCCAATTGTGCATGAAATTGTAAAACTCCCTGGGTCTTGTTTCTTTGGAGGCAGTTTGTGTAATAAAACTGCGCTGCACTGTTCTGTAAGAATAACTTTTTCAAAATCCACGAGCTTCTTTTTCTTTGTGCAAACATCCTTTAAAAACTTGGCATAAGATGGAATGTTCTTAATTGCATCAATCAATGGGAGATTGATCTGAACTTTGGCCAACGTCTTCATAAAATCTGTCAATTGTTGATCTTTAACTGTGGGCTTCAACCTTTCGGGATAAGGCATTGGAGGCACATAAACACGTTCTGCAGTTTCTGCAACAATTTTTGCACTATTTTCATATCTGCCCATAGACTCTGTAGAATCTGTAACAATATCAGATTTTGCAAAATTTCCTGAATCTGTTTGTGGCTGTGATGTTGCCTGCGAATTTCCAACACAAATTTCACCTCTATTGTCATAACTTTTACCCGAACGTAGAACTCGAACTGCCTTACAATCTGCGCCTCCCCTTGGATTATGTTCCGTTTGGCTAGGAAATGTACCTGGTGCTCTTTCTGAAACTTGGAATGCAATCTGCCCCATTTGTTTTTCTATGTTTTTCACTGTTGCCTGCAGATTTTGGAATTCTTGACTGGTGGCATTTGCTAATTTTTCAATTGCAACCTCCCAAGCAACCTTAGGGGCAGCAGTTTGCTGTACCTGTTGTTAAAATTGTGGCCTTGCAGGCTGATCTCTGTCCCACTTAAAATTAGGATGATCTCTCCAACCCGGGTTGTAAACATTTGAATACGGGTCATATCGTGGACGTTGAAAATTATTAAATGCATTAACTTGTTCCGCTGCAAATTCCGGATAAGCATCTTTATGCGGACAGCTCAAAAAATCATGGGTTGTCACATTGCAAATGCTACAGGCAGCTGGTAAAGGTTGCTGTACAGCAACCTGTGAACCTGGAATTCTTTGTAATAACATGTCAAATTTTGCATCAAATCTTTAAAGCTTTTTCTCCATTTTTTCAATTTGTGCCGACATATATGGAGAACCATTAGATATCTCAAAAACAGACCTTGATTGTGGCTGCTCAACTGCCCATTGCTGTGTATCTGCTGCCATTTTTTCAAATAATAAACAAGCCTCTTGTGCATTTTTATCCTTGTATGATCCTCCGCATGAAGCGTTGACAAGAGTTTTTGTTGTCATATTTAACCCTCTGAAAAATATATGCACTTGATCCGTACTGCTAATACCAGAATGTGGACATTTTCTATTCAACTCTTTAAACCGTTCCCATGCCTCATGAAACTCTTCATTTGGTTTTTGGGCAAAAGATAAAATTTGAGTTCTCATGTCGAGAGTCTTTGAAGCTGGATAATACTTGTTTAAGAATTTTTCACTGAGTTGGTTCCAAGTGCCAATGCTTCCAAATGGAAGTGTGAGGAGCCATCTCCTTGCTTGATCTTTCAATGTGTAAGGAAATAGACGAAGCTTAATAGATTCAGTTGAGAATCCTTTCACCAAAATATTCTTGCATCCCATTAAAAATTCTGCAATGTGCATGTTAGGATCATTGGTTGATAACCCATGAAATGTAGGTAGAATACTCAACATGTGATGCTTGATTTCGAATGTAGACCCTTCTTCCACTGCTGGATATGTAATGCAACCTGGTATGTTAGTGGCATGAGCTGTTAAAGAATTACCCAAAAGATCACCAGCCTCTAAAATAACAAAAGCCATTGTTTCTGTACTGTGCAGGTCCTCAGAATATAAAGACTGCAGAAAAGTCCCTTGCAGTGAAGGAACCCACAGCAAATTTTGCTCCCTGCGTCTCCTCCTTAAAGATTGCTCAGGTTCTGGATCAAACGGAAACAATTGCTGAACTGCTGAACGTGTGCTGACCATGCACAGATTGTAATCTGCACTGCCTTGTTGTGATCTGCAAAAATAAATAAAAACGAAAATTATTATTATTTTTTTTTTTTTTTTTTTGGTATGTATGTACAGCAATAATTAATGCAGAATCTGATTAGAACGAATTATTTTAAATAATCCCCGGCAACGGCGCCAATTTCTTAATAGGCTTTTTAGTACCTGCGCAAACAGGGTTAAAACTCCTACAAAACTTGCAAGAATGACAAGGTTATTGTAGTATAAATGATTCTCGCAAGGTCGTTCTCCGCAGGGATTATTAAATAACTCGTAGCAACCAATTCTAATTAATTATTGCAAAAGAGAAAGTTGAGATGTTTGATTTGAAGACCTTAAATTAAAAGGAATTTAACTAATAAAAATAAGGCAATATGCAAAATTAAAGCTAAGAGCAAGAGAAACAGTTGTGTTTTTAGAAATCAAATTAAGAAAGCACTAGGGATCCGCCGTCACCTTAACAATTCTATATAGTTCCCCCAATTACTTATGACATATACATGCATATTTTGAAGGTTAGGTATTCCTAATATATGCCTACTTGGACCCCCAACATAGAGCGTATATCACACATGCAATCCGTCTGTGGTATTCAGATCAAATCTAAACATACATGACTCATTAAGTTCTGTGAAACCTTTTGAAAAACCATGCAACCCTTAAGACGTGGTATTCATCCTAAGTGAACTTGCACATATTAATCACAAGAAGCCTTCGTCAATTTCAGGGACCGACCTCCGACCAAAACTGCATCAAATTACTTTTCTAAACATCCTAATGGTGATCAAGCATCAAGACACTTAGATAGTTTAACCCAGTGATGAATAATTCGAAAACCTGAATGCATATAATCATAAGCAAATTGGACAGAAACTACATATTCTTGCTAAGGCTCGTGGCCTCACCCTAGCAAAAGAGAGTTAGTTACGCATGTTCACAATTGAAATCCAAGAAAATATCTTTAAGAAGAATAAGAATGAAAACACTTGAAAGTCGCGAAAATCCAAAACCCTAGCAATTGCTCCAAAAGCCAAAAAGAAGTAAAAAGGGAGTCTCCTAAATTGCTGTGAAAAGGAGCTTAAATACCTCCTAAAACTAGCTGCCCAATCCCCACAAGGAAACTATGTTAAAATAAGATAATACTAGGATATAAAATCCAAATTGGATTAGGAGAATCTGCCCAAATCTGCCCAGCCACGTTTTGGTCTCAAATCTCCTCCAAATCTGGCCCAAGATAGCTCGTTTTAAAGATAAAAATATTCCGAACACTTCTCCAGAAGGCCACGAACCCATCCGAGGTCATCTTGGGCTCCAAAAACGCAATAAAAGCCCAAAACGTCACTGTTCCAGCACGGCGCATTGTTCCTTTATTTATTCGCCAGGAAATCATCGCTTGGTGGAAAAGTCTGAAATTCTGACACGATCAAGCTAAGTGACTCACGAACGTCCTCCAACTAGAATTACTCCAAAATTCGTCCATTTGATTATGTTTTGCTCCAGAGGGAGTCGAAAGTCCTATATTGGAAATATAATTTAAAGTATCAAAATTCTTTCAAAATATTAACCAAAATATACTAAGAATGGGGTTAAATATATAATATAAAATTGACTCATCAATTAGCAAGTCAAAGACCTCCTCCACTCAAGATCCCAAGTCACAGAAGGAAGCTCAGTTATAGCTGGACAAACCAACAATTAATTCACACCTCCTCCATGCCACCACGCATCATGCAGAAGCTTTGGGGGGAGGGGTATTTGTGGAAGCAAAATATCTATGGATCCTAGGTCAAATAATTAAGCCAATCAATTTGGGAATTATTTGATTCTTACCCTAATTGGGGATTTGATTTATCAAAGCCCTAATTAAATCAATCTCTCCAAATTGGGGAAGAATAATTCCTTTCCATCTATGGAATTATTCTTCCAAAACCCCAGCCTTCGAGGCTCCTATAAAGACATGGCTACACCAAGGCTTGAGAAAATTCTAAACTTCTGTCTAAAACTTTGCATTGTTTTGCAGGGAGAAAGAGAAGCGAAGACTATGATGGAATCTTCAAATGAATATTCTTTGGAGACGAAAATCGCTCCCACAGAAGCTAAGTGTGTATCGGCAATTGAAAGAAGCTTCATTTGAATGACGATTAATGTAACATAAGTTGGTGGTTAATGATGTCTTCTTTGTGAATCCAACCATCCATTACTATAAACACTTACACCTTTATCTTTCCATTTATTCTTTATCGACTCTAATTTTATCCCAATATGACTCATCTTCTTCTTTTTATTTATTTAGAAAAGCGTAGTTCACAATTCATTATAATCGGGAGGGCGATAATTCGGAACGAGGTGAGAACAAGCCTTACCAAAGGCTTCGACAAAGTATAGGTTCCTTGCAAGGTTGAATGACAAGCCACTTCTGTAAAACATTCTTGTAATTAGATCATCCAATCGATGTGGAAGGCTTTCTCTAGAGGTCCACTTCCCTTCCTATTCTTTGGTTCACAAACTCCTTCATCCATAGCACCAAATTATAAAAATTCAAATGGTAAAGAACCGGCTTTGCTTGATGTGGGCAAAGAAATAGTTCTTGCTTGGGAATTTTTTACCCTCAATTTTGCCGCATCTAGCAACCGTTGCATTTTCAATAAATTATTTTGTGTAACTTTGTTGTACGCTCTAATCCAACCTCCTTTAATTTTTAACAAATGAAGCTTCACCATAGAGTACGCCTATTCAAAGTGGAATTGACAATAATGACACTTCAAACTAATGATTCCTCCTCTACTATTCTTATTTGAGTAAGCATACTTCCATAAAGGAGCATTTTGCTTGAGAAGAGGAGGAGCTCTCATTGGATTTAGTACTACTCATTTTCCCTAAGAAAAACCTTATTTAAATATGAAATGAAAAACTGAATTGAGAAGATGAAGAAATTGTCAAAAATTCTAATCTCCAAGTACGTGGTTAATCCAAATTTCAAGGAAATATAATGAAAATTAAGAGAGAAAAAAGAAGAAAAAAGATAGAGGAAGTTGGGAGGGCAAGAAGAACGATGATAAGGTAATAGGTATAAGGATAAAAAAGTTTTGAAATACAATTTTAACCCCAGTTTTTTAAAAGTTTTTTTTATAACTGGTCATGTTGTATAATAAAGTTTCAATAATTAAGTTTTGACCCCAGTTTTTTTTTAAGTTTCAAAATTATCCATGTCATGTCTTGACCATGAGTTGACCCATTTCGGGGAGTGTTGTGATTGTGTTCGAGGCATATCCAAGTCCTGTATAAGTGTTCGACACTCTAACACTTCAACTTAGTAAAGTGTTCACGCAACATAACCTTCATATGAAATAAATAATACAATTCATGCCAAGTTAGGGACCATAATCTATATTTGGCACTTGGGAAATCATGCCAAGCACAACAAAAGGGCACTATGTTAGAGATGGTGCAAGAAGAGCACAACAACAAATTCAAAAATTGAGAAAGAATACATATTGCATCTGAGGCAGCAAAGGAAGCTATTTGGATGCAGAAGCTCAGCTCCAACCATCAAGTCACTAGTCATCCTATACTCTGACAACAATGGGGCAATAGCTCAAGCCAAGGAACCAAGGTCTCATTAGAAATCCAAACATAGTGAGAGACCCTTCCACATTATCTGAGAATACATTGCTTAAGGTGAAGTCAGTGTTCTTAAGGTAGCTTTAGAAGACAACGTAGCAGATCAACTGACGAAGCCTATGAGTCAGTTACAGCTAGACTGACACATGAAAAGGATGGGTATTAGATACATGTCAAATTGATTTTGAAGAACAAGTGAGAGATTGTTAGTAGTATGCCTTTAAAACCAACTAATTATGTAATAGTTAATGTTAATGACATCTTTTTTAATGACTTATTAAGTTATTAATGAGCAAGAATAATTGTTTTCAGTCGTGATTCTGGTATGTAATTATAAATGTAAAACAATAGTAGTCCTAGTAATATGAAATAACATGTGAACTATGTAATGAGATTGCATATATTGAGACTTCTCATGGTTCCTAATCATACTTAAAAGTTTCCTGGTCATAGGATTATCAATTGAGCATTGATCTTCTGCAAAAACCAGTACACACTATATCTACTCTATTGAAGGATGACAAGGTCTCGAGTGATTGAGTGTAGGGACACCAAGATAAGTCTGTAGGTGCTTATAAGGGAACAAGTACATTGAATGCAATCAAACCATGAGTTCTAGAATATAAGTCTTTACTCATATGTCAAGTTGTAACTCATGAGTTGCAATAGTGCAAACTGATCCTCAAACCTGAGACATCTTAATTGTCTTGTGGCTATGTTGTTTGTCTTTGAATGGACTATATTGTTGTGTTATAATAATGTGACTCAAAGGTGTTATTGGGGGCTCTCAATAAAGTCATAGAGACAAATGAATGTACAACAAGAGATCTCTACTCCCAATAAGGAGAGAGAATACTCCTGAGATATGATTGATGAAATCTTTGCCCAAAGTTGTAAATATGATTTGTAAGAAGATGTTTTCAAATCATAACCAGGATAATTCACATTAAGGTTTTGACATGTAGAGAAAATATACTTGTAGATAAACTCAATTTTTATTAATAATTCAAGACGTGTCACACATTAACAACTCAAACACCTATTTATAGATATCAGGAAGATATCACTTACATTCAACCAAATCTCCCTATTTATTATAGATAACTATATCATAAACCTAGATAATCCCAAAATATGAAAAAACTCGTATTAATTTTAGATCATTAAGAAACTTATTTATTATAAATAAATGAACCTCATCTTGCATGAATTTTATCCCAATAGTCCATGTTTGTAAGTGCTCATCTCGCTACATCACCCACTCTCTTGCCCAACCATAGTCCCTACTTGACCATCATAGCCCAACACCAATGGCATGAATGTTCCCAAAGAGATAACCAGCAGCCACTTCGCATCTCCTACATCCACCCAACCCACCCCACCCACCCCCTATACACATGCATTCCTTCTCTTCCTCCCAACCTTCTTTGCCTCTCTGTATGTCTCTTTATCTTTCTCTCCCAAAATACACACATTAAATCGAAGGTTGATGTCACTGACAGAAGAAAAAAAAAAAAAAAAAAAAAAAAAAAAAATTGGTTTGGTTTTCACTGCCATCTTCCACTTCGTCATTTGTAGGGCTTTGCCTCTCCTTCTTATCTGAGTGTACCAAAAAACTCAGCAGATTTGGCTTGGTGGGGCGATGCAAGATCTAGGAGGGGTAGAGGTAGATCTGAAGGTGCATCGGAGAGGAGATATTGATTAAGGTGTGGGAGAAAGAGAGACAGAGACATAGAGAGATAGAGACAGAGACAGAGAGACGGAAGGGCATGTTGGTGCTTGAGCAAAGGGGTAGAAACAGAGAGATAAAGATAGAGACAGGAGAAGGAGAAATTTTTTTTTTAATTGATTTTTAAAAATTCTATGATTATTTTAAGAAGACTTTGGAAAACCCAAAGGAGAGAGAAATTTTGTAAAAGAAGCTAAAATGGACAAAATTGCCCTTATTTATTTTTGGATTTCCTAAGGAATCCTTTACATTTGCATGTGTTTGATTTTAAAGTTAAAAAGTTTTTATGTCTTTTTGAAAAAGCTTAGGCTTTTTCCAAAAGTGAAATTTTTTTTATGGCTAAAACATAAATTTACTATTGTTTTATTTTATTACAGCTAAAAACCAAAAACAAAACTGTGGGACTCATAAATGCCACCTAGGCAACTAACATAATATTTGACGGAAACCCTAACGAAGGAACCGCATTGCAAAAAATGGTAAAGAACGTAATACCTAATTGTTAAGATTTGACGGCACTAAAGTTTACACTGAACACATACTTAGGTCGCTTCACCTACTTGGGTGACTAACTACCTCAACTTCAAATTTTGCTAAACGTGTTTTGCTTGTGATATCCCAAGTTTCGGTATATAACTCCATTCTTTAGTTGCAATAGCTCGATAAAATTTCTATTCGAATTTTAAACTTTTATGGAATTGCTTGAATTGATAGAATCATCTCGAATGAAACTATAAAAAGGCCCTTGGATGATGATTTTCAAGTACTTGAACTCCATGGCTCAAAAACGTAGAGTGAAGCTTCACTTTCGCCTTTGTGCCAACATTCCCACGAAGGTTGCTCATCCAAAAAATGAAGTATTAAGGGGATTGAAGTTCGTTCTGGCAGGGGTTCCTTTGAAGTCCCAACTCATTGCTCGGTTGCGAGTGTAAATTCAGGACTCGATCAAGATCCGATCATGGATGTGGACTCCGTTCTGGTGCCCCTTTCGGCCAGACCATGTTAGGAAATGGAAGGTTGATCTTGGTCCTTATCGCTTAACAAAAGATGACTTTGGGCCTTCATACTTAATAAGGGGTCACTACAAAAAATAGTCCTACTTGGGACTGTCCTTCGAAATAAAATACAATAATAGTCCCATTATATTTTCAAGTAGAAATTGATAAAATCATCAATATCAATAAATGATATGAATACTGCAAGCTGTCCCTTAAAGAGAAAATACATTTTTTTTATAAATAAATTAAGAATATGAATTAATTATTTGAAGACTTACCGGCTAACAAGAGATGACTTTGGCCCTTAATGAGGGGTGATCTCGGTCCATCACATCTCATCTGTCGTCGTCACCTGCATTCCGATAGTGATAGAGAAACTTCCCCATGGACAATGTATTACATGATAGAGAAGAAGCGAGACTCGCTTGAAGAAACTCTGACATGCCTTTGGAGGGAATTGATGGAAGCTGATCGAGCTGTGGCTTATGCCCATTCTGAGGGGATTCATGATGGTTTTCAGTAATGGATCAGCTACTTTCGCGACAAAGTAAATGAGAGTTATTTGTTTGTTTACTGGGATAACTTCCATAAGGGACATATTAAGTCAGGAAGTTTGGTTCATAATAACTCGGGTTTCTATGCCCAATCCCCACTAGGGTTCTAACGAGATGAGTCTGATTAGTTAGGGGTTTTATTTTTGGCTTAGCAATATTTGTTTTCTATTGTTTTGTTTGGTATTGGCCCGTGGCCTAAATTCTTAAATAAAGTTAATGTGCGACATATGGTCGAGTTGAAGGAGTACTAAAAATTAATTGAAGACTAAAATGTAACTCGTAGATAAATTCAAGATAATTACTCCAAATTAATGTTATTTAGATGGCAAAACAAAAAACCCTTATTTATTTTTTAGTAGAATACATACAGGCAACCTTGGCTTGAACGGTTGAAGTTGAATCCATATTTATGGTTCATTTTTTTTTTTTTTTTTTTTTGATAGAGAAAAAGCTTTAGCTCCTAATTAAAGTCCTAACCATCGAGATTCTTGTGACAATATTTCCTTCTAGGCAAATCAAATCAGTACCTCATTCTGGCTTTTGGGTCTCCTTAAAATAGAGAGGGAAGAAAGAAAAGAAATAAAACGAGAGGGTCTCTCACTCTTCACCTTCGCTCCTTTCGATCAAACTTTCTCGAGAGAATTCAGACCAAAAACAAATTTCTAAATAGCGAAAGTGGTATACGAAACATCAGAGTGACCATGTCCTTGGGTTATGCAGAGAAGCTTTCCTACATAGAAGATGTGGGCCAAGTCGGAATGACTGAACATTTCGACCCACCTCACGTTTTGCAAGAAAAAGTGAGAAACTTTCTCATTCTCTTCTGTTCTCTTTTGAGTTCTGTATACTTGTTCTTAAAGTTAGTGTCTTTGTTGATCTTCTAGAATTGTGATCTCCATGAATGTTACTTAGGTTTTCTGCATACATTTGGCGCAATTATGGCATTAGTTTGCTGCGGGATGTAGATGTTTTCGTTCTACTTACATGCTTATTAAGATCTGACATCTGGGTTTAGGCATTCATTTGCAATTTGATTGGATTTTACTTGCTTTGTAAATCTATCAGTTGAGCTTTGTTAGCTCATTTTTGGGTTGTGGCATTTCTTACATGTCCGTGCTTTTGGTTATCACATCTATGTCTATAGCCTTAAGGAGGTATAGATTATCATTTTAACATGTTGGAATGGAATGTAGCTGAAGTATACTAATGGAGTGGACAAAGACACAGTCTTTTCTTTCTCCTGTGTGATTGATTTAATTTGCTTATCTTCCATTGTAGTTTTTCTGTGTTACGATTTGTGCACGTGGGTAATGCCATTGTGGTGCTCTCCAGTACAAATCTTATTTATCCAACAAATGAAGTGTGCTGATGGAGTGAACCCGAACCATGATTGTACTATTAATATTTTAACCCAAATATATGCTTGGTTTGCTTGAATCTGTCTTTTTCCTATAGTTGCATTGTTGTCTTGTTGGTATTCAGGACTCAGATACCTTTTTAAAACTTAGGAGTCGAGGATTATCTTTTAGTTCCCAGAATTTTATTGTCAATAATTCAACTTTGCTGATATTTTTTCGATTTATGAAGGTTTACTTCAAACATTTTGAAAAGTATTGGGATATCTTACTAACTGCAAGTTCCTTTGCATGTTTGTTCACTTTTTGTGCTTGCGTCTCATCAAGATCTTTCATTTGTGTGCCTCTAACCTATGCAAAAGATTTTGTGTATGTATCCTCATTTGCTAACATCGTGTGTATGTATTTTTTTGGCAGATTGAACGGCTCGCCATGTTGGTACAAAAGGTTTGAGCCTACACTTCCCATTTATCATGACGCTATATGTGTACTTCATATTTGATTTTATTTAATTTAGGTCTCTAAGAGTTTCCTTTGCACTTTGTAGAGCAAGCATCTAGTGGTGTTTACAGGTGCAGGAATTTCGACTTCTTGTGGTATACCTGATTTTCGAGGTCCAAAGGGAATTTGGACTCTGCAGGTGAGAATCCTTAAACCTGAGACTAAATTTTTAGTTTCTCTTTGGGCTTCTTTGTTAAAAAAATAAAATAAAATTGAAGTAGCCCATTTTGGTTTGATTATTCTTGGTGGGGGAATGTAATTTGGGTTTGAGTTTTGAAGGTTGTATGTTAGATATGATGGCTTCTTGTCCATCCCAGATGCATCGTTTTTATAAATAAGATTGTTTCTTATAAGAAATAAAAGAATCCTAGCAACTTTTTCGTCTCTGCAAAATTATAAACCTCCAGTCCTTTTTAAATAAGCACATCTATATCGATTGATGCTTCTCACCTATACTAACTACTTCTATCAAACTTACGACGGAGTCATGGAGTCAGTGAAAAACGGTAATTGTGCCGCTTAAATCTTTTTTGCTGTCTTTAATTTCTTCTAGGCTTCTAGCTCTTTCTATGAGAACTCGATTTTGGAAAGAAGTTGTGTCCTTCCTTTGTAACTCTCTCTCTCTCTCTCTCTCTCTCTCTCTCTCTCATATAGTGAATGTATGAGAAACGTAGTAAAAGGAGTCCTCATTCTTTCATGTTTTTGGCTTGTCCTAGCTGTAAGATATGTAATCATACTTGTACCAGAATTATAATGACAAAGAAAGAAACATTCATGCCCCTGTGGAGTACTATGGATGGTTCTGATTTCTATTTACTAGTGCAGCGTGAAGGCAAAGCATTGCCTGAAGCATCATTGCCCTTTCATCGTGCAATGCCAAGTATGACTCATATGGCTTTGGTTGAATTGGAGAGGGCTGGAATTTTGAAGTTTGTTATTAGCCAGGTACGCATACTACCGAAAATTTCTTTATGTTGAAGATTATTGATAATTGCTTCAAATTACTTATTCGCGTGGCTTAAGCCCTGTTTCATGCTTTTGATGCTAGCGTGTTTGAGTCTTTGACCTTACATTTTCCGTTTTTCTTATTCCTATATTGGGACCGGGGAAAGGGGTCATCAAGAACATATAGTTTTTACTGCTGACTAGTATGTTGGTACTCTGGATTTTTACTAATTTGGGCGACGTTAGCAATTCCTTTGTTTTTGTTTCTTTTTTTTTCTTGTCTAACCATGTTACTTTCAAAAGAATTCCATTTAGGCACTATTTCCTTTGTTTTTTACACACTATTTCGTATTTCATTCTTGCACTCCCTTAAATGGTTAATTATCTCTCTACATTCTTATTACCTGTTACTTACTGAATGCTAGAATGTTGATGGCCTTCATCTTCGATCTGGAATACCGAGGGAGAAACTTGCCGAGTTACATGGGAACTCCTTTTTGGAAACCTGCCCTTCTTGTGGAGTCGAGTAAGGGTTTCTCTTTATATCATCCCGTTATTGTTGTTATATGTTGCCTTTCCTCGTCATTTTTCTTTTTCTTTGGAATTAGGGTGGGGGACAGTTGATGTAGTGAAGTCAATATTTTTTCTCATTTACAGTTTGGCTGCTTTTGTGGTAAATGAAAATTTAATTTCATGATTTAAACTTGTAAAGGTATTTGAGGGATTTTGAGGTGGAGACTATTGGATTGAAGGAGACTTCAAGACGGTGCTCAGATAAAAAATGTGGAGCACGGCTTAAGGATACAGTTCTTGACTGGGAGGTATTGCTTACTAATAATTCGGTTGCTGGTTGGATGCCCATGGGGATGAAATAAATTCTTTGTTTCAACAATAAAAGAGGTTACACTAGGTGTTTGGATTAATCACATTAAAATAAGGGTTTGGTTTCAGAAATGGATTCCTTTCTCTTTTTTTGGGCTGAGAAATAGGGAGAAGTTCCATGGATTGTGGCTGGTTCATGCATCTTATGAAAATTGTTGATGGTTGGAAAGCCTCACTTTCTTTCACTTTGTGTGCAGGATGCATTGCCCTCAAAGGAGATGAATCTGGCTGAGAAGCACTGCAGGATAGCTGACGTTGTTTTATGTTTGGGGACAAGGTAACGACAGAGTTACCTAACTTTAGCTTAACTTTTTGTAAGCAGCCCTTTTCTTGGTATGATATAAACAAATTGTGTTTTCTTTCCTCAAAGTTATCCCCTTATGGGGTCTTTCATACCTTACCAGGGATGCAAATTAAGTGGGCCTACTCTTACAGTTTGAACATCGTGATTTTTATAGATTTTATTTTGGTTCATCTTCTTGCAATTTTAATATTTGCATTTGACATCCCAATTCTTTATATTTTTTGTAAGTATTTTTTATATTATTATGAAATATGTGAAATACTATTACTTTATGGTTGATAGACTTTATACTGTAAATAGTTGTAATGTCTAGGGAGCCTAGTTGAAAATCGGGAATGGATTATACATCTCCATGTTAATAAAACAACTAGGGCTAGAAAGGGATAAGTCAGACTGTAAATGTTTTAGGGCACGAAGTTCTCTCTTACTGGTGTTATTGTTGCAGTTTGCAGATCACCCCCGCATGCAACCTTCCTCTAAAATCGCTCCGTGGTGGGGGGAAGATTGTAATTGTCAACCTTCAGGTGATTTCCTCTTTCGCTTGAAGTAAATTTAAGTGGGTCTGGAAAGAATAGAAAAAGCATGCACTAGCAGATGCATTTCTGTGCACGTTCATGGCTGTTGTTTATGGGCTGTAAGATATTGGAGATGTCAGTTAAAAAAACTTCAACAGTTGAAAAGCACAAGGTTAAATCTCATTTCATGTAGAAATTGATAGTGAGAACTTTCTCATGTCCATGGACACTCTATCTTTCCCTTAAATGCTGCTTCCATATGTGTACGGCCCATGTTTTACGTTATTCTCATCATTGATCTTCCAGTTATTTATTATGTACTTTGTTCCAACTTCACAGAAAACTCCGAAGGACAAGAAAGCAAATTTATTGATCCATGGGCTTGTAGATAAGGTATTGTAATTTATACCATAATATGCAGAGATTATATATATATTTTCACTGCTGACGAAAATAGCACCAGTGCAGTTTATGTTGGACAAGCTTTAGTCACCTTCTCTGCTGATGAAGTCGTGTATTACCCATTTTGTATATCACACATGTGCATGTCTCCTCGGGTCTTATCCGGGCTTTGTCAATAGATGTGTGAAGCAGAATGCTGAGATTGAATTTGTTTATTTTCTTTGAATATTCTGATTCGGTCTCCTACATGTACCTTACCAATTCATTTGGACAACAGGTTATTTCAGGTGTCATGGACTTCCTAAATCTTCAGATTCCTCCATTTGTCCGGATAGATTTTTTTCAGATCATTCTAACTCAAGCCTTGAGTTCAGGTAACCTAGATTCTGTGTTAAATATTTTGTACAAGGTGCAGAGTTAGACATGTGTGCTTGTTTTATATGCGACGGAGATGCTTTTATCATGAAAATTACAACTTGTATGACTTGTAAATGGCATTTATGGCAAAAATTTTAAGTTTTTCTTTTTCTTTTTTGCTTCTTCCTGGATGGTGGGTGAAAAATATGTCCTCTGGTTTGCTGGTTTGCTATTAGATATGGAAACGAAGCTCATCCATTCTTCCAGCTTTGATGTTCTTTGTTACTGTTCTTCTGCAGAACATACTTGAGTGTTAACTTTATGTACATTGTTGGTCTGTTCCTCACAACTTAAGCTTTGGTGTCTAGTGGTTGTCTAGCAAGGTATCAGAGCCTTCGTTTGAATTTGTTTAACAATAAAAAATGCCTTTTTTTCCTATTATTCTCTTTGCTCGTGTAGACATACTTCATCTGAAGACACTAACCTGGAACCTATCATGTGGCTCGCTTGGCAACATTGTCATAAGTCATAACACGGATAAATACGTTCACATACATATGTAATACAAACTAATATGAGTTAAATAGTTCTATAGATGGAATGAATTAATTACTCTATCTTACGACTCCTTGTTTTGGTTCCCACTGTTCACTGAATTTCCCACTAATTAGTGTACACTTTTTCATTCAGCTTTCTCACATTGCCCATTCACTTGCATTGCAGACAAAAAAAATGTGAACTGGAACCTCCGGGTAGCAAGTGTACATGGACAGAAAGCTCCATTGCCATTCATTAAATCTATTGAGGTGAAATTCGTTTAAGGGCCTTATTCTGTTGATCTTTCTGCTTCCGGGTATATGAGGCTGAAATGGCCTCCTGCTATTCTTTTTTCTCTTTTCTTTTTTTCTTTTTCTTTTATTTTTTTCTTTTTTCTCATAGCTTATTCAAATTGCTAGATGCAGGACTGCATTCTTGTCATTTTACTGACAGACCACATCTTAAGATTTTTTTGGGGGGGGGTATTTTACAGGTCCCTCTGTTGGAACCAAATAACTGTAAAGATTGAAACGGCTGACCATTGCACCAAAGAAATCTCTTATGTCCATTAAAGATGAACCCCTGACTCTCTTTTATTCCGTATATGATCCACTTAGCGAACATATGGAAGTTTTGAAACCCCGTTATAAGCAAGACAACTGTACATCTCGGTAGCAGATATATCTTAACTTTTATCTGGCACTAAGAAAGTAACTTGTTTACTACTTTACCTCAGAAATGATCCACTTATTCATTAATTGCTGTTATACATTTTTTTTCACTCATTCAAATTCCTAGATGCATGGTTGCCTTCTTGTCATTTACTGGCTGGCCAGATCTTTAGGTGGTTTGTCTTTTTGTTTCTTAGTGATAATTTACCACTGCGTTCCAACACACAAACCAAGTAGACTAAGCAGTTTGCACCAAATAAACCTCTAATAACAATTCCTATCCTCTTGTTACCACGAGATTGATGCACTCGCTATACTTTCACAAGACATCACCTACAGAATTATATTGTTGTTATATATTGTTTTCTCCGATTTGGTGCTAACACTCCTGTTATGTTTGCATGCCAGATATCCTTTTTAGAAAATCAAGGGTATAAGTCAGCTGTTTTACAGAAGGAACCATTCCAACTGAAAAGGTAACTATACAATTTTGAATTCCCAAAAAAGATAGGTTCAGAAATACTTGAAGCTGTTGTAAACTATGTCAAATACAGATTTGATTCAAAACTAGAAAACAGTATGATCAGTAAAAATTTGTTTGTCTCCTGAAATTTGCTTTGTTTTGTATGAAAAATATAGGTTGATTTGTAACTCTCAATTATGTAACCTGACCTGGAGAATCTAATAGTTTTGAACCCGTTTGGTAACTTTTTGGTTTTTTTATTTATTAGAGAAACTGATTCAAGAAAGGAGAGAGGTGATGAAAAAAATGAGGGAAACATACAACCAAAGATTAAAACTAAACTTTGTATATTTGCTTGGGACCCATTTGGTAACCTTTTTGTTTTTGGTTCTTAGGTTCCAATTTTTTTTTGTTAGAGATAGAAAGGAAATATATGGAAGAAAGGGAGGGATGCACAAGAGTAGAGGAAGGGTAATGGGAGGAAGGGAGAAGTAATGTTTATGTAAACGCTACATAAAATGAAAACTAAAAACAATTTTAAGTTGTTTTCGTTTTCAAGGCTTTGTTTCATTCATTCTCCTTCATTTCTCCCTCATCCCTCCCACCACCCTCCCTCCATTCTTCTATCTTCTCCTCCATGTATTTCCTCTCTATCTCTAGTAAATAAATAGAAAAAAATAAAAGTAAAGACCAAAAACAGAAAGGTTAACTAACAGGCCCTTTTTTTTCTTTTAAAAAAAATTATGAACTGTTGTACATATATTGTCTCATCTTTCCGTAACATTTTATCGTTTTTCCTTCTCTATCTTTAATTAAAACTGTTGTACATATATTGTCTCATCTTTCCGTCACATTTTATCGTTTTCCTTCTCTATCTTTAATTAAAACCAAAAGACAAAAACTAAAAACAAAAATGTTACCAACTGGGCCCTTAGCAAGTATACTCCATTGTCATGTCTGTGCATGATCTACTAGTGGACGTGTCATCTAACATTGGCATCTTCTCACTCTTTTTTTGTTCAATATGTATCAGGAGAACATTACAAGCAAAGTCATTTGAAATGGTTATGAAATTCAACTTCATAGATAGTTGTGGTTGTCCATCCACAGAAATTATTGTCCCTCTTAATTTTAAGGTGAGTGGTTAGAAGTTAGAAGAATCATCTCATTGTCTCTTACATGCTGTTTCACTTTGCATAGTTAGGTAAATGGCATAGAATTATGGTTGCTGGTTTGCAGGGTACTTATTTGGTTTCAGCTGATAACTGCAATACTGATACTCATGCCACAATTCTCATGAAAAGAAGATAATTAAAGAAAATTAATTATCTCTGACAAGAACTTGAAAAATCTAGGATATTGCCCCTTCTATGTTCTGAGGGGAAGCCTGGCGTAATTGTAACTTATTATTTTCCAGGTTTCAAGAGACTGCTTCGAGCTTGATAAGGATGCCATATTGCAAAAGCTCAGACACACAGCAATTCAAGAATCATGCTGTGGGCAGAATGCAGTTGTTGAGAGAAATGCCCTGTTGACCCCAAAAACTGATGTCATTGTATATGCCATTGTAACCAATGTTATCCGGTATAAGAAGACCACTGAAGCCTTGGAAGCTGATTCTCTAAGTAATGGTGTTAAAAGGCGAAGGGAAAGCGCAAATGGTACTGAAACATCTCGGAAGCGATCCAAAGTGCACAGGCGCAAACCTAGGTTTTAGAAAATGAATGGTCTGTGTTAAAAGGCGAAAAGAAAGTGTACATGGTACTGACTCATCTAGGAAGCGATCAAACGGTCACAGGCAAAAATCTAGGGTTTAAAACTGAATGGTTCTGTTTGGTTTTTTGTAAATATGTTACTGTACATTAGGACTGACCAAACAGTATGATTGCTGGCCTAGAAAAGAACTCCAGAAAGTATGATTAGTAGGGACTGGGTGAATTTTGTTAGAAGCTACGCTCGGTCTCCCGGCTGAATAGGGGTTGGCATAACTTGGTAATTTAGTTTTCATAATCTTGTTTCTCAGTGGAAGTTTCAGGTACTTCATTATGAAGCCTATTGCTGCTTCTATGTACTTTTTTTTTGTAAACTTCTCAATATCTCGAGATTCGTTTTGTTTTGTTGCTCCAAAATATGCATCAGTAGGAGCATGCAGGAATTTACATACATAATAGGAAGGCGCAACTAATAAACCATGTTGTCTGAAATGAAGCCCCAGGTCTTTGATGTAAATGTACTTCGAAATTTCAGAAACTGCTTTCGGACATCTTTTACTTGACTGAATTAGAGTCTTAACTGTAGTACCCGAGTTTCATTTTGACTCTTCAGTTCAGTTTTTAGTTTCTTTAGTCCTCAAATTTGGTCGCATGTCGCACTTTGAATTCGTAAATTTTAGGGATGCATCAGCAATTTCACCTCACAAAAATTTAAAAGCTAAGAAAAAAATGGCAACGTTCCATCGATGGCGGGGACACTGCTTTGGGTGCGGTGGTATTGAGGAGAAAGATGAGGTGCACTGAGAAGAAATGTGGGGCCATGGCAGTAGGGGTGGACACGGTCCGGATTGAATTGGTTTCACTTCAAAATTGCTCCTGAACCAATTACAATATAATGATTTGGATTTGGGGTGGGCATCTTCAACCTTATAAAATCAAAGCCTAGCATATGGAAACTCTATGACTGGGGGCTAGATTGGAAGTTGCACTTAAGGGACGTATTTAAATCCTGGGATAAGATTTGACTTGGATTTGGGGTGGGCATCTTCAACCTTGTAAAATCAAAGCCTAGCATATGGAAACTCTATGACTGGGGGCTAGATTGGAAGTTGCACTTAAGGGACGTATTTAAATCTTGGGAGAAGATTTGACGCTTGTGAAAAAAATCGAGTAAGACAATTTGTGAAATTTGTGTTCTCTTTTGTTTGATGGGTTTAGCTTCGACATTGTGTGGGCTATAATTGTCCTGCTATTTTATGGGCCAATATTTCTAAAGTAATTAAAGAGAGGAAAATTCAAATTCGGCTTTGTCAATTGGTAAATAATGTAAAAAGGGCTCATTTGACTAGATTCTTGGTGATTAAGCTAACTTAAGGATGAAGTCAGTATTATAAATAAATCAGGAAATTTAAGTCCAAACGTAATTTGGTAACTTGGATTTTAGATGAATCTTACACAATGTGGAGATCAAGTCCAGTTGGGAATGAAATTGATGATTGCTAGTGCAAGATGGATAACAAGCTCTATAACTGTTTATGCTCAAAATGTGAGAAAGACACAAATTATCAAATAGACCCAAGTGCTGCTCAAATCATACTTGTGTTATTCTTCATATTTTAGTCCATTGCTAAGTCTTGTTTTTTTTTTTAGAAGAAGATTTCATTCATAAACCATAAAAGGCATATAAAGACTGACACGATAACAGTGGCCTCGTTAAAACCTTCTTAGGAAACCACGTGGGACAAACATGAGAGTCCGACCTAGGCCAATGTAGACCGCTACAAAAACCAGAAAAAGTAAAACACCTATTAAAACACCAACACTGAGTAGACCCATATGAGAGAACCACAATGGATCCCAATTGTCAAAATAAGCCTTCTATGAGAACTCATAGTCCTTTGAGCATAGCACATCAAGGGTCAGAGAAACAAGAGAGCACACGAAGGAAGAACACAGAGACGATGGGAAAGAGGAATCCTAGAGAAGCACACCAACTTAACTCAGAGCGTGACAAAGAAAATCTCCTATGGCGAACATAGTTCTTTTGACAACGCAGAGATGGGAAAATCTGCAAAGGGTCTACATAACAGAGAAACAAAATGACAAACAAAATAGGAGACCGAATGATGGAACCATTAAAAGGGCGCACCACTACATCCCAACAACTACCACCATCGTCGTTGATGCAGCTGTCATTGAAACGAAGACAAAACATCAGCCACCAAGTATTACAACTCTCTTAAAGAGAGACCCAATCTAATGTTAGTATTGTCGCCACCGCCGAGACAAAGACAACACCAGCCACCTAAAACACTGCAAAAACAACCAAACAAAATAAAGACACAAACATACCTAGATCCAAACATATCTAGGCTAAAAACCCAAGATCTAAGTAGATTTATGATGGGGAAGGGAGGAGAACAAGAAAGGGAGATAGGTGCCAGCAAGAGCCCCCAGGAAATTGGAAATAAAGGGAGAGAGGATGAGAGGGAGGAAAAAGAGGGAAAAGATGGGAGATGAGGATAGGAAAGAAGAATAAGGGTGAAGGAAAGGAGGGGCCATGTTTAAGAAGGGTTGGTTGTTGGCAAGGAGAAATAGGACCATGTTTAGGGTTTTTTGTGGAATGTTTGTTATACTGCTAAGTCTTCTTGTTGTACCATTTATTATGGGTGTTGATTTTCTCACTTCTCTTTTGTCCATTTACACTCGTTTTTGTTTTTTTTAATACTTTTTACTATAACATACAAAGCAGTGTAAGTAGACAAAAGAGTGTTGTGTCGGATTCAACTGCACCAAAATCGATTCAACTGCATCCTCAACTTGAGATACTCGCAAGTGCATGAGCCATTGGGTAGTATAGCATGTGTAAGTGCGAGGTAGATCCCATGAGGATTGATGATAGATTGATTCAATTTGATTCCCTACACAAAACATAAATGGAAACAAAGTTTAAAGATTGCGAAGAGTACACTAGGGAACAATCCAATTCTAAGTCTCAAACAATCAAGTTAACAAGTTCAATTCAAGTAAAAAGATTGATTCTCTCTAATGTATAATTTACCATTGTGTCTGGTCTAAACTTTATATTCTTAATTCCCTAATTAGATCCTTATTGTCGAACCTAAATTAAGCATTAGAAATTCATTAAGCATAGGAGAACGTTTTAAACAATCAAGCATGTATCTAATCCATGTTATTGAATGTCCATACATACTCTTCCTATTCATAGTATGAAGCAAATTTTAACGTACGAAGAAAATTTTAACGTGGAAAAACCCCAAGATAGGATTAAAAAAACCACGGGAACTTTGCCAGACAGAAAGTAATCCACTAAGATTAACTAGAAGTATATAAAAGACTCGACTTAACTCAACTTACTTGACTCTTCTATAAGGTTGCCGAACCGCACGCCTCTTGCTACTTCTCCAATCTCGTGAATTAATTCACACTCATCTTCTCAAGCGTGGCACAAACTCCCCTCGTTTGTCAATCACCTTGAGGCAAGAACCCACCAAGACTTGTCTTCTTGACACAACATGCAAGGCACAAGTCACTAACTCAAAGATGTGTGTCTGAATGAAGATTATAATTCAAGTAAATTCAACAAGGAACAATTTAGTTGAATTATACATGTATGCGTGATGAACTCACTCAAGAAAAAGATTTAAACCCTAGGAGTTCATATATAGAAAATCAACTCTCTCAAGAAACGATGTTTGAAGCACAAAGATATTTGTATGTGAGTTGTATCTTTTTACTTCTACAAAAACTAAGTATTTATAAACACAAAACTTGTTTTAAAATCAAACTAGGAAGATGTAAAATGGCCCAATAGGATTAGGAACAAAATTCCTATTTAAAAAAAAACATGTGTAGAGCTTCTAGGAAACTTATACCAACCATAGGATTAGGAAGAAAAAATAATTTAAAACTCTCCAAAACAAAAAAAAAGGAAATTGAAATTATGCGTCTGCCGCTTGAGCTCGACCTTTCCAAAAATGAGAATTTTACCTTGAAACTTTTATACAAGAAACCTAACATCTTGACGAACATGCTACTAAAATTTCATGCAATTCTAAGCACTTAAAGGAACTTCGCTCATCACGTCAAGTTGACTGATGCGCAAATAAAACGTTTAACCACCAATGAATGCATGCATGGTCTCTAGTCAAAGTTACCTTTCCTAATCATGAGTTTAGACAACCTTATGCTTTATAGCTTCAAAACCTTTGTTCCTCTTCATCACTTCCAATCAAATCTTTATCACTTGAACCTTACTCAACTTATCCTAAAGATTACATAACATGGTTTTGGGCTAAGAACATATCAACACATAAATCTTGCATTGTACGGTCTTGGGTCATGTCAATGCTCATATAGGATTGTTCTGTTGCATACTTTGTGTTTGATAAGTCAGACGATTGTCTTACAAAATGAGTTAATCAAGCCTGAGTCAACTGGAACCTAACTTATAAATTGGGTTGGTGCACAACGTTAATTCAACAATATATTGTTTACATGAAGTATTTATTGGATTATATGTCAAATTTTTATATGTGTGGATTTTAAAGTTGAGTAATTGTGAATTGTTATTTTAGATTATATAGAAATAGCAATATGCATTGATTTTAAAGGAAATAGCAAGTTGATCCTAACTTGACCTCAAGACAGTACAATTCAAGTATTTGAAAGGGTAGGTTTGTGAGTTACAGCTTAGCTAGTACCTAGTGGTATTGTGGTGGTGCCTATTACATGAACTTCTGAAAACAAATATAATTATTTACTCATGTTTATGCCGTTCATACTAGATGTTAAGGAAACATTTTCCCCTATATCGTATATTTTCATTTTGCTTCTATTAATATAAGATTTTGAATATTCGATAACGAAAAACATTAATGACGCTGTACAAGGGCACTAGACTGTTATAAGGTTATTGTAAATTTAGAACTGATTAAATCTTAAAGACTACAATTTAGCTATATTTGTCAAGTGCCTCTCTTTTTCTTAATCAGAAATTGCATCTATAATCACATGATTTAATTTGGAAAAAAAAACTAATTGTACGATCTCAACTGATCATGTTGTGCACATCTATTAAAGAGATGGCAAATAAGATGCTCAGTTTAGATGGTCTTTAACGATATTAGAGAGGAGTAGGTGGATAATTTGTGGGAGAGAGTCCAATCTTGGACTACTTTATGCTTTAGTCTAATGGATTTTAGGAGCTAAAATTATTCATATTCAATTAATATTAGAAGCTTTAAGTTTGAACAATTATTGATGAAAACAAAAGTAAATATGAAATTGAACATGCAAGTCACATCAATGCCATCAAAGAAAATATGACATTAATAGGAAATTGTTTGGACCAAAATTAACACAACCTAATTTCCTCAATCAAATGGGCCAGTTTCATGGTTAGTTAAATTAAAGCCCAACTATTAAAGGCCAAACATCAAATGCTCAAGTCGTAACAAAATTGAATGTGCAAAGCCCAAAGTCCATCGAACAACAATGAGTTTTTAGAGAAACATTGACCCGGTCAAATAGAGGGGACAAAGTTTGAATCGAACAAAGAAGATGTTCAGTTTAGATAGGAAAGAAATAGAAGGATGTTTAACGATGTTAGAGAGGAGTAGGTGGATAATTTGTGGGAGAGAGTCCGATCTTGGGCTACTTTATGGGCTTAAGTATCTCTAGATTTTATGGATCATTTTATTTTTTTATATACTGTCACATTGAAATTCTAAAGTGTCTTAGAGTATTCTTGTGGTAGTCTGCTTTCTGTTGCAATTTTTTTTTTTGTCGAAAAGATAAAAGATGATACAAATAGTAGTACAAATTTAATTTAGCTCTTAGTATCTACACCAGATATGGCACCTTGGTTTATTACATGACTAATTGGAGTTCGTTGGAGTTCATGGGATAACTCTTATGTGAACTTTCTACTGGTGCAAATGGATACTAAGCTACTAAGAGCAAGGGGGGCCCCCCAAGAGATCACTAGCCAATGTCCGCATTATGGTTCTTGAAAATATGCATAAAGGCTTCTCCGTGTTGTTTGTAAGTTGTAGTTGGAATTTGATTTGCTAATGACAATTTCAATACCCTCTGATTTTCTCAACTCAATTCTTCTACCATTTATGCATGCCTCCACTCACTCAAATTCATTCTAGTTGTACCCTATGAACCATACATGGCTTTGAAATTAATTCAAATTGTTTCTCGTGAAGCGGAAAACCCAACATAGCTCTCTCTAAGACAAGCCTTTGAGCTTCTTAAACCAAAACTAAGACCCTCATTTGCATTAACAATTCCAAAGCCACAAAATACTTGTTGCTCAACAAAGCGATACTTTATGGGGCTTTATGTGGAAGTCATGTTGGCAAAACATATATTAAGCACTTACATGCCATTGTTACTAATGGGCATGGCTTGTTTGTTAGTTTGTTCATCAAGGTTGTGAATGAATTGTATGTGAAACTTCTTGAACCAGTGAAGTGCCAACTGATTTGGGTTACTAAGGAGTTGATCAATGTTCTAGCAGTCGGTGTTGATGGTATGTTTGTTTGTTTGTTAAGGCAAATTGTTAGTGGGGATTTTAGTGATGGGAATTTGTGGCTGTGTTTTGAGATAATAAACATATTTTTGCTTCCGATGTTATGGCTAAATGGGACTCTATCTAATGTCTCAATTTTATTTGATAGTTTGACTGACTTTTTGGAAAAAAGCTTACAGAAACAATGGGGATCTTGTCATTCATAATTCAGTAGGAAAGATGATAAACTATTTTGCCATTTCATGGTTATTAAATTATTATAGTGCAGAAATTACTGAGTTGTGTGGTCCATAGTTACTCAAATTCAATGCAGGAAAACATGTTTCCTTACATAACCATCAAGCATATCACTTTCATTTATGTCAACTTGTTATTAATCTCATTACTAGTCTGTTGCCCATCATGAAATTTAGAGGGAATATATTGTTATTCATTTTTCTCATATTATAATGTTTGAAACAGAGGAGTTATACTAGTGATAGGATGTATTTTTAATAAGCGCAATAAGATTTTGTATTTTCTTGTGATTTTTGCAAGAGGAGCTCTAGTATGCCAAAAACCATATCTGTCATAGGTGGAAAGCTCCTTGTGAGGATGGTGGCAATTGTTCATGTTTTTGTTTCATTTTATGTCGTGTCTCACTTATTTAGTTCATAATTTCGTGTTGACTCAATTCTGAAGCTCATTTCATTGCTAAATTCCACTTAAAGAAGAAAATGTGAGAGAGAGAAAAAAAAACATAGATAAGTTTTGTACTTAATTTTTCTTGTGAGACTTATGAATAAGGAATTTTTATACTTTACTGTTCTTTTTGCATATCCTGCATGATTTCATTTGTGTATATTTAAACCAAGCAGCATTTTCGAAGGATGAAGAATCTAATTTAGTATATTATATTATTATTTTTTACTTTTTCTATGAGCTTATCAGAGGTTATTTGGTTCTCGGATTATCTTATATTGTCTTTTTGATGCTTTGTCAGCCATGTGGTTCGAATTTCAATTGATGAACCTGGGCAATTTTTGGTTTTCTTCATTCCACTTGAAAGTGGGATTATTGTCGATGGATGAAGATATGCATTCATCGAAGCATAGTTCACTTATACAATGATGCTGCAAGCATGAAGAGATCTTGATAATGGAATTGAATTCTTGTCCTACATGTAACTTCAAAGGTGGTTATTCAAGCTTTTACTGTATAATCTGGAAAATTCTTCAAGTTTCTCTCCATAATTCTTTTGGACAACTTGTAATTATCTATACCATGAGATGAGAAACAAAGAATAAAAACTGCAAGTTGTATATGGTTTATTATTTTTGTAATTGTAAATCTTCTTTTGGGCAAAGTTATTGCAGTCCTTATCTTGAGATCTTTGTTCTTATAACAAGAGTTTGGTATAAATCTGAAGAATATTTCTCACAAGTTGTCTTTAGAGCCATGATTAGGGCATATTAGGAAGTGATTAAGGGAGGGATGGAATTGCTTATGGGAGAAGCACCTTCCACGTGTTGTGCTTCTCCCGGAATTTCTTAAAACTAAGTGATTATATAGAGAGTAATTCTCTATAGAAGTTATTATTGGCCTATCTAGAATAATGATTCTTCATAGAAGTTATTATTGGCGTATCTAGAATGACTTTTGAGCCCCTATTGTAGTTGTAGCCATGCAATGAATCACTTTTTCATATAATTTTGTCTTGAATTTTCTACTTATGAAATTGAATTAGAACCAATAAATCAGGGCAGTTTCAAGTAGAAAACTAGCTAGTATAGGAATGGTCTGGACTACTATATAACCTTCTCTCCGTATCTCTTACTATTAGACCCTCAAATTATCACAAGCTAAATGTTGGACCTTAACACCATCTCTCTTATCTTGGTCACCTTACTCCTTTCCATCTCAGTCTTCATCTTCCTCTTCTCCTCTGTCTCTCACACACACCGAAAAATAACATGTCCATAGTCATACCCCATAATCGGAACCTACCTGGCTTCCTTCACAACTGCCACCGATTCCATGACTAGGTTGCTGATATTCTCTCCCAAACCCCATCTTCAACTCTTCAAGTCAAAACCTTGCTCAATCTCTCCCATGAAATCTACATTGCCAACCCTTCAAAGGTCGAGCACCTCCTTTTATCCATTTCCCAAACTACGTGAAGGGCTCTCACTTCTATGATGTTCTTCATGACCTCCTCATCCATGGAATCTTCAGCGTTGATGCGAACCATTGGACCATCCAATGCAAGATTGCTAGCCATGAATTCAACACCAAATCGCTCAAACACTTCATCTCAAACATTGTCAACTCTGAGATCTCGAACCATCTCATTCCATACCTCTCCAAAATCTGTGATAAAACAGAGTGATTGATCTTCAAATATGTTTTGAAAATTTGGATTTGATAACATATGCATAGCACTTGGCACAGACCCTGCTTGCTTGTATTTGGAAAACATGCACCATACTCAAAGCATGTCAGGATTGAGCTTTGCCAAATCTTTTGATGACACAGTTGATATTTGCTCATCTAGATTTATGTCACCACTGAGCTTTGTGTGGAAGATGAAGAGGTTCTTCAACATTGGTTATGAAAAGCTATTCAAACAGTAACAGAAGAAATCAACAAGTATGCAACAGAGATCATAGAGTTGAAAAAGCCAAATCAGATGTGGTCAAAGATGGAGACTTGCTTTCTAGGTTCATGTCTTCAAGTGCAAACATAGAGTTCCACAATGTAAAGCACAAGCGGAGGTTTCTGCGAGACATAGTGATCAACTGTGTTCTTGCTGGTAGAGACAACACATCCATAGCTTTAACTTGGTTCTTTTGGTTGATTTATGGCCATCCTCGATGTGCCTACAAGATACTCGACGAATTGCCTAGGTGAACTTTGAGCTATGATGAGCTGAAGAAGCTTCATTACCTGCATGCAGCTTTATCAAAGTCCATGCGGTTGTTTCCATCTGTGCCTATCAATTCAAGATTAACGGTGGATGATGAAGTTTTACCAGATGGATGCCAAGTGAGGAAAGGGTGGTTTGATAATTACTTTGCATATGCAATGGAGTTTAAGCCTGAGAGGTGGTTGGATGGTGATGGGGTGTTTCAACCGTCATATCATTTCGGTTTCCAATGTTCCATTATGGGCCTAGTATGTGTTTGGGGAAGGAGATGGCTTACGTGCAGATGAAGTTAGTTGTAGCAGCTGTGATGTATGAGTTTGAGGTTGTGGTTGTTAATGGTGGCGCAACTGCAAAGAAGATGATGAACCCTCCTTACATCTTATCACTTGTGCTTAAGATGAAGGGTAGATTGGCTGTGAGGCTACATAAAAGACAGCGCTAACCCAACAATGCTCATGGATAAAATGTATCAATTAAAACAAAGTTATAGTTATTGTAAATTAAGTATAGATGATGTTGTGAGCCGTGAAGATAATTATGCAATAAGTGTCCTAAAGGCATCTCCAATGTTAAACATGCAAATTGAAGATGTAAAGCCACAATTACATGTCATTTACATCTTGGGATGTAAATGTAGTTTTTGCTATAATAGGGGAGAAGTAAATTTAGATTTTTATATATTAATTTATTTTTGTGTCTTTTGTTAGCTTAATTTTCTTTTTTCCAAACAAATTGACCTTAAAATTTTAAAATTTCAAATATAGTCATTGCTTTTATTGTAGCCATTTGATAGGAGAGGGAGCTAGTTCATATAATCATATACCATCTACCTATAGTAGTAACCTTTGCAGTCTTCAGTTTTGAGAACAGTATGTTAAGAAAAAGCATTTTTTTTCTCTTCTTAATATGATGTTTGCATAAAACTTGGCTGAAACAATGAAGTTCTTTATCTGACTTGATTCAATGCCATATAGGTGATTGATCCAACCCACCATGAAGAGGCTATTCACGGAGGCCCTGGGCATAAGCAGGCAAGGCAGGGCCCCCCAATTTGTATAAACCCCTATATATATATATACATTTAAAAAAATTATATTATTTAAAAAGAGGAAACTCAATAAAGGCTCGCACATTAGAATATAAAAAATTTAACTTTACCAATTACTCAATTCAAAATTTAAAAATGAAACTCAACAAAGGCCCATTTATTATAGTATAAATCAATTAGGAAATTAAATACATATATTTATCATCAACACCAAAACCCTACAGTATAACATACAATAGAGATTTCGACAACCTACCAAAAAAGCAAGATGTTTCTATAGCATACAAGTAGCCATTCAATCTTATACTTTTCAAAATTCAAATATGTGAGTATTGTTGTTGTTGTAAGTGTGGTGTTATTACTTTCATTGTTGACCATTGAATTTCGATCAACTATGTCACAAGAAAAATTGAATAGCTTAGTTATGTTATCCATTGAAAAGACATGGTAGAAAGCTTGATTATGTAAAGTTAATTGATACTTTTGCATCAAAAAATGCAAGATGAGTAATATTTAAGTGATATTTTGATGCATTTTATAAATTTTTCGTATAAGTTACATATTGTTTGTTTCTTTTATGTTACAATTGTGAATTTGAGTTCATATAATTTTTTTTTAATTTACCAAAAAAAATCACATAACACACATATAAAGTAGAAGGCCCCATATAGGTTGTTCGCCTACGGCCTACAAAACATAGGATCGCCGTTGTTGAGCACCTAAATACTTGTCTCATGTCTCCACATGAATGACTTGAGGCTAATCATCCTCTCAATTGAGCAGACATAGTATGTACCGATCTTTATGAATTATCAATATTAAGTTGATAATCCTATGACCATGAACTATTTAGGATGTGGGAGTAAAAAAAGAAATGTCTCATGAATTTAACTTCTTTAGATTGCTTTCTCTCAATCTCATAACAATTAATGAAACATTTTCCATTACACAATAATCTTTCCCTTTGATTTAACTTACTATAAGTTCAATAAATGAAATATCGTAAAAAGATTACATCACCTAATTGGTTTTTATGGCATATTTCTAAGTTACTCATTTCGTTTCAATATTTGAATTTAGTGGTACTATCTTGATATACTCACTAGAGCGTGAGTTTGAGTTCACCCACAGAGTCACTGTCACCGAGCACGATAACTTAGTTGACAAGTCAAAGTCTTGTCTTCAAGGTATAAGAGTCCAAGGTCTATAGGTGTTCCTTCCTCGGGCTTAGTTTTTTTGAAGAAGTCCAGATTTGTTTTTTCTAACCTTGAAGGGTGATTCTACACAATAAAGCACTCAACCCTATTCAAAACGGGATAAAAAATAAACATGAAAAACATGGTAGAAGTTTGCTCCCATTCAAAACATTGGCAATTGGCAAGTGTTAGTCTTCCAGCCTCCTTTGCCAATCAATTTATGTGAGCCTCTGCATGAGTTTGGGCATCAAGGATCGAAGAAGAGAATGATGATGGAAAATGTAGTACATTAAAAGTCTTTGTGTCTTGTCCTTGACACGCGCTTACAACTGTTTATTGTAAATTCTTGCAAATTGTGTCAGCGGACTAAAAAGTGATAAGTTGTCAATAACCGCTAACTTTCTGGAATAATTTATGTTGCGTTTATCCAAATGTAGAAAATATAACCGTTTTCTTGAGACAACAAGAAGTCGCTCTGTCGTATTTGTAAACATGGAACCTTGGTAAACAAAAAGAAATTGTTTGGCACCTTCCGTAACCGAAAATGACAAATATGGAATTTTCCGAATTCAGAAAATATGTAAATGGTTTATCCAATGTGATGATTATACATAAAATTATACGCTAACAGATAAATTTAGTGAAATTCATATCTATTATGTGAGAAACAATGAAAAGAAATATATATATATACACACAATACAATTGCAAAACCCGTTCACAAGCTAAAATTGAAAAAAAAACACTTGGTTAAATAAACGGGGATATAATGGTAATTTGACTCCACAAAAAACCAACTCTTTTTACCCAAAATTTTCAGGTGTCATTAAACAAGGAGCATAAGTGCCTTGATGGCTAATGCTGAATGGGTTTGCTTTTTAGGCCCCCAGTAATCAAAACCAAGACCTTGAGAAGGGCAATTCAGGGAAATTGACCCACCGACCTGTTACTCCTGGTAAAAACATCCCCTTATCCAATCACGCACCCTCTTATGACCGGCAATTCTGGGTCCTTCTCGTTTGCCACGCCGTTTCGCCACTTGGACTTTACCCCTGCTGCTCTAGCTATAAATTCATTTGACTAGACCCACTGCCCTTTCAACAGAGCCAATTAAAAAAATAAAAAACACAGAGAAAGAGCGAGAGAGAGAGAGAGAGAGAGGGCAAGGAGGTGACAGTATGGAACGTATGAGAGGGCCTCCTAGCAGCAGGCATGCAAAATCAAGCTCTGGTAAAATCTCTCTGATAGCAAATGCCATAGGGCTTTTTTCTCTTTTATTAATTTATATATATCTTCTTTTCTTTTCTGTTTTTTTTTACATGTTTTTCTTGATGATGGTACATATGTGTGCATAAAAAAATAATGGTTGCGAGGTTTCAGATTTTTCTTTTTGGTTTTCTTATTTGTTTATGGATTTTTATTGCATGCATGTCTTTTTCTCCTCAAAATTCTGAGCACAAAATTTTCTTCCTCACTCCCTTTTTTTTTTTCCAGAGAGTTCCAAGCCCGATCTCAAGGTTTTTGCTTTCGATCCTGAGTTTGTTGATGTTTTTGCATGTAAATCTATGTTTTGTCTCAGCTCCTCTCGATATCACATGTATATCTGTCTGTCTGATCTCATTAGGGCTTTCATATTGCTGTGTCAAGATTTTGACACGAAACTTGTTGTAGCTGATTTTTGGGGCTTGAAAGAGTGTGTTTTTGTTTGTGTTTTGGAATTTCTGAAGGGATGTTATCTTTTTTTACCTTATCTTGCTGTACAGCTAGTTTTCAGTGCTTCATTCACTGTAACGCTTGCTCAAATATTGGTTGTTTTCTGTATAGGCCGTCTCAGGAATATCTGCTTCAATTCTATACGGCTTCATTTTCGCATATCTCAAATGAACCTTTCCCTTCCGCTCTTCTTATTTATTTATTTATGTATTTGTTGTTTTTTACTGATGTGGCATTCATGCAGCAGCACTGTAGAGTCTCATCAAGACCTAGGCTTGCACCTGCTTTATATATCATCTATGAATCATATATGATCTGTTATTTCTAGCTCATATATCTCTACTGGCTTATTATTGTCTGATTTTTGTTTCTAATGTGAAAAAATATATATAGTTATTCTCTCGTCCACATGTCCGCACGTTATATATATATATATATATATATATATATATTTCACGAGATGCCTTTGATTTTCATTGTCGCAAACACCACTAACTTGGTTTGCTTTCGCTAAAAACATTTGTATCTTTTTGCCAAAAAAAACATACATATATGTAGATAGTTTTCTGGTGAAGAAAAGCCAAATCAAAGAGGCTTCAGTTACGTCCATTTTTCTTTCTCGAAATTTTACAAATGTCAGAAAGATTTATGTCCTGTATATAATATATATATATGTATATATACATTCGGATTGAAAATTTGAAATAGTTTGATTAAATCCCAAGTAGACCAGCTAAAAAATAGCAGAGCACATGAAAAACCTTTGAGTAGCTGACAAGGTCTTTTGGTGTTTGGCGAAGACGAAGAAGAAGAGGATTAGGAAGGAGAAACGAGTTTTGAACAGTAGGAGTAGGTTAGGTAGGGCCCACTTTTCTGTTTCTTTAAAATGAACCGTTTTCACACAACGGTGCCACGTGGACACGCAAGCGCGTGAGGTGTCAGTTTATTCTTCTCTTTTGAGCTTAGCTGGAGCACTAACAGACAAACAAAACAGCGTGAGCATTGAGAAAAGACTTGGACCTTTTTCTTCTTTTGTCTTGACCAGAGTAAACGTAAGTCTGATGACATGTCGACGCGCGCGTCCATGCGTGGAGGTCACATTTGACGTCATCACCTCCTGAGCACCAAACCCTATTTTGTTTCTCAATTCCTTCTCTCTTGTTAGTAGATTAGATTAGTGTTATACATGAGGGTTTGATCAATAACTACGCTTATTATTTAGATGGTCAATCGTTTATGCGTGCGTCAATGACTAATTGTCTTTACTTGCGTGTGAATAATTAACTATTATTAATTAATACGAGTCTTACGATGAGTTTCACGGTAGATTCAAAGTCTTTGATATTTTTAGCATACATTGTATTTAGTATTAGCATAGGCTGGATATAATGACTTGTAATTGCATGCATCTTGGTTAATGATCTTCCATATGGAGCTTTTATATCGTAGAAAGTGGCAAAACCATTTTTTTCTTTGGTCGAACATGGTTGGCTAAACCATCTTCCATTTCTGCACTGCACACACAAACACACAGAGAGACAATTAATAAATTATTCACACCCATAAATGTACACCCTGATTACCATAACCATATCTTCCTCACCCATTAATAAACTGACCTATATTGTTACTTTCAAATAATATATATATATATATATATATAAAAGCTTGTTAATTGGTCTCTCATTTATGAACGTATCTGTACAGTGATTAATTATTGCTCGACTTACATGAACTGTTTTTTTCAACCTTGAACGCAGCACAAGTCAACAACTCCGAGAGGAGCAACTCCAAAGCCCCCAATCAACGCGACCCCAGCAGCAACCAACAGCAACGCCGCTGTAACCGTAGCCAACGCCGGTGATCCTGCACAGCTGGCCCCACAACAGTCTGTTGTTCGCGAGCAGGACCAATACATGCCTATCGCGAACGTGATCCGCATAATGCGTCGTATTTTGCCACCCCATGCGAAAATATCTGACGACGCCAAGGAGACCATCCAGGAGTGTGTGTCCGAGTACATTGCCTTCATCACTGGGGAGGCCAACGAGCGCTGCCAGCGCGAGCAGCGCAAGACCGTCACTGCCGAGGACATCCTCTGGGCGATGGGGGAAGCTTGGCTTCGACAACTACGTCGAGCCTCTCACTCTTTTCCTCCAGAAGCACCGGGAGTCGGAGAACAGCGACAGGTCCACTCTGAGAGCTGAGTTTATGAAGAGGGATCGTGCAGTGGATTTTGGACCTGCCGGGCCCCCGATTGCCCTGATGCCTCCTCCACCGCCTTATGGGCCGGGCTATCCTTTTGGGCCCCAGCATGGTCCTGGGATGTTCGACCCATCCATGCTTGGGATGTTTAGGGATGGGTCGTCATCTGGCTCGGGTGGGGGAGCTGGGTCTTCGTCGGCTTCAGGAGATCAGGGCCAGAATTCCTTGGAGGGGTTTGATCCGTTTGCTCAGTTCAAGTGAGCACAATTTAGAGCAGGGTCTCTGCTTACCAGAACACAATGAATAAGTAGTAATTAAAGACTTTTGGAATAATAAAGTACTCGCTGGTTGTCGCTGTTGTAGACCAGTGTGGTGTGTACTTTCATGTTTTATCATGGTTTCAGAATAGCTGGGTTGTTTCATTTGAGTTTTAAGACAGCTTGAGTAGTTGTAATGTAATCTTTGATTAATGAAACTCTTTTATTTGGTATGTGCTTTAAGGGACAAAAGGCAGGCCGGCCGTAAGCCTAAACCAAAATTCCAATGCAGTCCAAATGTATCATAGCTCTAATCCAATTCCAAGCCCAAATGTATCCATAGGCATCAAGCCCATTTGCAGAGACGATATTATTTCTATCTCCAAACAAGTGAAATTCTATAGTGAGGGTGTCATATATGAACTTCTCATGTGGACCTTCATATTAGCCACAATCATTTCATTAAACTTAAGTAAAGTTACTGTTCAGATGAATCATGTGGCTAATATAAAGATCCATATCTATGGTCCATATATTACATCTTCACCATAAAACGACTCCTCCAAACAAAATACCCCAATCCAATGGACACCAATAGTGCAGAATCAACCTCGACCTCAAGCTTGTTTGAGGCCTTTTATACAAGCAATAGGCTTTTTTTTTTTTTTTTTTTTTTTATTTTTTTTTTTTTTTAACCCAACCCCAGATTAGAGCAAATTTTTCTAGGGTTTGTTTTGCTGCCAGCCCAAAACAAAAACAGAAACTGATCGCTGATGCTGCTCCAATTTGAACATATGGAGCAAACATTGTTGATTGGTACTGCCGGTTGAATAAGAGTCATTCATGTGTACAACTCATACATGTCAACATAACCTTACAAGTTCTGCCGTATGAAACACACAGGTTATGTGACCACAAAAAAAAAAAAAAAAAAACCCAACACGAATGCTCTGTGATGGGGATATGCCCACCCAAAAAGCTTAACTATTATATGACAAAACAATAATCATTTCAATACTCATCTAATAAGTACAATTAATTATATAAAATAAGTCATTATACAAATGCCGTGTCGCCTTGACAACATGGGTGCTGCTATTTGTATTATATTTTTTTGATCATATTGTTGACCACATTTCTAATACAGGTGAGTCTCACGTACATTAGTAGGTCCTACCTATATTAGAAAGGTAATAAGCAATTTGATCAATAAACGCAATACAAATCCGTAGGACAGTTTTATATCATCTATGCTGCCTCAAATTAAAAGCTCTATGTTTGTAAGAACAAAAGTCTAGATTAAAACTAGGTGACAAATTAAACCATTCTCAACCTTCTCAACATGCCCAACTTGGACCCGAAGTGAAGTAGAGTAACAGGAGGAGGCCAGGAAGATGAGTGCTCTAATAACAAGAAAGTGTGTAAAAAGCATATATGTTTGGTCCTCCTCTTCCAAAAAACATGGCATGACTCATTTTGATGCTGACCTATCGCTCTACGGGAATATTATCACGCCCATCCCGTCCTCTTCCAAAAAATACTATTATTCTCTGCAGCCAAATCCAGAATCTACCCAAAATTGACGAATTCCAGGCACATCATGATCAGCAAAACGATTGGATATCCACTAATAAAGAGAGAACGATGATCTTTTTGAGCATGAGATGATGAGATGAGAGTGTTAAGGCTGAACATTTCTATACTGCCATGACAGATGGTGCGCTCAAAAGTGTCTGCACTTCGTTGCACAGTACACGCATGCACCCAAGGACAAAGTCCTGGACCATGCACCATGTTCTTTCCTTTATTTTTTTTTCTTTTCCTTTTAATTTTAGGGTAAATAATATGGACCACGTACGTTTTGCTTTCAAATCTGTATTTAAAAGAGCATGCACATACCAATTGGTGATGGAAATAAAAAATAAAAAATACACGGACATATATATTATATATATATATATATATATATATAGATATATATAACTAAAATCATGATTCAAACACAAACACGGCAAAATAGAATTCTTCTTTAAGATGAGTATTTACCGTTGTATATATATATATATATATTATATATATATATATATATATGAGGTTCTATATTCGATTCTCCCCTTTGTCAATATCGTTTGTATTAAATAAATAAAAAATCATAATTGAAATATCAATTCGTGACAATTTAATTGAAATATGTTTCAAATTTGAATTTCTGCTCTCATATAAAAAAAAATTAATAAAATATATTTCAAATTCGAATCTCCGCTCTCGTACGAAGAAAAGTTTATATATAATTAGATGTGAACAAAAGCTGATGCATAAATGAATTATATAGTATGTGGTTTCTGAACCCATTGAGAATTTCGCTATTTCGATTTTGCTTTACCCGTCTCTTTCTGGAACGGGTTGCCGTTACACGTCTCTCTCCCTAGCATTACTACTGGCATTGGCACCAGTCCTCTGCTGCGTACACTTGGATAGGAAACAATACTCATGCAAGTCTATCATCTGAATATACTTAATCTTATGACATCTCAATATCATAGGCTCATATAGCATTTATAAACGATGAATGTTTGACATTGACACCCCATAAGTTTGGCCTAATTATTCAAATTCATTTATTTATTTTAATTTAAAAAAAAAAAAAAAAAAAAAAAAAAAAAAAAAAAAAAAAAAAAGAGAGAAAAAAAAGAGTTAATAAAAAAAAGAAAATATTATTAATTAGTTATGAAATTTAGAATATAGTATTTAAAAAATATATAATAAAATAAAAAAAAATAAATAATATTAATGAATTGGTAGAATATCTGACAATGTAATTGTCACACCAAAAAATCTAATTGAAGTTCATTGAATCTTGATATAATCTTGCCACGTGTACACATTAGAAATTAAATTACTCCAATACCCTCATTTGGTTAAAAAAATTTATGGGAGTGAGACCAATTAAGCTTGAGTGACCTACACAGCAAAAGAGGAAGAACTCTAATCCGTGTACTCTAGGAGTTACTTACTTCGTGCCAAATCTATTTAGATTAGGAGAAGGAATTCAAGGCCAAAACTGCTAACAATAAGGGGGATCAACTTCTTCATTAGTTTCCTCTTAGTCATGTTTACTTACTAAAAATACGAAGGAAGTCATGAATCGGAAACTCAACAAGTAATCATTTACAAACTTCATACTAAATCTAAGGTATTCATTCGTAGAAAAATCAAATTATATATAGGGCTCAAACCGTTGGGATTGGTGAAATGGAATATTTGGAGTTCGAAAAGTACCCACACTAAAGAATGCAAATTGTGACAACATGATGTTTACATCAAAGAGGCAGGATCGATATACAACAATAAAAATAAAAAATTATACAAAACAAAACCAAATTTCTCTCCCCCCACCTTGTTCCCTTTTTGTCCAAACCTTCATAATATTCCACACTTGCATGATATTTCTAGTATAATTAAGCCTTATTTGGGGGGTCGGTGTGTAATTAGGCCTAATCAAAGGGTATGAGTCGTAAAATAAAACCGTTCAAACCTATGCATATGAGGGTGGGAAATCAAACATATATAAGACGTTACAATTTCAAAATTTTAAAAAGTCAGGCGACTATATAAACGACAAACCCCACCAACAACAATTCCATACGCACAGAAGAAAATTCTGGGTCGCAAACTCTCCGCGGTTTCGCCGACCTCACAATTCCCGCCTCCCTTCGCCTCTGCAAAACCCTAATTTTCTTCTCAGCTTTCTCGCCTCTTTCCTCCTTTTCAGCTTTTACCTTTTTTCCTCCACTCACTCACTCGCGTCGTCTTCTCCGTCAATTAAAGGTACTTTATGCGCACTCACGCACGCACTTGCGTATATATACACACATAGATATAGATATGAGCTCTTCAATTTTGTATTGTTCTTGATGATTGACAGAGATGAATTTTTTTTAAGGTTAATTGTACTTTGATCACTTGGAACTTTGAATTTCTTTGTTAATTGATTAATTTCAATCTTTTTATGTATCAATTTCTTTAATTTTTCTGCTGATGTTGATTGGATAAATTGTAATAATTTAACAGTAACACACAGTTTATTTATTTGTTGTATATTAATTTTTTTGGTGTTTGATTGATTGATCACGTGCGTATGATGTATGATTTTTGAATTTTTTTTTTCCTTCTGTTTTAGCCATCTTTAATCTTTCTTACTTTTTTTTTTGCGGACTTAATCGTTTTTTCATTATGGATACATGCGTGGAGAAACATGTATATATATTACTGTTGTCTTTAAATATAGTTTAAAAAACATCGATGTTATTTTGGAAAGTCTAGAATAATTGGCCCCAATTATTACGTATTTAGTACTAAATGTCATTTGTAATTTAGGTTTGATGGACTCGAACAATTTGGATGGTGGAGTGGATGCTAAAGGGATGGATGATCTGAAGGAGCCTCTGTTGAAGCCTTCGGATATTAATAACAAAGATAAAAGGATTAGAACAGTTAAGTTCAAAATAGGGGATATCGAGTGTGCATCTTGTGCAACTACCATTGAATCTGTGCTCGGAAAGCTTGATGGGGTCAAGAATGCAACAGTGTCGCCCATTCAAGGCCAAGCTGCAGTCAATTATATACCAGAGCTCATTAATGTGAGTGAAGTTCAAGGATTTCTCTAAGATATTATTTTTGTTTCTGTCTTCAAAATATTATCTTCTTTTTTCTCTCTCTTTTTAATTCAAATCCATTTGTTAGACACGAGATCCAAAAATGTTTCTACATAAAATTTTGTTAACTACTTCATTAGTATGTTTTATGGATATTTATATGATAAAGGATAACATATGATGTATTCTGTGTTAGGCAAAAAAAATTAAGGAAGCCATAGAAGATGCAGGTTTCCCAGTTGATGAGTTTCCAGAACAAGACGTAGCAGTCACCCGGCTTAGGATAAAAGGAATGGCATGCACCAGCTGCTCGGAGTCTGTTGAATCTGCCCTTCGAATGATTACTGGA